TAGAACACATAGATATTGGTCCAGAGGGAGTTGACCAATGTCCATGAATGTTTATAAATGTCCGATACATGTAGTAGAATGTTGAGTGTCCTGGATCATCACCACAGTCCTTCTTATTAGACCACCATCATTTGATAAAACAGAGGAGTCCTGACATTGAACCACCATCATCTATCTGCCCGTCCTCTTCACAATGCGAGAGGAAAACACCGGCAAGATTGTGGTGAGGTCTGATGAGAAATAAATGTATCTTTCTCTGGGCACCGTATTGCGATCGTGGGTCAGCGCTGATGAATGAAGCCGTCACACAGGTTATGCTAATGGCGCTCTCCTCTGCACTTCCTTTCTTGTTATTTCCAAAGTTCAATTACAGCCATCCTCCACCATCCATCACTCAGATGAAGCGGCTTGGACCCAAATTAAATGTGCCAATTTCAATTAGACGGCCCCAGGAGCAGAGGACAGCAGGGGACAGACAGAGAGAGGCAGGATGGCACACAGCAAGAGCCAAGTCTGCACACAGGTCAAAGAGCCAAATGGGGGACCAGGATGTAATGAAAGTGTTGGAGATATCATATGTATTAAATTTGGCAACTTTTATTCATGCAAATATAAGCTACTTTCTGACTGGTGTGAAGCAATGGATCTGATTGTTCTAGTTTTCATTCTCAGTAACAGCAAAGTGGGACCATGTACGTTCATACGTGTCGCTGCTGATCCAAAACAAACGTTCAAGAAGACAGAAAAAGAATGATGCTGCTTGTCTGCTCAGTAAGAATCAGATTGGTTGTGTATTTGTTTGGGAAAATTGATCGACAACGGCACTGTCCCGCTAATACAGACTGTCGTTGGTCTGATTAAGATAAACAAAATCAATGCGTCGGCTGGGGATTACTGGACAACAAAACTAGCTTGAAACAAAATTATTTTCGCTGATGAAAGTAGACAATCTAGTCTTTCAGAATCTGGTTTCATTTTTCACATAGTTTTAGGAAATAATGTTCTGTGGGTCTTGAGAATCAGTGAAATCATCAAAACGGCTGGCAGTCAATCAGTTAAAGACTGTTCACTTTGTAATTTCATGTTTTAGAAACTTAAGGACTTAAATCTGTGACTGAAGTCTGCACCATGTGACTGAAGTCTGTACCATGTGACTAAAGTCTGTACCATGTGACAGGGAAATACTGACAATGTGTCTTTACCTTTGTCAGTATGACCTTTGACCATATTGTTTTACTCGGTGTAAAAAGCTGTAGATCTATGAGCCGTGCTATAGATGTTTGGTGAACCTGTATGTCCCCTTCAGCCACCGTAGTTCGGGAACAGAACAATATACAGGTGAAACTCTGACAACTATAAAATAGTTCACTGTTCAACACGACATTTGACAGACCTGATGGTTGTGGCTTACAGTCCATTTGCACAATATCAGAATTTGAGATGTTTGATTTGGGTTTTCAATAAACTGCTAATTATCAACAGTACAACCATTTCATGGGGCGACAGTGGCTCAGTTGGTAGAGCATTGGCCTTTGAGCCTGAACGTCGTGGTTTTGAGTCCACCAGAAGACCTACTTCACTCATGTCTGCTGTCGCCTTTTAACCCCACATTGCCCAAAATACTGTGTCACCATATTGGAGTCCTCTATCTCTCATAATCTTTAAGGGCTCAACACCATTATTCAGGAAAAAAAACCTTCTGGATCAATAAATCAATGTGCATCGTACCTCACCATTCTTTTCCTGTAAACATGAAAAAGTTTGAAACGCTGAGAACAAGCAGGTTAGCCATTGTTTCAAAGTCACCGTTTGTTGTCCTGCTTTCTCAGTGCTCTAACAGTGTGAGGTTCAAGGGCACGGTGAGAAAAGAGCCATTGACCTCCCACCGTCACGTGCAGCGTACAGGTAAATGTTTTAATTAGCACACAATGACAACTGAAGGTAATACCATTTAATTAGGCACCAATCAACACCAACGCTATTCTATGATTAAAATAGCTATTTCTGCCGATTGGAGGTGCCATATATTTTAATTAGCCGAGCTCGGAGGGCCAGGATATATGTTTTAATTAGCAGGTCCTGTGTGGCCTGGGCGCTGCAGGGCTCACATCAGCTGGAGTGTTAATCACATGCACAAATGAGACTAATTGTTTTGATCCAGGGGCCCCCAGCGGCCCCTTGCACCACTTCTGTCTGCTTTTAGAGTGACTGCAGAGTACACTTTTGTTATGGATTACAATTACTTAGCCTACTTCTGTCTACTATGGTATATATATGCGTTATGGTGGGAACCTTCTGTGATTGGATACTTTGTTTTATTTTGTAATATTAGGTGTCCTTTGAATTTCATTTCCTGTTGTTGTGTTGATTGCCTGCACCACCCTGATAGTAGCAGTTTAACCCTTCTTTTTCTGTTGAGAAGATTCTAATGATTTTTGGGCATAAGGGAGTAGCCACAGAGTTGAGACGATTTCTTTCTGATATGATTTCTCGCCGTTACAATACGACAGAACACACATGTCATTCATGTTGGCTCATTTTTCATCTTCTGTGTCAAAGACGTCATTTTGAAGACGACTCCATCTGGCCTCACCTTATTGAGTCTGGTGACATGATTAATGATGTAAGAGTTTGGTCTGTCCGTAGTCTGCCACAGAGGACAGTCCACACAGACACCCTCAGGACTGCAGCTGTCCGGGTCTTAGCTCTGTTCATCACCAACACACTTCTGAGGCGGGAGCTCAGGCGAATGGAGGGAAGAATCCTGCTCATTTGATAATAACATACTCTGTCAGGTTGTGAGGACACGTTTTGTAACAGTATTCAATTCAGACAATGATTACATTTCCCAATCTCATTCAGTGAGGACAGTGTGTGTGCAACCGTGGAAATGGTCTGATTCTGAGAGGACTGTACAACATTATGCCGTCTTGATGGATGGATGGATGGATGGATGGATGGATGGATGGATGGATGGATGGATGGATGGATGGATGGATGGATGGATGGATGGATGGATGGATGGATGGATGGATGGATGGATGGATGGATGGATGGATGGATGGATGGATGGATGGATGGATGGATGGATGGATGGATGGATGGATGGATGGATGGATGGATGGATGGATGGATGGATGGATGGATGGATGGATGGATGGATGGATGGATGGATGGATGGATCTACCAGAGCTGGAGGATATTACCTATTGTGCATGTTTTTAGTGGTAGGGGAAACCGGAGCACTCAGTGTTAGTGGGAGTGCTAGCCACCGTGCTGCTGATAGAGCGAGTTGGTAGACAGACAGACAATCTTCATAGAGAGTAGATGTAACAAAAGTGGTTTGATTGAAATAACATTCAAAGAAAAAATCGTGTCAGTCTGTATTCATTTTAGATCTGCCAGAGTCATAAAACTTTCACACAGGTTGACATCTATTTCAACAATCAATTAAAAAACAATGCATCTATTTACTTGTTACAGCCCTAGAATCAGTCCAATATAATTCTCAATTTTAGATACAAAGACCTGTTGCCATCAGTGAGGCATCAATATCATCAGTGAAAATCATGTTTATATCTCCAGCAGAGAGAATGCAGACAGTTGGACACAAGCTGCAAACCACTGTTGATAAATAAAAAAATCTTTCTGTTCTGGAACAACATCCTCGGGACAAGGATCAACTTGTACCAGAGTGATGGGAAGGAAAGGAACGGCTCATGATCGCAAACACACGACCTCACCAGTGGACCATCATGGCCTGGGTCTGTATGGTGTATCTGTTGCTGATGTGACAGCTGGCAAAAGCAGCAGGAGGAATTACGAAGTGCTTTGGGAAATATGCCTTGTCCAAATGCTCACTGAAGGACGGACACACTGCAGATGGACAATGAAGCAAACTGGAAAAGTGAGATTAAAACAAATGTAACCTCGACCAATCTGGATTATGTTGAACGTTATGCCCTGAAACCAACAGAGCAGGTATTGCCTTTGTGTATTAGTTTGTCCCATTGCTTAAAAAATGTGGCACATAAACTGTTTTAAATTTGACACCTCCCTTCACTGAATACAGATTTGTATATTTAGGCAGTGAGTAGTTTCATTTAAAATCTATTGGGGAGTTTAGTATGTGTATATTTATTAAACTTCAACATTATTACAGCAATTAAAAATCCACTTTGCAGTAAGTCGGTTTGTTTTTGAGTATACTGTGGAACTGTATACTTTTTTTTTTCCTTCCTCTTTATTTGAAAGAGAGAAAGATTGCACAGACCGGTGTCAGGGGGTATTAGCAGAACCAGACCTGTCCTAAAGTGTGAAAGTGTCCAGGTAAATATTCATGTGGCGAAGAGGCTCAGATCAAAGGGGCCACTGCCGTCCTGTTCTGAGGAGTTCTTTAAAGTGCGGGACAGTGGCGTTTCAACACACCACTTGGATCAAAGTGCTGCCAGTCTCTTTATGTCTTCAGCTCAGGACAGCTGTGGGCAGAGTCTTGGAATATTAATCACACCAACACTTTCACGATCGAACTCTAAAGCTGGTGATAGGTTCAAGTTCGTATTCAATAAACTATTTTGAATACAACAGTTCAAGGCGGTAATGACTGTTGACACAAAAAACTCTTTCAGATCTACAAACATGCAATAAAAATAATGTCTTTTGACCATCCATTCTGGCATCATTAAAGTTATTAACATCCATTCCATTATTGAGCTCTAAAGACAAGACACATCATACTTTATCAAAACCAGCACCTTCTAGTTATGTAACGTATTGTGTTTTAAATCTCTGTCTAGACAATGTATAAAGAGTTTCTTTTTCTCTTATGATATTGTGTGACATTTGTTGTACTTAGTCCAAGACACATTTCTCTCAAAGGACAATAAAGTTTATTCAATTCCATGTGTGTAAACCTCACGAGTCGTTCACGGAGCATTGACATTCACAGCCACAGACTCACATCACCACAACACTTCATCTACAAACAGTACTGACAGTTCTGCACTTTTGTTCCACAACTCTAAAATGTAATTGTGTTTACCTCAATGCATCCTCTATCATTTTCTGTTTCTATTCAATAAAGGGGTGAAAAAAAGACAGCATTCAAGATTCAGATGGATGTTCAATGACAGTCTGTCAGGTAGAGTATGTAAAATGTTTAATTGTCACTCAAATTTAACCAAGAGAGATCCATTGAATATAAAACTCCCAGAAGGCAGTCAGTACATCTCTTGTGTTGAAGAAGGGAGAGCTGAAGCCTTGAGGTGGGCTCAGCCTACAGTCCTGATTACATACTCAATTTTAATTTCATTGTAATTCACCGGCAGCCACCAGGTGGTGCTCACGAGTTACTTTGCAGAGGAAAACACAATTGACTTCAGAACATGCCAAAAGTATCGCATGATGTGTGTAAATCAAAGTGAAGGTCACTTCATGAATGCATGGACTTCATACGTGCAACAATCTCAATAAAAATATTGTGGCATTTTGTGGAAAGATTCGTGTCAAAGGAACTACACAAAAACGTATTTAATTCTAATTTCTTTATTTTTCCGTTTTTGGCAAAAAGTGTGCCGTGCATTTCAAACATAATCAAAATAATGAGACAGAATAATCTGGTTAGGAAAAAAAATCAAGCAAATCAGTTTCATTAAAGCAAAATCGAAGACGTAAGAAAAAAGATCAGTCTTAAGACGCAATTATAAGTATAAAACACGTACTACACATTTTGAGTGTGTGTGGAAACGATTCAAGTGCTTTCCGATGAATACTGAAGTCCACAAAAGTCCCAGTGTGTGGTTCATTACTCCTCCACTAGAGGAGGTGGTGAGAGTTTGAGTTGGAAGTCGGCTGCAGACTGCGCAGACATGAGGAGCCCGGACTTCTCTGAAGTGTGGCTCAGCTCAGTGAGGATGGACAGCTGCCACAGACAGAGGTCATGATTAGTAACTAGTGTTTATGGGAAAACACATCTAAATCCAGAGGTTAAACAGACTTTTCAAACAAACCTCATCTGAGTTCAATTGCACTGTCTTATGAATAAATGTACAACATGTAGAGATGGTCTTACCCGTGAAGGTCCTCGGTACAAGGAACGCAGCTGGTCCCAAGACTGTTCTTGATGAGGATCTAACGTGGCTTCAACAAAAAACTGTAAGACAAAAGAAAAAATCAAGACATGAATCCTTTCAAAGCATAGGTTGGAACTGAACATCCACAGGTCTAACATCACAATGACAGTAAGCACTTTAAAGCCGCAGCTGCCCCACTGTGGTCCCTGGTGTTCCAAAGCCAGAGGTCTCCCATCACAATACTAACCAGGCCCTTCCCTTGCTTAGCTTTTGAGGTATACAAGGATCAGACTTTCACATGAAAATGGGCGCCACAAAAGGTCGTATTGTAATGTTTATGAATGAGAATTTGCAACTAGTTTTCAAACGTTTTCTCAAAGTTCTGTGATGACAATGCACGTTCTTGGATATTAAAGCAAGGGTACCCAACTTTTGTCTGATGAGTGCAGATGTAAAATCGCTCACCTTTTTTCTTTCCGACTCTGCTTCATGGTGGATTGACGTGACTCGAGTCTGTGGCGTTACAGATATAGAAACATTGTATTAAAGACAAAATTAGTTGTGAGTAAGGACAAGCCTCACCTGTGCTAAGGAGGCCGTGCGCCCCCTCTTGGGCTGGCAGGGGGGCACAGCACGGCCCCCCTGACTGGAACATTTGTAGCAGCGCCACTGTTTGTTTTGAGGAAACTGCTCAAAGCTGCAGTCCTTCTGCTGTAAGCACTGCACGTGATACAGATGTCCACAACTAGAAGTACCAAGTAACACAGCTGGTTAAAAGCAAACCCTAGAACAGCTAAATACTGTAAGTAGAAACAAAGTCACAGAAACCTGAAAACGATGATCTCCTCGGTGCTGTCCTGCTTCCTCTTGTACTGCTGCAGGCAGATGATGCAGCTGTCCTGTCGAGGGTGGAGCCCTCGTTTGACTGATGAATGCAAGTGAGCCAGGGACCAGTGGAGATCATGATTCAGAAGACTTGTGGTGGTTTCAAGCAATGTCTTCAGGATAAAAAAATTAAAAATAAATGCATTTTAAAAACATATCTAGTATGTATAAAGGAACAGCTTAAACCTGTACCTGCTCATAGTTGAATGTGTCAAGCATGCCGAGGATGAGCCCCTGAATCTCTGCCAACTTTCCCCTTCCATAAACAGGATCCTAAAAAGTACAGCTAATTACAGCTATATACTTTTACACCAATCTTTGCAACTCACGAACAGTCGTGTAACTAACCTGTAGTATTCTCTGGATAATAGCCGGCAGGGAGATGAAACTACTCATGCTGTTGAGGACGCTCATGGTCAGCTCCTTAAGAACTTAAAAAAAAAAAAGCCAAACTTATGTTGTTCACTGCTGCTTCATTCACAGTCATCAGTCACCAGTTATCAGACATCAGTCAGCAGACATCAGTGTTGGGTGTAACGCATTAGAAAGTAACGCGTTACTTGCAAATCAGTCAGGACTCAAGCTCAGTTCTCATTCCACACGGCATGTGAAGCAAGAGGCCGCTCGTGCTTCTCATCGCGGCGTGTCACTGGTAAAGTGCGATACAGCAGCCAGTGAGGCTGACTTTTTTCCTTTTGATGAGGCTGAGCTACTTGAGTAAATGAGGCTCAGAGTTAGATCCTCAAGCGATTCCCTCGAGTGAGAGCTGTGTTGATGAAGTATAACAACCCCATGTTTCATGCTCTGTGGTGTTTCTGATCTTAAAGAGCAGAGTATAAATTCCTCAACACATTTAAGAACAGTTCTGCTATAAGTCGAGCATAATGACAGTAATACTGAAGTAAAGAAGTTACTTTCTTTAAAGAGTAACTAAGTAGAGTAACAAGAAAAGCTACTTTTTATAAGTAACTTCCCCAGTCACACAGCATTTGTTAAAAGAGCAGTATGTAAAAATCTGGCCAAAAGTGGTACTGCAGTCACAGTCAATATTTTGTAATCCTCTCCCACTCCCCGACTCAGGTTGCCAGATACACACCAAATCCAGCAGCAAACACAGGGAATTATTTTATCAGTTGTTTGTCTGTCTCCATTCACATTGCCATGAGCCGTGCTAATGTTGAATAAATGTTTCGAATGAATGTTTTATCTATTTTTTTATTTGGACATTTCAGGTGAAAAAAACTAAAACAACAAAAAGCAATGTAATTATAGATTATGCAAAATAAATAAGCAATTGATGTCCAAAATTGGAGTGGGAAGAATGAATGTTGGAACATATTTCTTCAGCGTATCAACATCAAGGTTTCCTCCAGAGCAGCCATTCCCAAAGTCAGTAACACGGGGCCCCCTTAAAAATCTGACGGGTCTGCGCGGCCCCAGAAATAATAACCAAGAAGACAATGTTAAAAATAGGCTCTTCTCGTTACTTTATTTGGGGGATATAGCCTCTGCTACAAACGTGTAAATGACCATTCCCACTTTGTAATACACAAATGATTACAATTTCAAGTCAAATAATGAACACAAATATTGTAATATTACAAACAAAATATTGTTAATCTAACATACAATAATTATATATTTTTTTTACATTTTTTGATGACCTCTCACGGCCCCCCTGCAGTACCCCCGCCTGGTGGGCCGCGGACCCCACTTTGGGAGACACTGGTCCAGAGAATATCACCTTTCAATTTTATCTATTCCCTATTTTTTAGACATGTATAAGTCCCACATCAAAATAAGACAGACATTTTAATTGGGGTACATGTGGTCTCAAATGATGTTTTTTACAATTAAGCTATAATCTGCAAAAAAAACTTATTGACCTTCTTTTTACCGTTTTTAGAGTAATCTGTCATAGAATGTGATATTATGCAATTAAATACAAAAAGACTCTGTCCGGAATCGAGCCAGGGTTACTGTATTATAAGCGCAGTGGCTTAACCGCTAGACCACCTATGCGCGCAGTAATTGCTGAAGAACGCATTCATACCTACAATTTTTGCATCACACAAAAACTTTTATCTGCCGTCTCAATTTTTCAAAGGCGTCCCGATATAAATCCTCGTTTTAGTCTTTGTTTTGTCATTAATGATTTGAGAATCATAAGAAGACCTTTTTTAGTTCTGTGCCACATGTTATTTTACCGCTGAGATTAGTGAGCCGCGTGGAGTTCTGGCAACCTGGATCACAGACTTCCTGATTGGCGAAACGGCAAAGGGTAGGACTTGAGAATGAAAACAATAACAACTTTTATGGGTCGTAAAACTAATTTTGATTTTCAAATATCTCGGCTGAACTACTGTTATCAGTTAAAGATGTATTCAAAAAGAGTATGATTTAATAATGCCTTTTGAAAAATGGGGGCCATTTAATGTTGACTTGACATGCAAATATTACATACTGCTACTTTAAGGTCTTTTGTTTATTCCATCAATATCTCTACATTGACTTAAACGATTTGTAGATTTGTCACTTATTCTAAGCAGTAAAAAACAAACGCACTGATTTTTTTCACCTTCAGAGATGTGTTTGCTGCTTGTTCCAGTCACGTTTTTTTGTGAAGCCATCATCGCCTCCAGAAGAGGGAACCACAAACCCTGTTCACAATAGGCAGACCAATGAGAAGAAATGATTGATCAAAGTGCTTTAAGTTGAAAGTAAAAAGTAAAATAAATCAGGAGACGAGGTAGTTTGTTAGATAGACTATTGAAGAGACCTCAGTTTGCTGTTGGTTCAGACCCTGAGAGCTCCGCTGACACAATTCAATGACCGTGTTCAGAGCCTGTTCCAGATCTCTGCGCGCAGACGCCTCCCCCGGACTTCCTTCAGTCTGGTTGTCTGTCAACACTCGCAGCTTCCCTTTCAGCATCTTAAAGTTTAAGGAAGACAGAAGACAAGACTATTGACAAAGCACCAGAAACACCAAACAACGACCGAGATGAAACATATAACAGAAGGCTATGCACATCTTCAAACGCTTTTGTATCGGTAGTTTGACGAGTAGCATTTACCTCCAAAAGGATGTTGAATGCTCCATGGACATCGCCCCTCCTTTCCAGCAGGTAGGCAGTGGCCTCACTGTGGTGGTACTTGTCAGTTATCTACAGTTAGGGCACATATCAGGATGAAGGCATTACAGCAATAAACATTCCAAATAAAAAAATCCAATATGAACACCACAAGTACCCACTCCCATCTGCTAATTAGCACAGGTCTTCAAAGCAAATAATTTAACTATTATCATAGAGAAGGAAATGAATGTGTCACCTGAATGGCCTCCTCCAGTCTGTACTGCTGGCAGCTCTGCAGGAAACCCAGCAGCTGCTCTGGGGCAAAGCGGCACATCAGTTCTAACAAGAGCTCATGCAGGGCCAGGTCCTGGGAAAGACTGAGAGCCTGACAAGAGCCATCTCTAAATAGAATCAAGAAAAAAGATTATTTTACAAACGAATAACCAGAAACATACAGACGTGCACATGGTTCTCAGGAAAACATTATACCTTGGTTCAAGGAGACAACTCAGGAGATTAAACTGGATATTTTCCTCCTATGGAAAAATAGGGGGATAATCCTCAAGAATTTAAAATAATGACAATTTTATAAGATCATGGACATGGGGAGGGCACTCGCTTTAGTGATATAAAGAGGTACTTGGCACCAATGTTGCTCAGTACTATATACTATAGACATGTAACAGGATATGCAGAAGAGCTCACCTCCAGAAGGGACAGAATTGAGTGCACATCCTCAGAAAAGTGAAAGAAGACAAGATCAGAGGACTTCTGTGCATCCAGACACACCAGTTCCTAGAAGCATGAGGTGCATACTGGATTAGTCTATTTCACTGCTGTGGCACATATTCTCTGAGTACCTTCATATGCTGCAGAGCCTTGTCCCTCACGGCCTGCTTCTCCTCTGCACTATAACCTGGCATTGAAAGTAGGTTGTGTACAAAGCTGAAGATTTCTTCCTAACAAACATTCAAGAAAGATCAATCCATTGTGTTCAACATTAGCAGCAAAAGCCAGCAGCTTACCTTCCGCAGAGGGTCGTTTAAGTAGCAGTCGAGGATTTTGTCATACAGGTGTTTCTTCTCGTACAAAAACTCACAGACCTGGAAGCTACAAATCAGAGCAGGTGAGTTGAACACTAAATGGAAACGTTTACAAATAAATACATCTCTGCGCGTTTATCTTTGATTGTAGATATATTTGCGCAGTAGTCTGCAGACTCACAACTTGGCTTTTTCAGCTAAAGTCAAAAGTCCCTCTTCATCAAACTGCACCACTCCCCCTACTTGCAGCAGCTCTAACAGCACCTGCAGGTCACACACATTTGGATACAGTAAATGCTTCTGCTCTGCCTCCTGGACTGAAACAAACAGGAATAATATGTATGTATGTTAAAGAAGCCACCTGCTGCCTTTCGGTGTGTCTGGAGTCGTCCACTGGACTGCAGAGGAACTCCAACACCTGTTTAAGCATAAAATAGTAATATATTGTAATAATACAGCTGAGCAGAGTTCAATTATTGTACAGATGGAGTCTATAGAAAATAGGGAAATCAGTTTATCAATTTTCAGGTATTTATTCTTATACCTGATCAAAAAGATTACGGTTGACAAATAATGTGTTGTCTGGTTTGGCCAGTTGTCGAGCCAGGAAGGTAAAGAGACAGCCGACTTGAGACGGAGTGAAGTCTGCGTTATCCACCACCACCTGATCGAATACAGACATTCAATAAAATAGCATGAACAGAGAAGGCTAAAAGTACTTTTGAAGAAAATGAAAAAAATCAGATCCATCAAATATACAAACCACAAATATGATTTTTGTCCCTTTTTGAATGTTTGGGAGGATCGAACATGGGACACTGACCTGAAGAAGAATGTCAACTATTCTCTGCTGGTACTCTAGAGCCTGTTTGTCATTTTTAAAGTCTTCAAACGTCTGCAATGAAACAAAAACTATTGTTAACAAGTACATTCTCCTAAGTTAACAATGAGCGTCCTCCATCTAACTGGACAAGTTCTAACCATGGCCAAAACGTTGAGAAACTCGCGGGTGTCAAAGTGAAGCAGAGTGCGGATGTATGGGAACACGTCCTCCTCCTCTGTGCTGTCCGCAGAGTGCAGGCGAATCAGAAAGTCAAAGATCTGATTTTTGACCTGCGTCACTAGATCTTCAGGGATGTCTCCCAGAGGATAAGCCCTCCCAGCCAGACAGCAGCTACCCACACAACACATTTAAAATTAAAACATTATGATGCAGTCTGTTGAAATGCCCTTTCTAATTTCATGTTGCATCCTCTGGTTCCATAAGTCACCTTATGTAAACAAGGACCTTGTTGCCCATTATCACTTCTTCATCTGTCAAGAAGAAAGTTAAACTAATTAGCAAGTGATGAATGTATACCTAAATGTTGTTGCCCAGACTTTACTCACCAGTCAGACTTCGACCCTCTCTGAGAGGGGGACCTATCACTGAAAAAAGTTTCTAGGGGGAAAATAGGTAATTACTGTAGTTGAATAGATGTTGTTATGAATAGATGAACGTACTTCCAAAGGTGTGATGTATTCATTCATGCCACTGTTGAAGACATACATCATCGCATCATAGAGTTTATTATCCCAACAGACATTTACAACCTGGTACACAATACACAATACACAAAAGGAACAAAGTCATTGCCTGGATGACATAAAAATATTTTCAACTAAAAAATGTGTGTAAGTTAAAATTTGACCTGCTGGATGTCCAGGCTGGTCACATCCAGATGCACAATGCACCTCTCGAGGCTGTCCATCATGCCATTGCCATGGTAATGGGCAAGAAGGTCCTTCATAATAGGTGTGGTCAGGTGACCCAAACGATCTGCCACAATGTAGGACTCCAACACTTCCAGGAACACACCCTTCGCCACAACATTCTCCTGCAGTCGGCTGTAGAGCTGATTAAACAGTAAGTCCCTGCACAAGAAGTGTTAGACTTATTAAAATCTTGGGTTGGGACATCAACAGTGTAACTGGAGCCGTTGTTTTGTAGAAGATCTGTTTCACGCCACAATTGATGATCATGAATACGATGTATTTCTCGATAGGAGACAATAAAGGCTCATTTAAAATGGCCTTCATGAAGCAGTAAAGAATAATATAAAACAAATACTTACAGTCTTTGAAGCAGGAGGCAGTGGTCCACCAGGACGGGAACAATTTCCTAAAAAATATACGTTTGACTCAATCATTGCATTGTCTGTCATGATACTAGACTAGACTGAAATCATTAACGAGGTTACGTTCAGGTATATAGGAGAGTTTTCTTTTTCCAAGTGGATCATTAGGACTATTGGTCCTCCTAATTATCAATCACTCTGGTGATTTGTGATACGAGGAGTGTTTTGGGAGATTCATTCACACGGTGGCGTTTGCTGAATGTGCTTCCCACTGATGCTCCAGTAGCAAAGCTTCTACTCCACAGATAAAGTTTGGCATTCTATTAGGAGAAATCCATTTCAAAACCCTTTCAGTAAAAGTTATCTATGTCTATTGTCTATATTGTCTGACATAATGGAAAAAGTGCAAATCTTCTTGGAAAGTGAGCTTTATCTCTTACACGTTATAGCAGGTGATCTCTCACGGGAGCAGGGAAACGCACAGGTGTTTTTTTTTTAAGTGGAGAGGGCGGTTCTTTTCTAAATTTGGGAAAATCCTTCTATATACCTTTAAATTAACTACAACTATGAACTTACATGGAAGTGCTGCTCCATCACTTGTATTTTTCCCTGCTCTGGGCACTTTTTAAGAGCGTGTTCAGTAAATTGCAACAGAATTTCCACCATCTGTACTGCAAAAGAACATCATGAGAGAACCAGAACAACATAGATAGGCACTGATCTTTTGATCCCCACCTTATCACCCACTAAGCTTTTCCTTTTCACTGGATCTGCACAGAGGCCTGACACAAAACAATTGTGAGAATCTGACCAGAGCAACAGGACTGTTGGGTAACTCACCAACTACAGCTTTCGCAGTTCCCTCATTGAACGACCAGGCCAAAGACAGGGCCTCCACAAAGCTGTCCTGCTTCAGCAAGCAATCTATACGCTGGATCACACAACAGCAATGACAAATGACAAATGTGGAGCAATACAATACAATAACACTCGAAATGTACCTACTTCTCTCCAGCTTCTTAGAGTCATCATATGAGCAGACTGCAACAGAAGACAACACTGTCAAATACTGATAGTTCATTTGAGACCTTAAGTCATAGTGCCCTTTACCTTGGTGCCTAAATACATAATTTGTCCAGCATAGCTAGACACTGACTGGTAACAGGCCTTCTCACCGACCAGAGCCTGGAGTAAGCACAGAACAAATCCATAAGTGTTTATTATTCTGTCACTGAATTGATTGATGGATCACCTACCAAAGCCTGGGACACATTCCCGCCTGTTGCCAGAGACTTGAAGTGTCGACTGTTGTAGACCAGCTGAACCTGCTCCAGGTCCAGAATCTCCAGGACCTCCTGACTGGGTTTATCCACCACCTGGAGCTTCTCGTGGCTATCCACCATAACAAGAGTACGGCTGTTAATCCACTGTTCCACAGAGACAACAAGGAAATAATTTATTTACATTAAATGATTAACTTCTATTCACATTATCCCTCAAAAAAATCTTTTTCAACACACATTTCTTTAAAATATAAAACGACCACTCACACTGAGGCTGATGAGGTCACAGGTGAGCTGCAGCTGTTTCTGTTTGATGACATGGATGGTGCCTGACTCCTCCTTCTTAACCTGAAAATAAAAATATCAATAGAATACAGAGTCTATGAAGGTTGATCCATTACATATTCCTAATGTTTATTAGCTTTACAGACCAAAAGGAAGTGGACTGTATCTCCTTTACAAAAGGCCAAGATGGGGTTGACAATTTTCTGAACTGGAACGAACTGCCAGGCAAGCTGCGGGACACTAGAGGGGTCTGACTGTAATCAAAAGAAAATACGAATAAGTAAAACATTTTTTTTGCAATTCAACAGAAAGCATTGTGAGATTTCATAACACTTTGAAGCAACTTTTGTTAAAGTTAAACTCATCATTCTATCAATGTGCAGAAGCCAGTACTTTTCCCTTGTTTTGTCTATCTGAAGGCCAAGCTACAAGCACACCGTGGAAGCTGCTGATTGGAGGTCTCCATGCCTCCGCTCTGTATAATACACTTGCATTCTCTTGTATCTGTGATCGTGTGTTTTGTTCGTGCTGTCTCTACCATCGACAATAAAACATGTCTTCTGTCTGAATTTAAGACACGATCCCAGACTATGTCATCCTCTTCAGGTGGTGGAAGGATGCGGGCCTTGTCTGTAACATCTAGTGAACAGAAGACTACTTTTTTTTTTTACACAAAAAGTTTTTTTTTTTTTAAGCCAAAACTGAGAAACCTCAAGAGAATGCATCTGGATCAGCACACATGGACAATCTGCACAGCCCCTGATTCTACTCAGGCTGTGAGCTGCTGAGACATGGACAATACCATCGTCCTCTTTTGCATGAACACCATTTGGAAAAATTGGATTACACAATTTGGACATAATTTGGAACAATTGGATTTCTGAATTTGGACATAATTTGGACTGAATTGAATTGCTAAATCTGGACACTGAAGCTGAAACGTGTGATTGAAAGACACGTCACAGAAGAATTCATGGCTCGACACAAATGCAGCCTGAAGAAACCAACACGGAGAAGTGGGAGAGACTGTTTTCAAAGCAATATCTGGAACCACCATCGACTGATGAAGTTTGGTATTTTACTGAAGATTGTTGACAAGTTTTATGAAAGATCTGAACATGTTTTGAGTTTTTGAAGTATTCCGAGTTCTGAGTTTTTTGAAGTACCGAGTGAAGTACCGAGTTTATGAGTTTTTGAAGTATTGAGTTATGATGTTATGTTGCTGTTTATCGATCCTGATGGTCACACGTGAATGTATGACCAGAGGGGGGAATGTGAGATTTCATAACACTTTGAAGCAACTTTTGTTAAAGTTAAACTCATCATTCTATCAATGTGCAGAAGCCAGTACTTTTCCCTTGTTTTGTCTATCTGAAGGCCAAGCTACAAGCACACCGTGGAAGCTGCTGATTGGAGGTCTCCATGCCTCCGCTCTGTATAATACACTTGCATTCTCTTGTATCTGTGATCGTGTGTTTTGTTCGTGCTGTCTCTACCATCGACAATAAAACATGTCTTCTGTCTGAATTTAAGACACGATCCCAGACTTGGCATATCCTCTTCAGCATGTACAAGAAAATCTTTGGAAAGTATAAAATATGAAAACGAGGAAATTAAATAATTTAATTATCTTTGATCACCTTTAATAAACTTATGATCCATCTAAAATGTTTAGTTTGAAAACGAAACAAAGGGCACCCCCTTGTCCCGCTGACCCCCCTCCCCTTTAATGAAACGTCACTGAAACATGCTCAGTTTTGCTCCTCTGCAGACAAAGCTGTGACATGATTCATTTGCTTCCTTCGGGCAGATGGATCCGCCACATATCAGATTCAGAAAAGAAACCCGTGGAGAGGCTACGTGCCAGTAGTGAGACGACTGATGGGAGAGGACTGAGGGTGCGCGTATATGGGCAATGAATTACTCAAACATCCATGAATCACGTTAGAAACAGCTTTAAGTCTGTAAATCTTAGGGGGAAGACAACTACTGTGACTGTGGAAATTCAATATTTAGGTTATGTCCCTTTCAAAGTTTATAATTCCTTAATTAGAGGGGCCGCAAGAAGGGCCACAGACGACAACAAAAACAGAGCAACAAGGCCTAATCATGTAAGGTAATAGAACTGGAGCCTTATACAGACATTTCAAAAGACATTTGGAATATTATAAAGACAATAGATTGCATTCATTGTGAGCCCATTTGTTTTGCCACAGTTATTACGAGCTTAAGATTATTATCTCCCGTTCACAGAGTATGAGTGAATCAACCAACACAGACTACTGACCTTGCTGTAAGGAAAGGTCATCCAGACTTTGAGAGTTGGTTTTAATCCAATCACCAGAATCTGTGTTAAAGACATGTTTTACTACAACAGGTTATCATTATGTAACAAAAAGTCTCATAATGTGCGATGGGAACCTTGGTGAGAGAGGCCATCGCCAGCAGAGAGTACTGAGTGATGGGGTGATCTCTGAAATCTGGGGGGGTCCGGAGTGGTTCAATGCAACACACCTCTCCTTTAGAACCACTGAAGAGGCATCTGGAGTCACACGAGCGCATTCCCATCACCCGCCTGGACAAACGCAGCGTCATCAAAGTCAACACTCAACACATGATGAGATCTCTAAATATGCTCTGGCTAAGATCAAATGTACCTGAATGCCAACTCGAACACGGAGCCTCCGCTGTCGTTACAGACTGCCAGGGTTGGGTCATCTGTGAACTGCAACATGTGAGGAGTGAGACACAGTTTTGTCAACAGTTATCGCCTCTGTATTTACATTTGAAACAACAACCTAACGCACACCTGAGCATAAATACTCATATTTTAGGTTTTTCATATGACGTTTAATCAAAGTTAAACCTTCCATGCTACGTCAAGTGGAACAATACATTAATTGATCTTCTCATGCCTGCATATTAAGTTTCCTCCTGGTAGGAAATGCCCAAAAATGTAAAAGCACTTGTTCAGACTCTGTGTACGGTGCTATATAAATAGAGAATACTACTATTACGTCACATAATCAGAGGGTCAGAAGATTTGTAGAATTGCCTCAAACTGTTAAACTTGGGCCTTCCAAAAAGCTTCTATCCAATTCAAATATTTTTTTGTAGAGCCTTAAATCACAACAGCGCAGTCGACTCGGAAGACTACAAGGTTGTATATTCATCAACAACAGATCAGAGAATCAAACCTTTATCACCTGAATTGTGTGAAGAGTATCTGTCCTTTTTTATAAATAAGGTAAAATCCTCAAGAGCACTTATAACAGCCCCATCTTATGACCCTTCGGTGCATGTTTCTTGCTCTGCTGTTTTTGAGCAGTTTGAGCCTGAGACATTGTCACAACTAATTGACATTGTTAAGCATATGAAGGCTGCTGGATCCCCAGATGATCCTCTACCTCCACGTTTTTTTAAAGAGGTTTTTGAGACCATTGCACTTGCAGTTTTAACTTAGCTAAATAACAGTCTCACCACCCTTCTTAAAAAGCCAGGCCTTGACTCCTCTATGCTGTCTAACTTCAGGCCTATCTCAAAGCTTCCCTTACTTTCAAAAGTTTTTGAAAAAATTGTTTTTATCCAACTGAGGTCTTTTCTAGATGAGCACAACATCTTAGAAACCTTCCAGTCTGGTTTTAAAAGTGGTCACAGCACTGAATCAGCTCGCCTGCGTGTTTTTAAATGACATTCTAATTTCTACTGAAGCTGGTCACTCCGTTGTTCTGGTGCTGCTGGTATTGACGGCCGCTTCTGACACTGTGGACCATGAGATCCTCCTCTCGCGGCTGGAAGACTGGGTAGGGATCCATGGTTCTGCTCTGCAGTGGTTTCGGTCATATCTGACCGAGAGACATTTTTGTGCCAGTTTGGGAGATTTTGCCTCTTCTTTGGCCCCTTTGACCTCTGGAGTTCCTCAAGGGTCAATCCTTGGTCCTTTATTGTTTTCATTATATATGCTCCTGCTTGGACCCATCCTGAGAAAGCATGATGTTGGCTTTCATTTTTATGCAGATGATTGTCAAATTTATTTACCACTGAAAAACTGTGATGGACATGATTCTGCCTTTCTCTTGGACTGTTTGAAGGATCTACAATCATGGATGTCTTTAAACTTTTTGAACCTCAACCAGGAACTACCTGGTTGAGGTAATTGTTTTTAGCCCGAGTAGTGGCCACACTCCCTCTGCCGATCTGGGGTTTTTAAATGACTCCATAAAGCCAGCAGTGACAAATCTGGGTGTTAGGATGGACGCTAACCTGAAACTTGACCAGCAGATTTCAAAAGTCATCAAAGCAAGCTTTTTTCAGCTAAGGCAACTTGCAAAAATAAAGCCTATTCTAATAAAGCAGCACTTTGAGACTGTTGTGCATGCTTTTGTGACAACCCGTTTAGACTACTGCAATGCACTTTACTGTGGGCTGAGCCAACACGCACTTTCTCGGCTGCAGCTCGTCCAAAATTCTGCAGCTCAACTCGCAGATGTGAGCATGTAACACCGGTTTTAAAATCTCTACACTGGCTTCCAGTGGGTTCTAGAATTGATTTTAAAATTATTTTATTTACTTTTAAATGTTTAAATGGCATGGCCCCCTCCTACCTCAGTGATATTATTCTGCCCTATGTTCCCTCTCGCGCCTTGAGGTCGGCAGATCAGCTGATGCTGGTGGTCCCTAAGACACAGCATAAGCTTCGTGGTGACCAAGCTTTTTCTGTTACAGGTCCACGTCTTTGGAATCAGTTACCCATTGAGATTAGACAGGCTCAGTCTCTGCCTGTTTAAGTCACTTCTTAAAACTCATCTTTTTTTACTTGCTTTTGATAATTTTTGATCTTAGGTACTATTGTTTTATATATGTATTTTTCTGTCTATGTGTTTGTTTTTGTGTACAGAACTTTGGCTGAACTGTAAAGTTTTTAAAGTGCTTTATAAATAAAGCCGGTATGGTATGGTATGGTATAGAACACAGGAAATGCAGTAATAAAAAACACATAGGAGCCAAGCGTGCATAAATGTTAATAAACGTCCTTAAAATGTCCTGATTGTCCGGACAGAAGTGATGTAACCAAGTCAAGATGGGGGCAATACTTGACCGTACCCACTTTTCCAGCTCTGCATATAATGTCCATTGAGATTGAGGTAAAGTGCAGGCCATGGACATCGTGACCTTGTTATCCTTGAGCCATTTCTGTGATTGTTCAAACAACAACCCCAAGCACACAAACTTACATATCAGAAAATGTGGAAAACCTCTCTACTAAGGTGTATGTAAATCCTGTTTCAACTCTATAAAATCAGAGGAACTGCTGGCTTCTTTTGAGAGAGACTATTGAAAGTCCAAGATGAATGATTCCTACCTTCACATGCAAAATTGCAGTTCCTGGAGGGTGGGCATCTGTGATAGATCTCAACAGTTTTCCATTGGCCAAGTCCCACATCGTAATCTGTAGAAATAATGTCACCAGATATGTTATATGAGCTTTACAATTCCCAGGTCCAAGATGCTGCAGATAGTTCAGACAGACACCTGTCCCTTGGCGAAACCACAGAGCAGCCGTGTGCAGTCATGGTTGATGCTCAAAGCTGAAACGGCTCCAAATTCGGCCCCAGTGCTTTTGGACCCCAGGCACAAACGGAGAGCCTGGTTACTGTCTGCACACATACACAAAAACATTGCATTGTTATAAAGACTATTTAAATACAAGATACAAGTTTTGAAAGTTCTAAGGTCTATTGTGAAAAAACAAATAACCTTGAGCCAACAAAGTAAGCTGTAAAATTCTTTCAATTTGAGGTCAGGGTCAAATCTTGTATTACGTAAAACCAGTTTATTTTCTGAAATTTCTACAAGCAAGTCTATGTTTTCACCACTTCCCTTATACTTGAAATTTTGAGATATTTACTTGATCTCCTTTCAAATATAAACTCCTGGACAACAAAATGCAACATTGTGTAACTCGTTTGCATATGAGGTTCTTTAGTTACACAATGGGGAAAAGAAAACAATGGCTGAACAAGCATCAGCTCAAAACAAAAAAAATCAAAAGTAAATGAACCAATAGAGCATTAATCCATTAGGGCACATGCACCAGATACACAAGAGCCCTACCTTTTGCTGTACGGGCATGGGCAGAAAAACAGAGAGAGAGCAATAACATTATACAGTATCAAGAGGAAAGTGAAATGGACAAACCAGATTGCAGTAGTTATGGTTTAAAGAATGTTTGTCACCAAATATCTGTCTTTAGCAGTTTTGGCCAAAAATGAATATTTTCTGACATCCTTATAGAATTGTAACACTTCCACACACAGGAGGTCCACAATCAACATTGTGTTTGGAACAACCTTACTGTATGCATCTCTCAAAGTTGATTAAATCACTATATTGTGATGTTGTTAAAAAGATAAATGGTGGACTGATTAAGTGGAAAGTCCAAGCTGATAAAAGGAGCGCTGAGTAACGAAAGGTTACAGTTAAAGTGTGTGTCTCACATAAAGCAGGCAGCACCAGCATCAGAGGCTCTCTACGCACCAGAGAACAACATTTCTACGCTTTTTGATATTCAACACAGAAAGGTTTGCATATATTTTGCAACATATTTTGTTCTTGTGTAATTTCTGTTTGCTTCAAAATGAGTTAGATTTCTTTGCATGTACTGTGGTCTGGTCTGATTTAAACCACATGGGGAAATAGTCCTCTAAATGTAGATTACCAACTAACTTTCTTTAGTAACAATGTCAAATATTCAAACAAATGTCTCCAAATATTCTCCAAGAGTATTTTTTACAGTGGCAAAATGATATAACATGTTTTTTTCAGCGTTCCTGATCACTATGCCTCATCGCAGCTGTTGTGTGGAGATCATCAATAACTCTGAATACTTCTCCCTCACCAACCCAAGGTCAGAAGCAAAGACTATACGCTTAACCCAACTACATGCATGCACGATTCTGTCTATCACTGTGGCTACGGTTGACATCAAAAGATAATCTAAATGACATTATCCAAACAAGATTTAGAATAAAACATGAAAAACTGGTAGACTACTGCCAAACTATGACCCCGCCTTGTGCCAAGCTGGACTATTCTAAGGTTCTTAAACTTCAGGGTGGTACACTGAAGTTTTCAGATCAATATCACCAGGTTATGCCTCAGATTGTCCCCTAAATCATGTCTGTGTGCTTGTGTGCAGGGTGTTCACAGAGAGTGGCCACTGCGAGGTGCCCCCACCCCCTACGGTGCGGCCATGTTCTATGGGATCTGCCATGTTTAATAAGACCACAGGCGCCGCGACAGGAGCTGTGGGAGTCTTGACCTACAATCTTGTCAATGCTGACAATGACTTTAGTCAAACACTGGCCATCATGTACTCTGTGCCATTTGATCACAACATCTACTCCAACTGGTACGCTGTGGGTGTGTTGGAGCTCGGAGTGGACTGTGATTATAACCTATACAACAGTATGTACAATGGCAGCGAGAACGGCTTCGTGAGAGGCCTGGGCAACGGCTCCAGCATGACCCTCGAGGGAGAGTTTCTGTTGGTCAGTGCCTCCATGTCAGAAAATGGAGAGGCTGCCTTACGAGTGGACATTAATGACAGGACCATGTTGTTCTAGCACTCAAAGTAATGTCATGCTTTTATAATAAAATTTAATCATTTTACCCAGTGTGTCTTTGGATCTGGACTATCAAGGAAACAATAATTACTTTGAGTCTTTGACATGTTATTGTTGTATAAAAGTAATGGTTAAAAAATATTTTTAGTATTGAGGGTTGAATATGAGAGCGCAAAGCTTTAAAGTAACAAAAAAAAGAGGAACAAGAACAGCCCACATCTACCTGATCACAGAAATATTAATGCACTTAATTAAGAGTGATTTTTGTTGAGTTCCTGGACCAGTCACTTCTTCAAAGTCAGTTCACGAATACTCATTCCCACAGGAGTAGTCTCTTCCCTGCATGGTGCAGAGGGCTCTCTCTCCATCTATTACACTATTGTACTATACTATGGTGTGGTGCATGTGATTAAAAACCCTCATTGACGGGTTATGATTACATTTGTGTGATTTCAGGTGGGTCCCAGGGACGCACAAGTGGAGAAATACTGATCATAAGATTCTGTACAGGTTCTGACATATTTCAGTGGTTTATAGATGAAACAAGTTATTACATTACATATTACATATATTCAGATTTAATATAACTCACCAAATACTAACGCAAGACCATGTGAAGTTCCAACAGCCACTACACCCGCCACTGTCTGAACAAACAACAATAGAGTACATCATTAAGGCTTACAGTGAGTCGTCAGTGCTTAGAAATAAATGGAGATAATACAGTCAATCAAAATCAATGATTCAAATTATCCCCAAAATGGCAGGGTTATAGCAGAAATCAGTCACATGATATTTAACCTCTTTGCTAACATTTGTTAGTCTTTGGATCTGAGACGCCCTGACTTCCACACACTCTCAAGGTTTTCCCAGGGCAACTGAGAAACATAGTCCCTTCAGTGTGTCCTGGGTCTACGCCAGAGTCTCCAACTGCTGGAACAGGCCTGGAACAAGCATCCAGGAGGAAAGTAATGTTGACCACTTGTATCCGCGATTTTGTCCGTTCGGTCATTATCCAAAATGATCCATATAGGGTGGGGACATAGACTGATGCTAAATCTGAGAGCTTTGCCTTTACAACGCAGTTCAATACAGCAGCCGCATCACTGCTCACACTGCACCGATCCATCTGTCAATATCTTGCTCTCTAGTTCCTTCACTTGTGAACCTTTTTCCTGTTAAGAATCATGACCTTGGATATAGATTTGGATTTGGGATTCAGCCACTACACACTCAGCTCAAATCGCTACAGTACATCCAAGTTTGATGAAGCAAATAGAACAACATCATCTGCAAACAACAGAGATGAAATCCTGTAGTCCCTGGCTGTTCATTGAAATTCTGTTTATGAACAGAATTGGTGAGAAAAGGGCAGCCTTGCCGGAGGCCAAGACCGGGAACAGGTCTGACTTACTACTAGCAATGTGAAAACAGGTCTGAGTCTGATCATACAGGGACCCTGGAATGGACATTCAGATCTCATCCATTCCAATGGCCTGCCACCGAGAAGGTTACAAACAACCTCAGTGACTTCACTGCCCAGGAGATGGAGCAGCCTCTGTCTTCAAAGAGGAGGATTGAGGAGAACATCTGACTATTTGTTCCAGCAATCAATTGTCTTTAAATGAAAACATGGCGATAGTCCAAACTTACTATAGCAGTTGGCAGACCAGCATCAACTTTGTCCTGGAGAAAAAATAAATTACATTAACTGAAAGAGATTGTATGTAATGTTTCTGAATATGGTGAGATAATCCTTACAGCAGCTGAAACTATTTGTGCGGAGATGCCTTTGAGCAAACTGTGCCTCAGAACAGAACCGTGCACAGCAGCATTCACGTCCAGTGCCTTCTTCCTCCTGCAATGTGAGTGAAAGTCCATTTTCAATAGTTTAGGGAGACCAATTTTATATTTTTTTGCTCGTAATAATAATTCCAAAAAACATATGTGTAACAATAAAATCATCACTGAATGGGGATAAAGGGGTGGGATTAATTTTTTTTCTTCTTCCCACTCCTTTTCAGGCAGAATTATATGGCCAAGTTTATACCGTGCATTTATTGTTTATAAAAAAAATTGTGTATTATGTTTTTTTTTGTTTATTGAGTTTTGTTTGTTTGTTTTTTTTGCACAATATGGTTTATATTCTTTAACTGCATTTAATTACCTTATTTACTCACCTGTGCCATTGCCTGAAATAAATGAATAAATGAAATGAAAATGAAAAAATTATTATATATAAAAAAGAAAAGGTTGGACATTGTTCTGAGACTGCTTTGCAAATGCTCGGGTTGAAAGCTCGAGGGGGAGAGTGAGAGTGTAAGTGCTTGCCGTTTAAGATTGGTTGGGTCGCCACTGTCAGAGCTGGCCAGAGATGAGGTGTCACAGGAGTGAGCGTCCATATTGTCTGTGTTCAACAAGCAGGTGTCCTCCAGTACAAATGGAGCATCCTCCTCCTCAGACTAACAAATACATAAAATACAATCAGTGTCTAAAATGAAATATTCATTGTGTTGCTGAAAATATAGACAGCATGCTAAAATAGTTCTGCCCAAATAATGGAGTATGTGCATACCTCATTGAGGATGCTCTCCAGAGTGGGAGGGGTATCCACTTGAGGAATGTCAAACTCCTTATCATCAATCTGGGAGAAACAAAATAAAGATGGTGTCAACATCTCTTTTTGATGGTTTTTATGGCGGCTGTGCCAATAGCTTAGCACAACCCCACCATTAACACAACGCAGTTCTAACCGACCAGAAAAAAAAGAATTATTCAAGTCAGTGTTTCAAATTGTCATTTGGCCAAAATATTTGGACCTGAAATAAAATCGAGATTTGTGATATGGATAGAAGCATCAAAAATGTCATAAACATACACTATCCACACAGCCAGCCATATTGTGTTTGCAGTTATTATTATGTTCTGTCAGACGTGACTACTGACCATAGACAGTAAATAACAAAAAAAGAGGCCATGACAAAAGGGGTACCAAACTGAGTTCGATATGCAGAAGCAGGATGAGTAGTAACCCATCCAGGCCTGATGAAGCAGACCGCTCTGTGTAGTAATAATAATGTAATAATAGTTCTCACCGCGTCCACGTCCATGTCTCTGAGCTGAGCCACAGAGAGCGCACTGTCCGCACTCTCCGACATGTTCCCTTTACATGTTTACAGCATGTGTAACTATAAACACTTTGTATGACACCTACACAAGCTAACCCGGCTAATACCGAAGCTAACCATCAGCTAACAACAAATGTTCTTCTTCAACGATCCCCCTGTGTGTTTGTAGCGCCCCCTACCGCCTGACAACTGTGACTGCAGATTGCAGATTACTAGAACAACTGCGGTTGTTGTAGTAAGTAATCTTTCATTAAAAAGCGTTTTCACTCAGACAAAGACTGTCACTTTATGGTACAAGCGCCACTTGCTGCAAAAATACACACCAGAGGAACGGAGCTCCAGGCCCACAATGATCAGAGGTCTGACTATAGTCTTTGATAAGCTAAAAAACATAATTCGTTTTTTATTCAGGCAGAAAGAATATAGACTTTATTTAAATGTTTTATAATAGTTACTTCCACGCTACATCAACACGTCAAACAATTACATTTGAAATAAGATTTATATCCAAGTTAGAGTAAATTCGGCGGCAGTAGCTCAGTTGGTAGAGCGTTGGCCTTTGAGCCAGAAGTTTGTGGGTTCAAGCCCCGCTCAGGACTTTCACCATCGACTCCCACTGATTACTGTCGTTGTGTCCTTGGCAAGACACTTAACCTCTGGGAACACCAGAGTGGGGCGGCTGCGGCTGTAAAGTGCCAAACTGCCGTTGTGTCCTTAGGCAAGACACTTCACCCCTATTGCCTAGAATGAGTCTGGTGTGAATGGTTGGTGGTGGTCGGAGGGGCCGATGGCACATACTGGTTGCCTCGCTTCTGTCAGTGTGCCCCAGGGCAGCTGTGGCTACATTAGTAGTTTATCACCACCGTGTATGGAGTGAATGAATAATGACACATGTGAAGCGTCTTTGAGTATCCAGAAAAGCGCTATATAAAACCGATGCATTATTATTATTATTATTAAATTCAATATAATGTATACATTGAACAGATTAATATTATATTTCAATTGTATTTGTTAATGACATAAAGCCATATTTGTTGTATTAGGATTGGGGTCGGGTTTAAATAAGACTGTCTTCAACCTACTCCTTTACAGTTATCAGATGTTATAAAAGAATGAACGAAATTACATGAAATAAAATGTAACTCTTACTATAACTGTTCAGTTTAACACATTCTTTAACACTTCTTGTCTCCTACACATTCAAAGTTAGAAGATGTAAATATATATATATATATAGACAATTAATATATATATATAGAGACCACTTAAATACTACTTAAGTTAAAACTTTACTCATAATTAATATGAGTTAATCTTTTTTACCTCACAGACAATTGTGAAGTGAAATAAAATGGGTTTTACATAGGACATCCTGCTCCAGTAATGACCAATGTCTTTTCCCAGGCGTTTGTTTTATTATTGCATTTTCTCTGTTCTGATTTTTTGATTCTCTGAACTGTTGTTGGCAAATTGACACATGCTCTCCTTTTGAGCGTCTGTTCTTTAGGTTGTCTATATTGTCTATAAATTAAATTAAATATTTCCGACCATAAAGATTTTGTTTTTAATGACTGAGACTTTTGGGGAATGACTTTCACTTTTCACATCTAGAGACTGAATGTTTTTTCCCATTCTTCTTCCAACTCAACTCAACTATACTCATTCCATTTCCGAATAATGACATGAAAGCTCGGGAAATATTTGGATAACTTCACCACAACTTTCTTTCCTTCCTTAAGGTTCAAGCCCCACTTTCAGTTTATTTTTTTCTAATAACTATCTCATGTATAAATTTGCTTTAAAAAATAAAAAATATAATCATTTTGTTTGCGGCCGTAAACAAGAACATGAGCAAAAGGTTGGATTTGACATTTTGCAACGTTCTGTATCATTTACTACATTATTGTCCCGTCTAGGGGGTAATGTAATGTAATCATGTGGGTTGTTGTTTGTTGATGATTCAAAAATATTGTGGACGGATTGGAAATGGGACAAGAAACAGTATACATTTTGGAGGTGAATTAAAAGGAAGGTTCTTTCCAGTGCCTTTCCCCTTTATGGTTGAGATTTAGGTACACTGTTCATATGGGGTTAATTTGAAAATAGCAACATTGGGGGTGTTGCTGTAAGACTTGGTACAAAAAAGGGGTGTTGGAGGACTTGGAACGAAACCATGGTGAGTTGAAACTAAAAAATGTAAAAGGACTGTAATCATTTGTATAAAATCTTACAAACCATACCACCCATGTCTGATTCATGTGTTAAAAACAATCTAAAATGTATGAGGTTGAAATATCATACATTGACAGTGCAAATGTTTTCAACCCATTCCAAAAAAGAAGTTAAGAACTTTATGGTTTTAGAGGTTTCAGAAACAAATTTCAATGAATAAACATGCAGATAAGCTCTGGTCACACTCTGAATCATTAGTTATATATGAGACAGATACACAGGGTTACTTCTGGAACCCTGCATGAGCTGGGGGGCACTTTGCAGCTCCATCAACCAGGTTAATATATCCAGTTGTCGGTCACTGTATCAACATTTGTGGTGGCGAGGGAGTCAGTCAGTACACAGAGCACCAGCCCCTCACTGATCCTCCTTGTTTTTTTTGTGACTATGAATAAATGCATTAATTGGACTCAATTAAAACACATGCAGAAGGTTTATAGGGCCAACATTTAATGGTTTCAATAATGAAAATGAATGAAAACATTCAACTATTTAGTTCAGAGTGAGTCTTTGTACTTTATATTGCTATATAATGAATATATTGCTACTATAGGTCCGTCGTAAATTTAGTGCTACAGGTTTCATGTTTGGAATTTTAAAAAAAACTTTATTAAGATGATTCGCCATATCATATTTGACTCGTATGGAAACTCAGCAAGTCTATACTGAAAGTTCGCAATAAAAAGGTTCCCACTGTGCTCTAAGAAGACTATACACAGCAGACTCATGTTCCATTCAATCAAACGGAAGACAAGGGGATAATTGTTGATTTAAGTTGACAGACTTGATGTCACAGTAGTTTGCTTTGGGCAGTGGCAGTGGGCACAGTGGAGCAGTGGGAATGGGAGAAGGGAGAGAGGAGACAAGGACGCCCCTCTGCGGTGGGGGGCCGCGGCCTGCTCTGTTCCTCCATTCACAGTAAATAAAAGCATGGAGGTCTGACTCTCGGGATCTAACAGAGCCAGCGGGGGGTAGAGACGCCGCATGCGCCTGATTCTTTCACCAAAACACGCGTCCAGGAGGGGGACAGCGCGGGGCTCTTTCTGTGAGACCACCGCACACATTTGACGTGGCACTGATCCTTTTAGCGCGACCGAGCGGGGCAGCCCGCCGAGCACAGCATGAAGCGGGCGGCTGGAGTGGCCAGGCACAATGGCCTGGTCTCTCCGCTGGGGAACAACAACTCCGGGGCCTCGAGCATCGTCTCCCCGACGTTTCTGCGAGCCAACGCGGTCTGCGTCGGTCCAGAAAGCGGTGGAGGAGGAGCAGAAACGGTAGACGGGCTACTGGATTTCTCTAAAGGCCCCAGCATCAAAACCGAGCTGGTTTGTAAATGGATAGAGCGAACTAGTTCTCGGCAGACTGGGCGGACGGCGACATCCGTCTGTGAGCAAAGTTTCAGCTCCATGCACGAGCTTGTGGAGCACGTCACCAGTGAGCACGTCGCGGCTGGGCTGGAGAGCCTGAGTCATGTGTGCATGTGGGACGAGTGTCTGCGAGGAGGCAAGGCTTTCAAAGCCAAATACAAACTTATCAACCACATCCGAGTGCACACCGGGGAGAAGCCCTTCTCCTGTGCCTTCCCCAACTGCGGCAAGATGTTTGCGCGCTCCGAGAACCTCAAGATCCACACGCGCACACATACGGGTAGGCTGTCACCATTTTGTCATTATGTGTCAGGTTAGAAGGCTCGCAGCGGGGGTCCTGGCAGGGGGGCTCTGCCAGTGTTTGGCCGATTATTCCCCTGTGCAAGCCTTCTCTGTGTTTACAACACAGATCACTCCACTCACATCACATCCGCCCTGGCTGCTCCCGAGCACCTGGGGGGCACCCCACTCTACAGCTTCATAACAGTGGGTATTTATGAACCTCTTGCCCTGTAGTGTACAAGGATAAATGTTCCAATTGGGGTTTGATTCTTGGTAAGTTAAAGGGCAGTTTAAAGCATTGTGGGTTAGGTTGGGGTTTTGAAATTTAGCGCAATCTACCTCTATATTTATCCTGAAAGAGTCCCACTCATTCATGCATGATCAAGGCAAACAGTTTCACAAAGCAGTAACGCTTGATCTCATTGACAGAACCTGTAGTTTATTATGCATCTATTAGATAATGATTATTCTTAGTACTGAAAGTTGCTGTTCAAACCTAATCACAAAACATAATTCATCCTACCATCTCTGTTGCCAGTTTATTATAATTCATCTTTGCCCTGGGAGAACCCCCCTGAGATGTTGTCAGGGTCTTAACATTGTCCTTTGGAGATCAATGCATTGATTTCATTGAAAGCCTTGCAGTTACTTGTGCGCCTTTGTATGCTAGAGCATACAGTTTGAAAACATCCTATCATTAGTTCTTGGTAGGAAAACAAACTATATTAACAAATAACATTGTTTGGAGTGGGCAATGTACATTTACTTGGAGCTATACTCCAATTTTGATTGCTTTACAATACATTTAATCTTTTTGCTTGAATATATTTGCTCCTTTCGGGACTGACTAATAAGAGGAGGGTAACAATAGGCGCCTACAGAAACTGCTCTTTGTGAATCAAAGGCTTTTTTCCATGCAACAGTTTAGATAATTAACAGAATTAGGCATTATAATTGTAAACAATGCTTTTTTGTTGTATAATAATAATAATTCTAACTTACTAAATCCTTTTGCCCCAGATGCAATTATTATTATCAAATTAACAAGATTTCTTCTGGTTGTGTGATGTTTCCTCATCCACAGGTGAGAAGCCGTTCCAGTGTGAGTTCTGTGAGCGGCGTTTTGCCAACAGCAGCGACCGCAAAAAGCACTCCCAGGTGCACACGGCCTCTAAGCCCTATGACTGCAAAGCTCTGGGCTGCACCAAGTCCTACACACATCCAAGCTCCCTGCGCAAACACATGAAGGTGCACGTCAAGTCCTCACCTACCTCTGAACTGCCAGACCCATATGACCCTCTGTCCCATCATCTGCAGCATCAACCTGCCCTGCTGCAACCCTTAAACCTCAAAATGAGCTTTTCTCCCCCCATGGCACACAGGACTCTCCACTTTCCTTTGCGCTCCAATCACGACTTTGACAAAAGTTCTGTGACAGAGACTGACCATAAAGCTCTGCTCCGGAGCGTGTCGCCCAGCGCCGTCCCTCTGGACCTGTCTCTGTCAGGCCTGAAGAAGAGCCAGCAGCAGCAGAGCCGACAGCCTCGCCGCACTCAGCGCTCTGTCAACCCAGCCATACCTCACTTCTCCAACATAAAGGAGTGGTACGTGTGCACCAGGACTACAGCGCCACACTTTCCACTGCTCCACCCAGACCACATCAAACTGGAGCCCAGTGACGATGAGGAGTACGGCACGTAGGTCACAAGGACATGTTTGTGCCCAGGGCTGAGTGTTCACTTTGGTACAAAGTAGTTTGAATAGAGGATTATAGTGCACCTACATGAAACCTCACATCCCACTGTTGAGTGGTGCTACGCAACACTTTCTTCTATATAAGATGCAGGGTAAAGCTAAAATATCTGACATTCAGTCATCTTCTATAGTTCCCATCGGGGATCACAAAACCACCTGATAAATTTGCATAATAATTATATTCCACTAAATAATACAAGAAACTATCCATGTTTCTTCTGTTGTCGAGGAAGAACATGTTTAGTCGTTCGACCAACAAACTTTTCTAGTACATTTTTTGCAGTACTAACTGTACTAAAGTGAGTCACAGCTTACCAATACTGAGATGTCATATCATTATTGTACTAGACATTTCAGGACAAAGGAGTCATTGATGTATCTTCCTGCACCAGCAGTTTAGTTGTTTTTATATTTTTGCTCATTTAACAGGAATCTTGACTCCCAACCCAAAAGATGCCAGAGGTCTTTAAACTAATATTTTGTATTAAAAAACATGTACAGTCTATGATCATTGACAGCTACTCCTATGTCCAAATCCTAAGGGCTAATCTAAAGAAGAAACCTGTCTCTATCTGTATTGTAGGGATCAGAGCGAGCTCAGGGAGACAAGGGAACAGAAACTACAGCCAACACAGGACAAAACAATTTAATGGACACTGCGCATCAGTTCAATATGTAGCACTTTGTCCTATCAATCAGAAATGTCTCCTACTGATAATATGAGTAATATGAATGGACCAGCTCACAATTAGTGAAAGATGAATGGGTAAAACCAGGTAGAGACTACTATCTACAAATACTAGCATCAGTGTTTGTGATGTAGATAAGCCAGAAATCTCGATAATGGTTTCTTAAGAATACGGTTGAGTTTTCTGTCAATTCCATTTTGTACACATGTAGCAGGAGAGAACAGGTTTTGGTCCTTGTTATGTTGTTTCCCTATGAGGAAAAACGTAAACTGCATACTCATAGTTAACCCTCATCTACGGGTTGGTAGGAGTCAAATCACTCTAGAATTAAGTGCCCAAATACAAAGTCCCTTTGGTGTTTTAATTCAGCAAGACTAGTTGTTCTCAAATGAGGCTTAGCATGAATTAACTACTGCACTTTACAGGCAAACTGGTGATCAATGGAAGAAGTACTGTCATATCCCAGAGGGCTCAGAGCATGATACAAAAATGTGCACAAAAGTTTATGCAATATGAATATAATATTGCTCAAACAATAACTTCCAGTATTTCAGATAAATACTTCACCGGAGTCCTGAATTTCTCATGGTCAAAACCACACTGTGATTTCCGTATGCTTCATTCTGACCAACCATTTTGAAATTACATTTAGGATTTCAGTTCATGCAGTATGTATTATAAATATTTCTTGAGTTGATGTTGTGTTAAATGTTAAGTTTACTTTCAGAGCACTTCTGATCTTTTATTGAACTGTACTTGTGTACTTGTTTTTTTTTTTTAAATATACAGTATATATATATCTACAATAAAGGTAGAAAAAGACCATATTCCATATGTGTTCAGAAAGCAGTCAGTTATGTAATGCTCTACAAAAGGCGGGGACTTATACAAAAGAGATATATAATATTCTATACAAGGAAAAAATGGGCCTGTGTACAGAGCTTCAGACTTCAGAGTCTTCTGTTCAATCTGATAAGCACTTTGTTCAACTGATTTGTTCCAAAACTTCACTGGTGTCAATGATGTGACTGCCGGTCTACAGTGGGATCCCTTCATTTCATTTTTTTCTGAGGAAACATCTGATTTGAGTTTGATGCCATAAGTGAAATGACTGATGCCATATTGTGTGTGTGTGTACAGTGAATGTGAAGGTGGTGCTCCAGGCTGCAGCTCTTCGCTTCAGTCTGAATATTAGCACATCTAACACATCTCTCATGTTTCAATGAATTAAAATACATTTTTGTTGCTGTATGTTTATTCTCTGTTGTTATGTCCTAAGAACATTCACATATATTGAATTGATTGATGGTTGATTGGTAATAATTACAGTAGGCCTAAACACCGACTAGATAAAGAATACCATAATTACAATGTATTTTGTCGGGCATTTCGTTATATGGCTTAATCCTTGGACTGAATTTAGAACTCTTTCACGCAGACTTGTTTACTACTACACATTAGAAAAGCATTGCAGGGTTAGAGCAACAAAGTTAAAACAGTGATATTGGAATAGGTCTTGTCTTGGATAATTACAAAAAAATCTGGCCCTAAATGAATCTACGCGACCATCACGACGTGATGATGTCAGACAGTCGTGGTAACGTAAGTCGACACAACTGTCGCGGAGTGTCAACATGGCGTCGCGCGGCCGCTGTCCGAGTCTGAGCAGGTTACTGCTGGCTGCCAAGGTGAGCGCCGCGACACAGCAGGCTCTGCTCACATCACATCCAACTAGGGAGATGTTTTCTTAAAGTCAGCATTATGAGGTGGTTGTTATTGTAGTTTGACACGAAAGTCCCGTTTGTTCTCGCTCTAAGGTCGCGAAATGTGAAGCGAACAACACAGAAGACCAAAGCGCATAACAATTTCAAAACAAGAGTAATGCATTTTTATAGTACTTATAAAAATTCACTCACTTCAGTTAACGTTAATGCTTTGAACCTGTAAAACACGTTATAGCCTTTGTCAAAGTCTCTGAGCGCTACAAGTCACTTCACATCCTGGGACTCTGCAGGCTTCAGCTGCCTCATATTCATTAATGTTTAAGTTATGTTCACTTGTGTTTCCAGCATGTCAAACTCCAATCTAGACTGTGTGCGCTGCAGGGAAGAGCGCAGTATTCCACTGTGTACAACCCAAATGAGGAGGTAATTCTCTTGAATTCTCTTGAAATAATACATTGGGCTTTGTTGTTTAAGATTTCAAACGTGTTTTTGTATGGTGCCATTTATTTGTCTGTTCTTTAGACCTTTGAAAAGATCTTGGTGGCTAACAGAGGAGAGATTGCTTGTAGGGTAAGATGGACTAACACAAGACAATATGACACCTTTGCGACTTGCTCTGTAGAGTTCTGATAGTTCTGTGTGTCGTAGGTGATGAAGACCTGTAAGAAGATGGGAATCCAGACAGTAGCAGTTCACAGTGATGTTGACGCCAGTGCTGTGAGAGGCTTTTGTTGGATGTGCACTTGCGAGCACATGTGGCTTATGTGTGTAATGTAATGTTTGTCTCCCAGGTCCATGTGAAGATGGCGGATGAGGCCATATGCGTTGGACCTGCGCCTACAAATAAAAGCTATCTCAACATGGATGCTATCATGGAGGCTATCAGATCTACTGGAGCACAGGCAGTAAGATTAAAAGCAGTAAAATTATAAAAAATATAGTCGCAGAACTAATGAGTTGGATGCATTGTCTATAAAGGTTCATCCTGGATATGGATTTCTCTCTGAAAACAAAGAGTTTGCGAAAAGACTTGTAAGTGCAATTGTTTGAACGTTCATATCTTTGTGGTAATTATTAGTATTGCTAGAACATACAATAACTGAATACATGTGTTTCTGTATATATTTGTGTAACAGGCAGCGGAGGGCGTTGCATTTATTGGACCAGACACACATGCCATTCAAGCGATGGGAGATAAAATAGAAAGCAAACTGATTGCGAAGGCGGCCAAGGTGAACACTATTCCAGGCTTTGATGGAGTTGTCCAGGTACACAAATAAACTACATAAAAAAAATGATTAACAGATTTGTTTGTATCATTTAATTTTTCACTTTATTCCAGAATGCAGAGGATGCCGTGAAAATTGCTCAGAGTATTGGTAAGCCTCATTTGTAAAGCATCACATAAGATGCATCTGAAGGAAATGTATCTCTCTCCACCACATTCTGCCTCTGAGATCTATTTATAAGTGATCAATATAAAGTATGGACTGTATTTAGTGATTTAGTTTGAGTTTATTAAGATCCCCATAAGTGACTGAGGTGCAGTAGCTATTCTTCCTGGAGTCACCTGCACTGTTTTATAACTTTGAGATTGAACGACAGGGTTTTCTGTGGCGGATGGTGATCTTAATTTTAATTTTTCAAAACGTTTTAGAAATTTTGACGTGCAATTTAATTAAATGGAGATTTCTTAATTATTTAAAGAGGTTGGTGCAAATTGTATTATGCTCGTAAGGAATTTGGACCATTTTAGAGGTTGTTACATAATGCATTTATGGATATTAACGGAATAAGAGCAGGAGAGAAAATACACAGATATCCAATATTGTATCACCTGGTTATGTCTGTGATTACTTCTTGCATTATGGAGTTTTTTTTTTTATTGAATATTCTCTCCTTGTATTTTTTTCCTGTAACAGAATGACAATGTGATGGTTTGATTGAAACATCTAAAGGTACAGATGGCCAAGTACTGCAGACAGATTTACAGATTTTTAGGTTAAATTAAATCATTTTGTAAGTGATAAAGTAATCTTATTTATACAGCGGCTTTCCCTGTCCAGAGTCACAAAGCGCTTTACAATTGTTGTAGGCGTTTGTCTCTCATTCCTCAGAGATGGGAGCGGAGTCGCCAGTACAGGAGGCGCATGCCAGACCTATTGTGCATGTTTTTAGTGGTAGGGGAAACCGGAGCACCCGTAGGAAACTTACGTAGACAAGGGGAGAACAAGCAAATTCCATTCAGACAGGCCCTCTTCCAACCAGGATTTGAACACAGGACCTTCTTGTTGAGAAGTGAGAGTGCTATCCACTCAGCTACCGAGTCGCATTTACCTTTTCAAATGAGGTATAACATGCCATGTCATGATATATTATTCGATCTCTAATTTTAGCTTTGTAATCCTGGATGTCCACATTGTCATTCCTGCATCATTCCATTGCGGTGCTTAATCTGGCCGCACGCTGAAGGACTGGATTTGAAACTTTGTTTAAAACAGTCGAAGGACTATGGAGTGGGTGGCAGCTGTGTCACACACACTGTTTTACTGTTACAATATTTTTACAGGTTACCCAGTGATGATAAAGGCATCAGCCGGGGGAGGTGGCAAAGGGATGAGAATTGCCTGGAACGACGAGGAGACCAGGTAGATGACTGTTGTCTGGTACTTCATGCTCAGGATGTACTTTAAGCCATTTATTTTCATAGTAGTCAAATATAAAAAAAGAGAGCTAATCACAGGTGTGCTTCAGATTACAATCAAACACTCGCAAACACGCCAGATTCATACTAAAGAATGACAGAGATCTCACATCAGGCCACACCTTGCTGGTTCTTAGATCTGATGAGATAAGGCCACAGAGTATTCTCTGTGTAGATGCATATCACAAACCTGAAAAGGATCTTTAGGTTTATGATGTATTGTAGGGATTCATCTGTTTTCTTCAATATGTGTTCTTTGATTTCTTCTGCTGCGTAACCTTGGTTTCGACTGATCCAGAGAAGGCTTCCGCTTCTCATCTCAGGAGGCTGCATCCAGCTTCGGTGACGACAGGCTCCTGATTGAGAAGTACATTGACAACCCTCGGCACATAGAAATACAGGTATGATTTAGTTCATGATGTTCAGGTTTTAGTGGAAACTTAGCAATATACGTGGAGATCATGTAAATGTACTATGCACCTTTAATACCTATAATGTGTCATTCAATGCATAAAAAATCCCACAAATGCAATTGCAACTTTGAGAAACATAACTGATTAAATAAAAATTAAAACATCAATCGCTCTAAATAATGTAATACAGTACATTGTTCATTTTAGACCTTCAAACATTAATTGATGGTTTAAAATGAGTGTCTTATGTGTTCAGCTCAAAAAAAGGATCAAATAAAAAATAAAAAAAATTCACACATACATTCACAAAATAAATAAAAGAAATGGAATAATCAAAGGTGCATACAGGTCCAAGGCTGCCCAGACTTTGGGTCACCTCGCTCGTGTGAAAGTTAATGTTTTTGAATACAAGATAAATAATAGAAGAACAAGATCATGCCTTTGCGTCGGTGTGTTTTAAATCTTTCTATACAGTGAAAGTTTTAGGGCTCCACCTTTTTTGTCAAACGTCTAAAGGGTTAGTTTACACACACACAAAAAATGGAAATAGACAAAAGGTGAAACGAGAAAGAGGATTTTTGCAAAAACCAAAACAATGTACAGATGTGTCTGGCTTTGGGATAAGTTTCTCTTTTGTTGCAGGTTTTGGCAGATAAACACGGCAACGCTCTGTGGCTGAACGAGCGAGAGTGCTCAATTCAGAGGAGGAACCAGAAAGTAGTAGAAGAAGCCCCCAGGTCAGTTCTACACAGCTCCACACTGCTTTATACAATATGACTGACAATTGCATTCAAAATCGGACCATGATCTGATTACTTGGATTTACCTATATATTGAAATCAAATTGAACCTTTCAGGGAGTGACTTAATGCAGCAAAAAGGGGGCAGTTAAACACAAAATGATAGCAACTTAACAAGAAGGATTAAATTCAATGTAACTTCCCACTTTGGCTGTTTCAGTGCATCCATTCTAAAATGTACACATCTGGAGGTGTTTATTGAATTCCTGTGTTTCTACAAAGTTGTCGATTTGCCGACACAGATCAAAGTCCTCAGAGGCTACTGTTGTGATTTAGGGTTATACAAAAATAAATAAATTGAATGATGTGTGTTGTGTGCAGCACGTTTCTGGATCCTGTGACGCGGAAGGCGATGGGCGAGCAGGCGGTGCAGTTGGCTAAAGCCGTGCAGTACTCCTCCGCCGGGACTGTGGAGTTCCTCGTGGACTCAAGCAAAAACTTCTACTTCTTAGAGATGAACACTCGTCTACAGGTCCGAGCCTTTAACTGCTTCTACTGCTACTCCAATGATGGTCATCATTCAAATCAAAAGCTTTGATTCTCAATCAATACTTTAAGTTTTCCCTTCCCATCTCTTTGGAAACATTACAGCCCTAATTTAAAAAAAAAATCATTTTGGTGTCATTGGAATTTGCATATAAATATAAGTACAATAAATCTGTAAAAGACCAAAGTGTTGTCAGTTTCAAACACACAGATGTGGTCCTCAGGTGGAGCACCCCATCACAGAGTGCATCACGGGCCTGGACCTGGTGGAGCAGATGATCCGTGTAGCCAAAGGTTTCCAGCTCCTGCACAAACAAGAAGACATTCCTATTAACGGATGGGCCATTGAGAGTCGCGTTTATGCGGAGGTCCTTAATCTGCACCGGATTTCTAAATTTGGATTCAAATGATCTTAGACATAAACCCTGATCTGTTTTACCAGGATCCATACAAGTCTTTTGGTTTGCCATCGATCGGGCGCTTGTCTCAATACCAGGAGCCACTCAACATTAGCAATGCAAGTACATCTTCCCTGTTTTTGCATCATGTTCTCAGAGCTGGATGTCTTTAGAGTTGCTTTTTGTCTCCAGGTGCGAGTTGACAGTGGCATTCAGGAAGGCAGTGACATCAGCATCTACTATGACCCAATGATTTCTAAGGTTAGTTTTTGATTTTTATCTAGATTAAACTTTATATTAATTTTCTATTTTATAATTCACTTTAGCTTGTGACGTACGGTGCGACCCGAGCAGAAGCCCTGGCAAAGATGGAGGATGCTCTGGACAACTATGTGATCAGAGGTTAGTTTCCTCTGATAACACTGGTTAGACTCAACTTGTGCAAACTGGTGTATTTAGTTAAAATAGTTATATTATCTGTAGGTCTTAGGTCCATTTTTTGTTCAATCTGAGAAGAATGTATTCTTTAAATTAAATGAAATAACTGCTTAAAAATGGGTTAGATCCTCCTTTTTGTTTGTAGCTAATTTCTCCTCTGAAGAAATCTCAATTGGACTTTCATGGTTAAATAGATATACTGAAATAAAATGTTTGTGTTTAGGAGTGACCCACAACATTCCCCTCCTGCGGGAGATCATCACTCACCCTCGCTTCATCTCTGGAGACATCAGCACCGGTTTCCTTCCTGAGGTTTACCCCGATGGATTTAAGGGCCACCAGCTCAACAGAGCGTGTTGCCACGAGCTGTTGGCTTCTGCCGCAGCGCTGTTTGTGACTGCAGAGCTCCGGTCGCACAAAGTGGTCGGGCCACAGAGGTGAGGCTAAAACACTCGGATTGCTTCATGAACCGCTGTTTCACGGGCATTTCAGAATGGCAGGGTAAAACAAACTGTACAATCAAATAAACTCATTGCTCTACACCAGAAACAGTCTATTAATTCATCTTAGAGGAAAACTAAATGCACTTCAATCAACCCTGCAGTAAATGAGGTCCATGGCAACTCCTTAAACCAAAACAAACCAATCATTGAGGTGTTTTCAGGTTGGCTTACACAGTGAGAAAACAAAATGTCCAAAAAATGCTTTTTTGTGGTGTTAGCCCTAGCAAATAATGGTAAAGGTATTAATCCCTGTTGGGCAATTCATCCTCTGCATTTGACCCGTCCTGATGCCACTAGGGCTTATGTCAGCCCGGGAACTCATTTCCAGATTTTGATGGGGAGAACATGGGAACGCCACTCAGAAAGACCTTGTTTTGACAGGTATTCAAACCGAGAACCTACTTGCTGAGAAACGGCAAACATGCAAATTGCAGCCTCTCCTCATGCTGGTAAAAAAACATGTGCCCAAAACCTCTCTATGCTGCGTCCTCCCACCATGGCCCTATTTTAACACTGTGACCAAAATAATGAACGCAAAATTACAAATGAACTTAGCAAAATATGAGAACTAAAGTAAATTCTCATATTTAAAATCTAAAGATAGACAAATAGTTCCTACAGCAGCATTGGCCAGGTCTGACTACAGTTGCCCTCTTCCCTCTGACGGCTGTGTCTCCATTATCATAGATGGAATCAGTGGGATATTTCTATAGAGCACTTTGTTTGTTTTTGCAGAGTGGCCTGCAGCCCGGTGGAGAGCAGTAGCTGGCAGCTGTTTGTGGAGCTGGAAAAACAACTTCATGAAGTCAGCGTCACCAAAGCCGGAAACACTTACACTGTGAGTCTTTCAAAGAGATACTGTTTCCCAAATGTCATTTCAGAATGTCTTATTAGCTGCCTCAAGAATGATATCACACGTTTTTGCAATGAGATAATTGTTCTGCTTTATATGTCCAATTTGTATTCATGTTTTGACTGCACTTTGCATGACTTATTGAGGTTGTTGTGAATGAAGACACGGTTGAAGTGAATGGAGAGTGGAACCTGGCCTCTCCTCTGCTGCCCCTGACCATCAACAACACTCCCAGAATGCTGCAGGTTTGGCTCCCTTCATTCAGAACAAACATTTAGCAGCATCTTCAGGTAATTGTCTTCTCCCCTCTTCCTCTAGTGTCTCTCTCGTGCAGCTTCAGGAGAAATGTGTCTCCAATTCCTCGGCACATCGGTATTCTTTCCTTCACCATGTTTTAGTCCATAATTATGTCCATTTGACTATTGACAATGAGGGACAATTGTTTTTTTGTGGTGACAGTTCAAACTTCGGGTCCTGACCAAGCTGGCTGCAGAGCTGAACGCCTACATGCCTGAAAAAGTCCCAGAAGACACCACCAGTATCCTGCGCTCCCCAATGCCAGGGTCCATTATTGCAGTGTCTGTCAAAGTCGGAGACACGGTAAGCGGCTGGTCTTTGAATTTGTATAAGCTGTATCAATATAGTTTTAACTAGTTATGCAGAATTTGGCAACACTGCACATCACCCACTCGCATTATCGATACCAATGTGTCGGCAGGTCGCAGAAGGTCAGGAAATCTGCGTTATTGAAGCTATGAAGATGCAGAACAGTTTAACAGCGGTCAAGCAAGCAAAGGTAACTCATAACACTTAACTGATCACTTAAATACTGATAGTATTTAAATAGAATCAGAATCAGAATCAGAATCAGAATCATTTTTATTGCCAACGTAAGTAACGGGAGGTCACAGACTTGGAAATTGCTTTGGCTCAGTGCAACAGTCAAAAAGAGATAATAAAAATAAGAATAAAAAACACTTCTAAAGAATAAATTTAAATTTAAAATAGAGTTACAGTTACTATTTACAATATACAAGTGCACATGGTGCACACAATGTAAGGTGACAGCAGTACAGTGAAGTAAAGTGACGTATGATGGGCAGTAAAGTGACTTTATAAAGGGCGGGGGGACAGGTTAAGAAGTGTTCAAGAGTCCAACAGCAGAGGGGAAGAAACTGTTCTTGTGGCGGGAGGTTCTAGTCCTGATGGACCGCAGCCTCCTGCCTGAGGGGAGTGGTTGGAATAGTCCATGTGCAGGGTGAGAGGGGTCGGCTGTGATACGACCAGCCCGGCCTCGAGCTCGGGCGACGTACAGGTCCTGCAGCGATGGAAGGCTGCGGCCGATCACTTCCTCTGCAGAGCGCACAATGCGCTGTAGTCTCTGTTTGTCCCTGACTGTGGCTCCAGCGAACCACACGGTGATGGAGGAGGTGAGGATGGACTCGATGATGGCCGTGTAGAACTGCACCAACATCTGTGCAGGCAGCTTGGCTTTCCTGAGCTGCCGCAGGAAGTACATCCTCTGCTGGGCCTTCTTGATGAGGGAGCTGATGGTCGGCTCCCACTTGAGGTCCTGGGTGATGGTGGTGCCCAGGAAACGGAAGGACTCCACAGAGGTGATGGGGGAGTCCATCACGGAGGGTGGGGGCGGGGGGACAGTGCTCTTCCTGAAGTCCACAATCATCTCCACTGTCTTCTGGGCGTTCAGCTCCAGGTTGTTACCACTGCACCAGGACACCAGCCGGTCCACCTCCCTCCTGTAGGCGGACTCATCGTTGTTGGAGATGAGTCCAATGAGGGTGGTGTCGTCCGCGAACTTGATCAGCTTCACGGAGTCGTGGCTGGAGGTGCAGTGGTTGGTGTACAGGGAGAAGAGCAGGGGAGAAAGAACACAGCCCTGTGGGGCTCCTGTATTTATAATCCGAGAGTCCGAGACATTCTTCCCCAGACGCACTCGCTGCTTCCTGTCCGTCAGGAAGTCAGTGATCCACCTGCAGGTGGAATCGGGCACGTTGAGCTGGGAGAGCTTGTCCTGGAGCAGGGATGGCAGGATTGTGTTGAAGGCAGAGCTGAAGTCCACGAACAGGACCCTGGCGTAGGTCCCCGGGGAGTCCAGGTGCTGTAGGATGTGGTGGAGGGCCAGGTTAATGGCGTCGTCTACAGATCTGTTGGCTCTGTAGGCGAACTGCAGGGGGTCCAGGAGGGGGGAGGTGAGGGACTTGAGATGGGAGAGAACCAGGCGTTCAAATGACTTCATGACGACAGACGTAAGTGCTACAGGTCTGTAGTCATTGAGTCCTGTGATCCTGGGCTTCTTCGGGACGGGGACAATGATGGAGGATTTGAAGCAGGCCGGGACATGGCAGGACTGCAGAGAGGTGTTGAAAATGTCCGTGAACACAGGAGTAAGCTCACTGGCGCAGTGTCTCAGAGTGGCCGGAGACACGTGGTCCGGGCCAGGAGCTTTGCGGGGGTGCAGCCTCAGGAAGAGTTGTTTAATCTCTTTAGCGGCTATTGTTAGGCTGGGGGCAGGGCTGATGGGTGGGTCGTTAGAGTAGTGGGGGGTGGGGGAGGGAGAGGTGTCAGGGGCAGCATCAAAGCGACTGAAAAATAAGTTCAGATCGTCAGCTAGCTTGTGGTCATCAGCACAGGGGGGGGCTTTGGGTTTGTAGTTGGTGATCTCCCGTAGGCCCCTCCAGACAGAAGCAGTATCGTTGTTACCAAACTGCTCCTGTAGTCGTTCTCTGTGCCGGGACTTGGCTGCTTTCAGTTCTTTCCTGAACTGATATTTAGCTGCTTTGTAGCCGCTGCGGTCCCCCTCCCTGAAAGCAGACTCCTTTGCTTTCCTGAGCTGCCGGAGTTTAGCAGTGAACCAGGGTTTGTCGTTGTTATAGATGTTATAGAACTCCTTTTTTAGAACGTTTGCTGTAAACTTGAGTTATTAAAATGTGTTTCCAGGTCAAAAGTGTCCACTGTAAAGCCGGAGAGACTGTCGGGGAGGGAGACCTGTTGGTGGAGCTGGAGTAGCCCCCCCAAACACTTCTGGTGGTGGAGCTGGATGTGCCTTCTTTCCTAATGCCGCTCACTGAAGCCCCCTGCAGAGTTATTAGAATTCCACTGGACCTGTTAGCACAAATGGGACACCTCCATGATGCAGAATACTCTTGGCATCTTATTACAGTAAGGGGGGGGGGGGGGGTTGTACATAACTTGTTTTTTTTTTTATAGAAATTAGCACCTGTCTTTCTTATGACTGTCAGGAAATAAAGATTATACAAATTAATGTGACATGTTAATTTGTGTAGAGATGAAACGCTTTTTTCCCCACGGCTGACTCTGAACAATTGGAGGCCACAGTAGTTTATACTCTAAAAATGAGTGAATTAAAGTAAATCAAATAGTAGTTTTCTAGCCCTTGTACATAGTTCTGTTAAATGTTTTATTTGAAATAGTAAAAACATTCTAGAAACTTTACATATTCCATTTTTTTATATATATACATTTTATTGAAAAGTACAAAATTTAATAACACCAACACTATTAATTCAATAACTTGGAAAAATAGGTTCTCATAGTGAATAGAGGAAAAGACAAAGGTGAAGAGTATGGTTTGCTATTCGTCCTGTAGAGGAGTCCTCTTACTCTTGCGAAGAGGAGACTGAATGTTCCACTGCTTCACCCGTGATGCACTGGGGAAATAAAAATCATACAAATCTTTGCCACTGAACGTCATTCAGAAACAAGACATTTTCAGCATTAAACAAGATGTCTGGGCCAGTAATAAATCTTAAGTGCGGGGACTGAGAAGCAGGTTGATTTGAAGATTAATGCAAAATGAAAATTATTTGAGTTAAATTAGATCTAATTATTATCTGGAAGAAAAACCCTCACAATGGAGTAGGTTTGCTGCTTTAAATGTAATTCAGTAGTGGAGGCATACTACCCATTTTGGACTCTACAACAGGAAAGTGTTGAATAATAATCCTAAAATGCATTCTGAGTGGTGCCATCCTATCCAGGCACGAGCAGAGACATGCAAACTCCACACAGAGGCCTGGGCCTGACCAAAGATGCCAAAATGGACTCAAACATCAAAAGGAAAAACAACCAGAGAAGATTTAACATATTGGTGCTAACTAAGGCTTACTTTTGTTCACTGGGGAGCACACACACAACATTGTTCTCATCCACAGAACCTGAAATACCATAGAAGCAGCTGTTAGCTTACATGTTTATGCAGAGGGACAACCTAACAGAAAATGCAAACTTACTTGTGCCTTTCTCACTGAGGATGACGCTGACCTGTCCATCAAAAGTTAGGTTCATATTTGCAACACCTAAACAAAGAAATTTAACAAAATGAGTAGAGACAGAATGACAGAGAAATAAAATAATTCACAACTAGCCCCTAAATGTTATCCATGTTACACTCAAAGTATCTGGAAAAGTGAATAGCCTGCTATAAATCCTCTGTAGGATATATTCATGTGCTTAAAACTTGGTATACCTATGGGAGTGCTGATCGCTCTTGTGTCCACACCTCCTTTAACTATAACTGGAGGAGAGAGAAAAAGGTTGATAAAAACATCACCATTTCAAATGCATCTGTCATATCGCTAAAATTATACCGGTTTCTTCCAGATAATTAGAGCGCTTCTGATCCTTCTGTCTCAGGAGTGTATTCGGACGCCTGAAATCACAAGTAGAGTTAGTCTGTGGGTGCAGCCTGAGTGGAGTCTGGAGGACCGGGTTTATACCTCTCACTCAAAGGCAGTAGTGAGGATAGAGTGTTTCTTTGAGGAGGTTGTGGTGTTGCAAATCTGAGTGGGAGAACAAGTGGCGGTCTGGCAGGAGACGCAAGAGGAGCACTCTGCAGAAAGACACATTATGATCAAAGAACTACACGACCGGTCCCTGTGGTCTGAGGGGGTGAGCGAACCTGTGCTGCTGTCGGGGTCTTTGGAACTTGCTGGATGCTGCACGTCTCGATAAGATCTACCATTCCTTCCAGTCTCTCCGCCTCCTTCAGAGCAAACTCCAATTCAGAAGCCAGCTGCTCATCACCGGCAAAGATCGTGTTCACTTCATTCTTGTAGTCCTGCATGATCACCTGGACACAGATTACAAGAATACAGTTCATTTAGCATGTAATATTCTTTATTTAAAATCTGGCGCAAGAAAAGCTGATTATGAATAGTGAAATGTTTTATAGAGCTGTATGTGATGTTACAAGTTACCTGCAAGTAGGCCATAAGGTCCTTGAGCACAGGAGAGCGATTCTGCTCAAGGCGGTGCTTCAAGCTGATTATCAGGGGTACTGTATGTTCAACCAGCACTCTCTTATGGACCTGGGGGAGAAGACTTGAGGTTTATTACTTTTTCTAAATTTAAAAAAAAATCAGCACTGCGCTCAGATTAAGGTAGAACTTCTGACCTGAGAGACTACTTTCTTCTGAGCAGCCTCCAGAACAGCTTTGGCCATGTTCTCCTCCTCCACGTCTTCCCCTTCTGCTGCGGCCTTGGACTTCATGGCCTGTAGCTTAATCTCCTTCAGGCTCAGGACAGCAAAAATCTCAGATAAAAGGTCTGATCCCTCTGTGTCCAGGGGCAGCTCCTGATCCGCAAAGCACTCTAAAAGGGGAAATTAGGAAAAAAAAAAAACGTGGATATATGACAGACAAAAACTAGGGCTGTTACTCATCGACTACTAAAACAATCGAGAGTATGTTTTTTGGGTTGTTTTTGTACTTGTCAAACAATATAATTTAAATTGATATTCATAATAAATAACATTATAGCCACACCAAGATTGAAATGCGGAATGAACACAGAAGCATGTAAATTACTAAATAAAAATTATTGACATTTTGTTAGAAGATAATGCCTCAACCATAGTCATAACAGTGTTTGACCAGTGGGTTTTTAATGTCTTAAGAATTACAATCTGATTTGTGATGTTGACAAAGCGGGCATATATGTACTGTACATTGTAACGGTATACAGAGAGGACAGTATACTACAGTCGACTCCTCTCGTTGGTGACTTTATTTCCGACAGCCACGTACTCACCCAACACAGTCTGGTTGATCTTGTTTGTGATGTTGAAGCGTTGGGCGTCTGTACAATGTTCCAGCAAGAAACGATAAATATGGAAACGTTTCTGTTGGTTTTGGGGCCCTTTTAAAGACGAGCTGAGCATTTCTCTGAAGTGATATGAAACATGTGTTTATGCACAAACATGAGAACGGATAAACATTAAGGGGAAGAGGGAACATTTACTTGTCACTTTGAGGGAACTTGTTGTAAGACTTGTGTTTGGTGTAGGAGTGGAAGTAGAAAATACACTCAATAAAATGTTGGCTGAACATGTCGGGGTTCTTCTTGAGGAGGACGTTTAGCAGACAGTACTCGCACATACTAGGACAAGAGCATGTAGTGAGAGATACAGTATGGGTTAGTATGTTGTAGTTTGCCTTTTTCCTTAAAAAATAAACACTTCAGACAATTCTTACTTGGAAATGAATGGAACTGGGTCCCCCAAAGCAGTTATGAACCGGAAAAACAAAGAGCCCTTCCATTTAACATATTCTTCCTGTAATAAAAAATACACCAAAGGATATATGCAGATTGTGTAATCAATTACAATAAAATATTTGTGACTTTGGGAAACACTAGTCTTATGAATATACAACCCAATGAGTCCCCACCTGAAGTTAGTTTGACACCCCCAGAGTCAGAAAGGAACCACATCGCACTTTGAGCCCTGTTCAAGTCTCATTTTGAGTATGTGTTAGTGCATAATGTACCTGCAGTAGGTTGGTCAACATGATGAGGGTGTTCTCCCTGATGGTGGCGCTGCTGTCCTGCAGACGAGCTGAGATGTTGGGGATGTAGTTGTCCACGCTGTTTGTGTAGCGGATACACAGGTCACACATAATGACCACCACATTGTTTCTCACAGACACCTCTGTGCCTTCCTCCAGCTCCCGAGCAAAGACTGGTAGGTATTTCTGTACCAGCTCCTCATGCTGCAGACACAGTTTACCTGAAGTGTGGACACAATTAATGACTGAAGTATGGCATTCAAACCAATAATGGCCATTCTGTGAAACTCACCAAGTGTAAGCACCCCATGTGCTCGGATTTTAGTGGAAAAAGAATTTTGCCTGAACTGGGACAAAGGTAAAGAGGCAGGCAACTCTCCCTGGACATCTGGTGAAACAGTGTAAGTCAATGTCTAATGTCCAGGTGATTACATTAAGAATTTGAATTTACTGACAATTATCAGAATTACTTATCAAATGATTTGATGAATCTTTAACTTTTGCATTAAATTCATAATTAGAGCGACTAAGTGTGATGTATAATTTTCACCTTGATAAAAATTTTGCATTACACTTTGCAACATGCATTGCAATTTCAGAATGTCCACTGAATGTCACTTTATCTACAGCTAGATATGTATATAACTTTAAAACAAATATAAATATAAATATATACTTATTACTGTCCTGTATGTGCGCTGCAAATTTCCCCAGTGTGGGACGAATAAAGGTTATCTTATCTTGTCTTACCTGCCAGTTTGTCAGAGTTGGTGGTGAGAATAGACTCTACCAGAAGAATTGTCCTCTTGCTGATCTTTGCCGGACAATTGACCGAAGCAGTGCCCAGTGTATGCAAGTACTTAACCTGAAAACATTCACCACAAATACTCATTCAAATTAAAAAATGAAGTGAGGAAAGAGTGTTAGTTACTCATCCTCCATTTTGCCAACCATTAGTCAAATTATAGACTCATATTTCTAATTGTGGTACATTATATCAAGAGTATCAGATCTCACCATGAGATCCTCATCCAGGTTTTGCTTTCCATATTTTTTCAGAATGATTGAGGCCAAGAACGATTCACAGAGAGACACCAGCTCTCCACAGTGCTGATTCAGAAAAGACTAAGGAAAAACATAAACATTGTGCAAAATACAGATTACATTATAACTGTAAAAAGTCTCACACATCAGCGCTCTCATTGATCTTGTTTGTCTGTGTGTTTCAGTCCTTTTGAAGATGTTTTTATTTTATTTATTTTTTTATCTTTAATAAATATAAAAATCATCTAACAAGAAAACATTGCAAAAATTGAATTGAAAAGAAACCCACTACATTTCCATGGTCACATGACCGTTGGAATTAAATGCCCCCTCCCACCCCAGAGTCTAGTTATGAGGGAAGTTTTCAAATAGTTCATCCCTGAGCCTCACTCTGAGGTGCTCCTTGAATTCCCCCAAAGTTTCACTAGAGACACATTCAGAGTCCAGCATGTTCCACATCCTGGTGGCCAGAGTGAGACAAGATCTTTGCATGATGTGGGCACTGGGCAGTGTCCCGTCTGGAAATGCACAGCTGATCCAGCGCACATGATACGGCAGGACTCTTTGTGTGGGTCGGTATGGTCCCAGCGCAGCAGGCGAGAGTCCATGGAACAGTTTAAAACCAAAGCAGGCAAGCGCAGAGTTCCGTCTTGTTTGCGAAGTTGTTAGTCCGAGCGCTCTATAATGCTCTGCTGTCAACTGGGCACGATACGGTAGATTTAGAATAATACGCATGCATCTTTGTTGGATGCTCTCTAAACAGTTTATGAAAGTCTTTCCTATGCCACAGATCAGCACTGAGCAGTATCTAGTTGGGATCTAATGTATGCTTTATAGATCCGAAGCAGGACTTCATTGCTTTGTGGTGGTAGCTTTGATTTTAGGAGCCTCAATACAAACATTTCCTTCCTAGCCCCTTTACACAAGTCCTCTACAAATCGCTTTAATTTTAATTCACTGCTGATTGTTACCCCCAAGTGTTGTGGCCCTCAAAAATGACTTGACCATCTATTTGTTTTTTAACAGGCAGTTTAGCAAAGCTCATACATACAGTTTTTGAGGGGTTAAATTTCATACCCCATGTGTTGGCTCAACTGCTTGCAGCCGCCAATGCACAGTTCAAACCTGCAGCCGCGAGCGCTGGATGTGCACTAGTGACAGTTAGTAAAGTATCGTCCGCATATGCAGCTGGTGTAACTCTTATACTGTCTGGTAACAGCCCAGAAAGCTCTTCCAATGCAAGATGCACATGTAAGGCCACACATTGTTGCGGTAATTTAAATAACTAAACGGGGAAAGGCTTGTGGAGGCCGTGCGGTCTAAAACAGCGCACTGCGGAAAGGATCTGTAACCTTTGATCTACACCAAGCAATAGGCGTAAAGCAGGTGTAACGCAGGCAGGAGATCCACATAGAAATTTACACAAGAGGCACTCCTTTTTCCTGTCTTCTCCACAGTGATTGGCCAAGATATGAAATGCTAACAAGTATAAGACCTAGCACTCTATTTTATTCATAGCAGAACCTAGCTTTAATATTCTAGTTGAACACATGCATTTCACTGCTGGTGTAAATTGTCATTGTCATTATGAAAAGTGGTTAGTGTGAGTCAGGGGTTTTACATTGGCCTTCGACCCAAAAAGAATAGATAACGCAAAAAAAGTTAAAAATGTGTTCATATATTTGCAGCTAACCTGTGTTAAATTGACATCTTCTGATCGACCATATTGGACCAAAGCCTCCACAGCAGCATTGACGACATCAAGGGGCAGAGTAAAAGTCTTCAGTTGGGACATCAGGTCTCCTAAACACGCCCAGCCAGTTAGTGAAGTCAATATTCAAAAGGTAGACAATAAACCTCACTCACTGATAATAAGCTCCTGTGTGTCTGGATTCAAGTGTGGAGCGATGTCTCCAATCACACACAGAACATTACAGAGAGTTTTTGTGTTTACTTCATTCAAACTGTTGAGGAAAACACAGTATTACATTCACATTCTCTTCAACCAAAATAGAAAATAAATCACTGACTTGGTCATTATTTTGTCCCAGGCGTCCAAAACCTTCCCATACGGCAGTTTGGCGGATGACATCGTCACCTTGGACAGAAGTAACCAGGCCCCCGCTGCATGAGGGGCCTCTGTGTGAGAAGTGAGTGCGTTGAAAAAGGATGGAGTGAATCGGTTTTGCTTGTGCCAGATTTCAAACGCTTTGCTGAAGTATCGGCTGCAACAGTAAAACGTAAATAGATTAATTAAGGCTGACACAAGAATCAAAAACTAATATATACAGTATAGATATAAGAAATATAGAGCCAAAAGTATAAATATTGTGCCGCAATGGCCTGGCTGTATATGTATTGTATTCAGATAGTTCCTCATTGAGTACTGTCCCACCTGAGTTTGTGGCAGTCATGGCAGAGATGGTGCAGTAAATCCCAGGCCAGTGTTTGGTTCATGTCCAGATAATCACTAGTGAACGGCTTGATCTGACTGAGGAGCTTCTCCTCCAGAGCCTCCAGAGCCTTCTCCTGCACAGAGCTCTCAGAGTCCATCAGTGCAGAACATACGCCCTCCAGCCAGGCCTTCTGCACGTTCGTACAACCAGGATTTAACTGGAACAACACAAGAAAGAGTTTTCAGTCAGTGTTGAATACAAGCAGTAGCAATCAGGCAACACCAGAAACAGCTTTTGGGTTTTGACAGGACAAGATTAAAAGAGCCTTGCATGGTATGTTTGCACAAATGAGAAGAATATGAAAAGTACTTCATACACAAAAGTAGCCTAATTACCATCTTTCAAACATGTACTGCAATGGAACACTCCTGATTAAAACAAAAAATTACGGAAATATATTCATAATCTGGATCATCTACACAGCAAATTTCATCTGAACCTGTCCAGTAGTTTTTGAGCAATCCTGCCAACAGACAGGCACAAAGACACAGACACACACACACAGACGAAGCAGTACTCACAGCCAGCAGCTCCCCAACACACTGCAGAGCCTTCTTCTTCACAGACACAGCTGGATCTCTGCAGCGAGCAGCCAACACACTCAGGTTCTCAGAGTTTGTAGGGACCACATTGTGTTTCAAAAGCCCCACCAAAGCCTTAGAAACAAACATTTTCAAGGGTATGTCGGGGTATGTTAATACCAACAAACTAATAGATTCAAGATTCTATTTCAAAGTATGATACTTTGAGTGCCAGGATAGGAAATATTGAAAACAATAGACATCTTGATTTAGGTCTGTAGTCTTTCAACAATATTTACTTATAATGTGAGCTCAGGTCACTATGGCCCTATCTATGGAACAGTCTACCTGAGGACACGAGGTCCACTGAGAGTTCATGGTTTATGAATAAAAAATAAATTTAAAAAAACTTTGCTGATACAAATGCAAGAAATATAAAACAATATAGAACATACCTGCAATGCCAACTTCCTCACATTTGTGTTGGGGTGTTTCATGCGAGACAGAATATGTTCCAAGTTCACTTTTCCTTATAAAAAGAGAGATCATGTAAATAATTATGATCGTATGCGAAGATATAATTCTTCTGTCTTTGTAGAACTATAACTGACCTAAAACAGGTGATGTACTAGTTTTATGTCTTTAAACATAGTGTGTGAACATATGTTGCCCCCTGTCTCATATATACATAGATAAATACCTTCACAGGGAGAGCTTTGAGTGTTACTGAGCTCCATGGTCCTGAAGGGCAGCGTGCGGTAAGTCGGATGTGAAGTTAAATTTCCTAAAACAGAAACAAATGGATACAGTTTGTATTTGCAAATATAAGCACTCCTAAAAGAAAGTTGATCAAAGTCTGAATGATTCCATTAAAAAAAGATATAGACCTCACCTTCAGTTGTCTGCGCATGGAATCCAGACTGGCTCCCAACTGAAAAAGGACAGACAGGTGGTGATGAGGCTCCAGGGATTGTGTGCAGTATAAATGTGAATACACTCACTCGTGGTGAAGAGACCTTGCACAGCTTTGGTAGCATTCATTGAAGGAAGCTCGAGACACTGGGCAAGGCAGGCAAGAGCATGGCCCTGAACAGTGGGAGACACATCCATCCTCCGAGCAAACAACACCTCCTGAATCAGGTATTTGTACGGCAGATAGTTTACCAGGTCAGGGTCACACCCCTCTGGGCTCCTCTCTGGCTGCTCAAGCAAAGCCATGACTACATCCACAGAGAAAAGACGGCCCACCATCTACAACAGAAAGCCAATATTTATATTACCATGTGAAGTAAGGCATGTGTGTGACATGGTACGGTTATGGAACAGGTTTATCAACATGTCTGACTCAAGACTGTCCAAACACATCTTTAAATGGGACCTGTCTCATAGAAATGCTTGGAATGTGCAGATGGAGAAAATTTTTGCTGATGCTGATCTACAGTTTATTTTCAGAAACAAGTTGCGTTGTAGTGTTGGAGAATTTAAAAGAGTTTATTTTGAAAAGTATAAACATAAATGGTTAATCAATGTCTTGTGTAAGCCAAAACTGAGAACTTATGTTTTGATAAAGGATCATTTTGGTCCTGAGCCCTATGTGACCCTGAACCTGACCAGAGGTCAGAGGTCAGTCTGTGCTCAACTGAGGTCTGGGACCCTGCCCCTGGCTCTAGAGACAGGACGATTTCACTCGGTCCCAGAGGAGGAGCGGACATGTTGTTTATGTCACTTAAATGATATTGAAAATGAATTGCATTTTGTTTTTTATTGTCCTTTGTACCATGATCTGAGAAGGCAATTATTTTGTAAAATGTCTGATGTTGCTGAACTTTTGTTTGAATTGTCTGATGAGGAAAAGCTTAAGTTTCTATTCAAGTATAAGCCATTTCATTTGTCTAAATTTTTGTTAAGTGCATGGCTCCAACGGAAGAGAACACTCTTTGTTTGATGTTTTTCTGATGTCTGCTACATTTTTGTGTCTTATAAGCCCATACGGGCTGGGCATCTTTAGGTGCAAGACACCAAATAAGAAATAAACTAAACTATAAACTATTTATATTAGATATGGAACTTGAGTAAGTCTGTCCTGGATAAAGTCAGAAAGAGATAGGACAAAGTGTGGACATCACTCACGCCCTTTAGCCCGTTTTCACATGTAGTGCATTTCATGTAAAACACCAGACATACATGTACATCAACTCCAACTTCTACATAGACTATCAACTATGGTCTGGTTTTGTCCAAAGCCATGCGGGTTCGTCGAGATCAATGCAATGCTTCCAGCATAGATTGATCTGAGGTCTGAATATGTCAGAGTTGGGAGTCCATGAACGCACCCAGAGAAAGACACAGCTTCTGATGCCACTTTCACTATGTCTAAACCAAGGACTAATGGAATATACTACCAGCCAATATACAGTTGTGGCCCTGATCCCTCAGTTCTCCATAGTGTGTGCCTTTGACAGTGGGACCTTTACATACCTTTGAATGTTTAGAGAATGCTGACAGCCATTTGACAAACCAGGCATAGCCTGAACTGGACAAGAGTCCGGAGAGTGTTTTCACAGCATGAGCGCCATGGCTACGGAATTCACATTTCTCCACCATCTGCAACAATACAGGGTTCAGTCAACTTCATCTTGACCATCTTTCATTTGAGAAATACAAGACCAGATTAATTCATGCATTTCGGTTTCCTTGTTTATGCTATACTATTGTATTGTTGTTAGCAAATATGACAATACAATATTTGTAGCTGTATTGAGAGATTTATTTCAATATGTTGGACACACACACACTTTGTTTATTATTGTGAATGTTTGGTACTGACCTGATCACAGATGTGCTGCAAGAGGATTCGGACACATGACAGAGTCTCCTCTTTCCCCTCATTCACCATATGACTGCAACAGATTACATAAACAAAATCTTGTGATTTTTTTTTTTTTAGGGGAGTAATAATGCATTGCAACACACTACATTCAGATGCGCCCTGTTACATCTTCACAAATTATATTTTACGTTCAATGACGTTTATTTGAGCGTTGGATAACACTACTTCTGGGAAGGTTCACCACTTCTCTATTGACATTTCGTAGCAGACAAAATGTTTATGATTTTGATTCCAGAAGTTGCCGCAATAAAAAAGGCAAAAAGGTTTTCAGATACTTGTGGTAGTTCAAACTGAAGGATATCCCATACATCCCCATGTATCATGTAAAAGTAAACACTATCTCTAAGGTATATATAGTTCTAAATCATTCATAAAATGGAAAGACATGAGCATAGACTGTCAATATTAGGGACAGGAGGTATACCTGACAAAATGGAGGGCCTGATTGCGGGTCGTGAGGACCCCCTGGCTCAAAACCAGGAGTGTAGGCTTAAGGTTTCTGTTCTTAGTCATCATCAGGATCACATAGAGCAGGTGGTGAAATATCCGCAGCAAGGTCTGGAGAAAAGCAGCAACATAAATCTCATCACAATGTTGCCAACTTAAGAGTTTAAGTCAAGCACAGTCAGTTCCTGTCGCAGAAAATATGTATGACACAGTTGATATAACAATGTACAAAGCAGCAACACATGGTACTGGATCACTGCTCTATGATGGAATAAACAGGAGCGTGCCTGGTCTGAAAGAAACTAGACTAGAAAAAAAAGGTATAAAATCTGATTTCACAGTTTTCTGGAGTATAAACCCTTATTGTAGGGAGCCTCAACATCCTGGCTCAATGTTAATAACACCGTTACTATACCATATTTGGATTATAATTTGGTTTCCTAAAAAAAGGCCAACTATTAAAAATTAGAGGTGCAACGGTTCATCACTGATCCGTGATCCGTTCGGTTCAACGTCTTCGGTTCGGTACAGACGTGATCCGCGGTTTGATTTATGAAAAAAAAGTTGTGCGCACGTTGTTCAGTCCACACACAGCGCGGTCATTGCGAGCGGAGGAACGGAGATGCTTGAAAGCCCTGCGTCATTTAAATCCCCAGTATGAGAGCATTTTGGCTTCACTGTAACTACACTGATAATTAATATTCGACAAAACTGTCACGATGTGTAAGCACTGTGGCACAAGAAAGACATGAGTGAAAAAAGCGTCTCAACGACCACCTATTGCCGCGGCATTTAAGCAGCTCCTTTACGCACAGTCAGACCGGGCTAAAGTCAACTCTCCCGCGCATCCTCAGCTGCGCTCACGACTGACGTTTGGACGTCCCGCGGAACCTATAATAGATCCATGAGCGGAACCGCTCAGTTCATCACCGCAGACTGGGAGATGAAAAGTCTGGCGCTGCAGACACGCCCCCTCTACGACAGTCACACAGTCACACAGCGCAGGTAGTGACACAAGCAGCGGAGGAATGGAAGACAAAGGCCCAGTACTAATATCCCAGTCACAACTGATAATGCCAAAAATTAAATAAATGCAGTGAATGAGGCTGGGCCCAGAATGGACCCCCTCCTTGGGAGAATCAGGAAGGTGGTGTAATATATGAGGGTAAATATCCTCATAAAGTGCCTTCTTATGTTGCACTTTGTGTGGTTTTTCATTAATTATGTTAAATAGACATAATTGGATGGATAGAATATGCCTTCCATCCATCCATCCATTTCCTTCCCCTTAATTCATTTCTAGGGCAGGTGGGGGCAGTCAGAGCAGGTGCCGAGTCCACATGAGCTGTGTTTATTAAAAAGACAACACTTTTTTTTAGAAAAATGAACCGAAAAATGAACCGAACCGTGGCCTCTGAACCGAGGTACGAACCGAACCGTGATTTTTTCAAACCGTTGCACCCCTATTAAAAATCAATTAATAAAGTAGGTAAGTGAGTAAGTAATGTTTATTTATATAACGCTTTTTACAGACCAAAGCGCTTTACAATGTTCAGAGTTCAGATATTGTTCCAATCATTCCACAGACGGTGATGACGGAGGCGAGTCGCCAAACACACCGTCCATTCACTCTCTCATCTACATTCATACCTATTGAGCATTTTTTTTGTGGTAGGGGAAACCGGAGCACCTGGAGGAAACCTGGAGGAAACCACTCAGCCACCGTGCCGCCCCGTAATAAATAAATACAAGATAATGAATGTAATACAAATTTAAATCTAGAAAAATGTATAGAAAATTATTATTATTATTATTATTATATTCCCAGAACACAAGGTGAACTAATCAGGCTGTAGGCCGTGACAAAATTAAATAGTTACACTTACTTGTTTCTGATCTCCATGTTTTGCGGAGTAGAGAAGCTGCAGACCATGGAAGGCCATCTCTGGAACACTTCTCATTCTATTGATATCTCTTTTGAGACAATGGCATTAGTATTCTCCTGTTGTTCAAGTTTTAGATTTACTTTGAAAAGTACTTACTGTTCTGCAAAGTTAATCTCTCCAATGATGGGCTCAAAGTACAACAGTTTAATGAAGACCTGCAAAAACAAAAGCAGGGAGTATAGACATGACGTACAGACAAATCAAATCATGTTTTGTCTGAAGCATTTTTGTACCCGTGTGATGTTATTGACATTTTGTGGAAGATCTTTGAGAGAAAACGTTTGTAGGAGGATGAGAAGGCTCTTAACCAACAAAACCACAGCCTCTCTAATCTCCACCAGGTCCTGACTGGAGAAATGCTCAGCTGCATCCTCTTCCTCTTCATCATCATCCTCCTCCTCCCCCTCCTCAAGGTCCTGAGAAAACAGTAACAGCTAGAAAAGGTTCTGACTAAAGACTAAAGAAGTTCTCTCTAATAGAAGACTGCACCTTCTCTGCAAACTTCCGCTGTGGTTTGGGTTTTTTTCCTGCAGCCTGAGAGTTTTTAGGTGCCACTTTCTTGCGTTTCTTCCCAGTCTCTTGGGGCCAGCAGTGTGTCCAAATGGAGGTGCACAGGTCGAACAAACCCCCATGGAAAGCCTTGTTGGCAATGCTTCCTGAAGGTAAAGGCAAACAAATGAGCAACCAGCTAAAAACAGAATGACTACATGTTTCAGTGGGTTCTTCAGGGACACATGAGCAGAAACAGTTGTTGAATTCACAGTGGACAGTGGACTGTGACTTCAACTACAACAGTGCAATAAAACCTTTCTTTTTTCATTACTAATTGCAACTATGAGGTTGAGATAATTTTCTATAATTTCAGTTGGAGGGCAAGTGCCATTAAAACTCTGAGAAAGAATACATTTTGAAAAAGAAAATTTCAGATGTTTTTCCAGATATTATTCTTACGGTTGGAAGTCATGTCTATGGGCCAACAATAACATGTTTTTATAGCAACCTTCACCAAAGCAAGTCCAACTTTTTCAGAATCTACCCCAATAATTAGTCAAGGAGGCTCATAGTCCATAGACACTTTATTCATTTGGATTCGAATGTACACAATTTATCCATAAACATATGCTTACAAGTGTCATGTTAGGCCTGTCGAAAGTGCCTACCTGGCATTCCAAGAAGCAGTAGATACAAGGAAGCAGCCTGTAGAGCGTTGACTCTCTGCTTAACACCTGCATTTTTGAACTTTCCACCAAAGACGAAAAAGGAAAGCACAGCCACCAGAGTCTTCACAGGTATGCCATTCTCCTGCAGCATCGCCCACACACTCTGACATTTTGAAGATCAGGCAGTCAGTGCAAAGGGACCACATTAGTACAGATCAGGGCTGGGCAATATGGCAATATAAAATATATATTATAGTTCCCCAATTAGGACAGTTAAGATTTCAAAAGTTACTAAATTGTATCATGAAAAAAGAAACTCGCACAATATCCTATAACGCACCCAGTACACATAGCACCAGCTCTCTTTTGCTAAAGCATGTTTCAACAATCATCAGTAACACTCAAAAATAATCTGCTCAGCCTGTAAATTGTTTCAGCGATAAAGTGCAATAACAAAAATCTAGAGAGCGTCATGTAAGGTAATATTATATCTATTTCAATAATAATAACAGTAATAATAAAATAGAGATCAATTAATGAATATTTGTCTTTACAGACTGTCTAACCCTCATAGCAATCTCAATAAGTGTACAGATTTGTTTACAAAAAGACTAAAACATTTTCCACACAACAGTATTATCAGAAAGCTCTCTCTTTCAAACCATGCTTTGCCTTAACCCCAACTGTCAAGTTGTACAATTCAGTAGGAGGATAATATAATAGATCCATGGAGGGAACCTGTTCATTTGCTGCATTCTCCTGAATAAAGACAAGCAAACGCTGGTGCAGATTTTGAAAATCTTGAGAGTCACGGGTTTCCAACTCCTCTCCGACAGGATCATCAAATTCCTTTCTTTCTGTGAACTCCAAGTCCCACACTGCATCCACCCAGCCTTGAAACACATATTACACATTTGTTTTTATCATTACTAAAAGAAATAACTAACAAAATTATTATCTCTAACTAGGCCCGTCAGCATAATTACTATATCGACCCAACTTAATAATGTATGAAAATAGAACTGAATAATTAAAAGTCTGTGGAAAATGGAATATGTAACCTAAGTGTCAGTAGATCTGAGTTTGACCACACCATCCAAAAGTGACATCAAGCGTTTCCATGCACTGGTCTAATGTGGGCTTTCTACGGAAAATCCAGGAGATTTGTATTTGTCAGTTTAGGAGTCTATGGTAAAGAACCAAACAACTTCAAGAATGCAGTCATGAAAACTCCATGGTAAATAACACTGCTGAGTATTACGGGGGGTAATCGTTAGTATGTCCAGGGTTCAGATGGTGATATTTTACCTTCGGAGATTTCGTTTAATCGGAGAAAACGCAGATCTTGTATTAAATCCATATTCTCTTGGTCTGTTTTGAAATATTACCGCGCGCGCTCAGCCCATCCGCTGATCTGCGCATGTGAGTTTTATTCTTGCTTCTTGCTGCCGTAACCATACTAGTCCCCTGTCTGGAGTACCGCCACCTACCGGAGTATAGGGTGTGGTGACATCAATAGGGCCGAAAAAGTGTGATCAATATCTAGTGGTGGTGCTCCAGGGGTTCTTATTTGGTTCACGATGATGTGCTGATATTTGGAATAATTTTCTTATTCTTGGTTCATTTTGTACCTAGAAGACTGAGCACGGGATGACTGGATATACATACCTATACAGTCTATGATACCTATCCATACTAGTCGCTAAGCACATTTTCAGAATAATCTCCTCAGGTGATTTTGCAAACCTGAAAGCTCTGCCCATTTCTTTTAAAAAAGAACATCTCCAGGTGAAATGTTGATGGTCTCAATTTGAGACCCTTAAATTATACGCAATACAATGTTCTGTAATAGATACATATTTGTGTTTAAAGCATAGACTGTAAAGTGAATCTTTGCTTCTTATGAAACGTAAGATGAGTGTTTCGGTTTTTTTGGTTTTAGATAAAGCATATGGAGGGGTGGAATAAGATAAAAGAGAGTATATCAAGAGATGACAAGTACAAAATGAATTGTTGTTTCCAGTAGTTCAATATTTAAATACAGTGAAAAGCTTTGACTTATTGTTTTATCCATCTGTGTACAGTATAACTAAAACAACCCGGTAAGTTTTAACATGTTTGCACCTCATTACAGTGGTTTAGTCCAATGGCGCGAAATCTTTTAGCCCCGCCCACTGCGCGTGTCCTGATGTTTCAAAGTTCCGAAAACACTGACTCAAAAACCCGGAAATGTCTTTTCACAACAAATCAACTCATGCTATCACGGCACTATAATGGCTTTTATTTTGAAAGGCTTAAACCAGAAGCGCACTCATACACTACAATTTTAAATGTCAAAAACGTGCATAGTAATTGGGTTTCTGCTAAACTTTACACAAGGCGATTTTCCACGTTGTCATTCGTGCTTCCTCCGAGTGTCAAAACGCTATTATAACAACTATTTACATTTCATCCCGGGTACAAACGGGTTGCAGATCAACATCCGGATTCTCGTTTTAGGTTGGAGAGCTGCTAATTTCAGAACATGAGCAGGTGAGTTCCTTGCTTTTTATAGATTTTTGGTTTTGTATGATTCGGGATTTGCATCAGTTTGTCTCGGTATAACATAACTACTTATGCATGTGGATATTTTAGATATTTATAGAGAAGGTGGCTTGTAACTTCTGAGCTTTCACCTTTTTGGCCTATCCTATTTAAAAAATGATTGATTTCTTGCATGTACTATTGTGCTGTAGTGGTTTTTCAAACTTATTTTTTAAAAACAGTGGTTGAATGAAGCATTTGGTTCCAACCCCTTACAACACAAAACAAAGCATGCTCACTCAGGCAAGACACGGGCCCAAACACTCTCTGACGTTACACCCCTCCCATCACTGGCTTCGTGCTGTGAAGGCATCATTTTTCCTCAGTAGTTCTTTTTTTAACAATCATATTTTAACATTATTGTTGTTCCAAAGTATACACAAAGACACACATCAATGTCAAAGTAGTTTACATTTGAGGCACATATTGTTTTGCTTCCTCTCTATATATTGTTTTGCTGCCACCTACAGTACTGTAGTGTTTTAGAAGCACTACAAAATATATATATTTTTTAATATTAGATTTTTATCTACCAGTGTGAAGAAAGAAAGTCGCAGTGGGTCACCTCACTGTCCCAAGCCTGATGAGTCCGAGAAGCCCACTGGGACGAATGTAGAGATGGGACTCGCTGATGGTACTTGCAAAATGCCCACTATTGGCATGTGCCATAACTGGGATCTACTAATAGTTTGTGTCTGTTTTTGTTTCATGAATGTAGAAATAAACGTGAAAAGTGAGCCAGTCATGTCGGAAGCCCTCATCACACAAGAGATGGAGGCTGAGGAGAAGCAGCTGATGGAGGAGGGAGAGCGTAAAGAGAAGGAGATGATGGAAAAGGTCAGAAAGAAGTAGTATATTTACATTGTAAGGCATCAAACGGTCACCATGTAGCTAGATAATAAAGTATCTATTTTATGTGCTATAACAAATAAAGATTACTTACTTCTATTCTGGCATTACATTTTAATAGGATCATGTCTAACATTTTGAGATAAATATTACAGATGCAAAAATACTGATATTGAAATATAATTTTTTGTTTTTTTTTGGTAAGTTTAAAACATTTATGTTTGTTTAAATATTTGTCTTCAAACCGAAATTTAAAAGATTGTCACAGTTGGAATAGGTCTAACCAGGGTTGGCCTCATCATTGCTTGAACTGCTGTCTCTAGGCTCGACAATCATTGGAAAGGGGCACCCACGAAATACGCTTCAAACGGCTCCAGCACCTGCTGCAGAAGAGCAACATCTACTCCAAGTTCCTGCTGACGAAGATGGAGCAACAGCAGAATGAGGTAGATCCCTGAGACCTGGTAGAGCTATAGGGGAAATTTTAAAAATGAAATCCATTTGGTTTCTGACTTCATCTCTAACGGTTAAGTACGGTATTTATATTTATTCTATGTTTTAATATTGTGCTTCTTTCTTCACTGTAGGAAAAACTTCAGAAGGAAAGACTGGAGAAGAAGTCAAAGAAGGTGGGAGTGATAAAATGTCATAATACAAATGTACCTAAAATCATGCATAATATGTACATTTGTTTAACTCTTCTATCCTTTGTTGCAGAACTCAAAGGCACCTGAACCTGATAAAGGTGAGTAAAGCTGTCAACTGAAGTTACTGCATATGATCTTCTTATCCAATAAAATGTCACATATTTCTACAAAGATAAAAAGAAGCGAAGACGGGATGATGACTACAAAATTGCAGATGTTATGTCAAAAGAGGTGAGAGAGCTTGACAAATAAAAGTACTTTTGTTGACGCTCATTCTAATATTTCCTTTGTGATTTTCAGGATATCATGTCACAGTCCAAAAAAGTCAAATTGGAGAAGGTAAATAAAACATTTTGTCACATACAATGTCAGAGTACACTGTCCATATCATGTAGAGAAATTACTAAATATAAAAAAAAAGCTTCATAACATTAGCCGCTGCATTGATTCACATTTGACCGAATGACAAATACTTAGTTTCTCACTTGCTGCATTCAGGCCATATACAGAATGTTGTGCCACAATTGCAAATGAATGGTGGTATAGTCAAACAAAGCTTTACAACAATGTAGATTATGCCTGTATGGGTGAAACTGAAGTTGGATGGATGACACATTATTAAAAAGGATAATTAAATAAATTGAATAACTGAACTTAATCAATTGTATTATAAACTATGACTTAAATAACTCAACATTTCATTTGTAAACAACAGTCAGTTATACAGCTAGGTCTGTAAACAGTCAGAAATTGATACATGGGGCACACCGGAATATATAAAAGGTAAAGGTAATAATAGGAGTGATGTGAACCAACGAGACAGTGTCCCGGACAAAGAAAGAGAAAAGCCACTTTGGTACATAGCACAACAATGCTGTAATTGTAACAAGTAGAAATGAGAAACTAGAGGAAAGAGACTATCTGCTTGAACATTTGTTTCTATGGTGACAGGGTGAGGCTACTGATCAGAAGTCACTGGACACTGAAGATCTTGAGAAGATGAGTGAATCAAATGAGGCCATAAAACACCGGCTCTCTGAGGCAGTCCGGGACAAGGCACAACACCTCCTCGACCCCTCCCGCACAGTGAACGGAGAGCCTGTCCCGTACCAGCAGCCCAACCTGTTCACTGGAGGAGTCATGCGTTCATACCAGATTGAAGGCATAGAGTGGCTAAGGGTAAGTCTCATGCAAAATATGAACAAGATAAATGTTGTTCACTGCAATCTTTCCTTGTCTTTAGAGAAGCAATCCTAAATTCTAAAGTACACTTGTTGTTTTTTTCTTTGTGGGTCCAGATGTTGTGGGAAAATGGCATTAATGGGATTCTGGCTGATGAAATGGGTTTGGGAAAAACCATCCAGTGCATTGCTCACATCGCCATGATGATAGAGAAGAAGGTGATGGGGCCCTTCCTTGTGGTGGCTCCTCTGTCCACGCTTCCAAACTGGATCAATGAGTTCAAGCGCTTCACCCCTCAGGTAATAGACCAGACCTTTTTTCAAATTTCTCAAGTGCTTTTTTTAACAAAACATGATTTGCAGGTATCGGTGGTGTTGTATCATGGGCCTCAGCCAGAGAGGGCAAAAGTCCTGAAACAAATCCGTCGGCCCCATGAGCCCCTGGGGATGTGTCCTGTGGTTATCACCTCTTTTGAAATATCCATGATTGACAGAAAATTCCTCCAGGTTTGTTTTTGTCTTTCAATAATCTGTGATTATTGTGATACGTGACCATATGTTTTCACTCTTACTGGTTAATAATTCAGAAATCATGTGGATAACAAAGGTTAAAATGTAATTAATACATTTCAGCGTTTCCAGTGGAAGTATCTGATTGTGGATGAAGGCCATAGAATCAAGAACCTGAATTGCAGACTGGTGCGAGAGCTGAAAATGATGCCTACAGACAACAAACTGCTGCTGACGGGAACACCACTGCAGAACAACCTGGCCGAGCTCTGGTCCCTGCTAAATTTCCTCTTGCCAGAGGTCTTTGATGACCTTAAAAGGTCAGCCGCACACTCACTCTTCCCACAGCAGAACTGCAGTGTGCTCATGTCCTGTGTTTGACTGTGCAGCTTTGAGTCCTGGTTTGACATCGACTCTCTGGGAACAGCAGAGAGTGTGGTGGCGTCTGAACGGGAGCACAACATCCTCAGCATGTTGCACCAGGTCAGTCCTTTTCATGTAATGCCTTACTTTTATCATGTAAAACATGTATTTATTTTTGGATTTATTATTTGGGTGGGACAGCATCCAGCAGGACTGTACATGCAGTGCTGTGCACACACCAGAATGTAGATTTTGTGAATCATTTCTATCTGTAGTCCTGCAGTTACACTCTCAAACACACACTCATTCAGCTTATTGTAAAACAAAAATTGTGGTAGGGGAAACCTAATGTAGAAACGAAGAGAACATGCAAACTCCACACAGAAAGCTGAAAAGTTTTAATCTTTTACAATTTATGACCGTATCAAAATTCCATATGGAAATCATGCGTATGTTTTCACATTAAAGAACTTCTCACCCCCGCTCCTCGGAGCTTACATCACTCACATTTTCTTTTCAAATCTCCCTCCAAATGGGCGTAGCCAGGAGGACTAGGCGGGTCTAGATATGAGTGACACTTGACATCAGCATTGGCCATGTCAAAAATGGAGTGATCAGACACCAGCTCTACACATTCTGTGCGGTTTTAGGAGGTGGAGGACTTCTCTTGAGAGAGAGGAGGCAGACGGCGGCCCCCAGCCCTATCAATTTGAGCTGCTGGCTCGCGAGCTAGTAGAGCTAGTGGCCACCGGCAGCTGCCTCTGCAGCAGAGCTGGATTACTAATGCAACAACACATCATCAGTATAGGGTAAAACTAACCTGTCTCAGAGGCAGCTGAGGCAGCAGACCGCCACAGAATGGGGCCTGTTTCTGAATGATATTGATTAGTGGAATAAAAAGTACGAACTGCTTGTCACAGGTAGCCTTCCCGTATTCCCTTACAGTAACCGCTTTTCTTCAGTTTTGTCTGTACAGTTTATGTATAGACCCAGACCAAGATAAAGTATATGTTGTGGTGGTCATATAGTTATAAAATTCTAAACTCTGCCACAATAACCTGCGGCCACTGCACCTCCTTGTCCCCAAGGATAATGATACCCCAATGTGCACAAGAGACAGTAATTTAACACACGCTCAAACATAAAGAATTTATTGTACACAAGTACAATAAACAAATATACAATGAAATTGCACACTAGTAATACTAACAAAAGTCTTAAGCTAAATTCAGCTAACTAATCTAACAATAAAAGCAACTAATGACTAAAACTCCAATATTCAACAACATTGCTATTAACACTACACAATTATCTATAATACAAACAGTTATGCTAATAATAATCTCCCAAAATGCTATAACTTTATTTTCATCGCTTGTTAGGTTTGCGATTAGTCTCTGCTATTCCTTCTCCAACTTGCTACGGGGGCTCGACCGAGACTGGGCCGTTTATATTTCAGAGCGGCGGGGCTGCTGACGTAACGAGCCACAAAAGCGGCCTCTGCTGATTCAAAATTCAAATGTATTAATACAGGTCGCCTGCAGATGGCGCATCAGACGGTTTGATTAGTTGAAAGTTGATCTTTCAACTAATTTGCACCAAAGTGACAAAATTATGACCAAGATGTGTAGACAACACTATTGGACACTCATTTATACCGTTTATCAGGTGGATTTGAGGGTGAGTTGTCCTTTTTAAGTTTGATTTTTATTGTCATGTCTTTTCATAAATCGCACAGTGAATGAGTTGGTCAAAAACAAACCTCAGGCAGGACGTGATCTGTGCCAAGAGAAAAAAGCATGTGTAGTTTTATATCTGCCTTGTTTTTGTAGATTCTGACCCCATTCCTTCTGAGAAGGTTAAAGTCAGATGTGACTCTGGAGGTTCCTCCTAAAAAGGAGATAATCGTGTATGCTCCACTGACAACCAAACAGGAAGTCTTGTACACCGCTGTAGTAAACAAGACCATTGCCAAGATGTTGGGGCAGGAGAAGGTAACACCTTAATGTGCAATAAAATGTGTTCATGCCACTGGTTAATAATTATTTGACATAATCGTGTTAATTATCGTTATCTTCTGTAGAAAGAGGATCCAGTGGTGATGACTTCTAAAGGTAGACCGAAGCGACGCGCTCAAAGGGCTGTTGATTACAGTGAAATTGACCAAGAAACTCCTGATGATCTGGAGAAATACCTGGAGAGGCTTCAGAAGGAGCAGGAGCAGAGGTTGCCCCATTGCATGTGACATGTAGATTTTAGCTCTTGCTGCTGTGGTTCAAAGTCTGTCTTTGCGAAAGGGAATTGTATGCATGTTTTGGATGGGTGCATAATACACATATTAAAAACTTTCATTTAATTAAGTGGCATCATTTTCACGTTTTAAGTTCTGTATTGGCCACACAAAATTTTAAACCATTTTAGTTACTTTGTATCCTAAAACATTGACTAAATAGTGATGGTCCTGCAGAGCTTTAGTTTGTGGATTCAATTCTTACTGGTGGTTTCCACTCCAGCTCTGCAGCCTCCTCTGTACTGGATGTCCGCAGTCCTCTGGACGCACAGATCAACCTGAAGTTACAGAACATCCTGATGCTGCTGAAGAAATGCTGTAACCACCCGTACCTGGTGGAGTATCCCCTGGATCCTGCCACACAAGAATTCAAGGTGAGACGATAAACCTCAGAGTCCTTCCTCCCATAGTCGACAGATGTTACATTACTGCTTTAGATAAAGCTCCAAACATTTATAAACACTGGGCTGTACGAGGGTATGTTAGTTTGAAGATGTAAATGTAGTTGAAGTTCCACCTCATGAAAGTTGTTCACTGTTGTTGAATTGACACTAAGTTTAACTGTTGCTCTTCTCTCCAGATTGATGAACAGCTAGTGCTGACCTCCGGCAAGTTTCAGATCCTGGACCGTCTCCTGCCAGCCCTAAAGAAACGAGGCCACAAGGTAAGCCACCTTGTTTTTATTTTTTTATTTAACCAGGATAAAAACTCATTGATTAAAATCTCTTCTGCCAAGTGTGTCTGTGAGTGTGTGGCACAAACACACACATGCATTCATTCACAATTGGTGTGTATTATGGTATTATTTCTCCAAACCAATTTAACCCTTTACGGGGTTAAATTGCTCACTTAAACAGGCTGTATCTATAAATGTGGTGCACAATTGTGGGTAAACCATGGGTTAGTCTAAATTGAGTTAGTAAAACACCTGCGGCGCAGTGGCGTAGAGGCAAAGCAGGAGCAGTAGAGCTGAGCGGAGCGAGAGCAGAGCAGAGGGAAAGTGTGTTTTCTTTTACTCATGAGGTCTTCAGTACCAGAGAATTAGTTGGTCAGGTACTGGCTAACTCAGATTGAGAGAAGGAAGACACGCAGGTGTCCAGTGAAGCAGACACATTATTAGTGACAGGGAGACCGCGCGTTGTATAGTCCACAATCAGCCACAGTACAGCGGCTGCTTCACCTCCATGTGGCCGTGGTGGAAGCATTCCGCGAACGCCAAGCAGGGGATGTGGTCGAGGGGACAGGGGATGCATAATATTGCTGTATATGTTTATACATTTAAGATTCTGTAACATTGTTTTGTCGGTCTCAGGTGCTGATCTTCAGTCAGATGACCTCCATATTAGATTTGCTGATGGACTACTGCTACTTGCGAGACTTTCACTATAGTCGACTTGATGGGAGCATGGCCTACGCTGACAGAGAGGAGAATGTAAGGCTGTCAGACAGAATTTCACTGCTTAATATTTCATTGACTGGGAATACTGGATGTATTTTTCAGATTGCAAAGTTCTTCAAAGATCCCGAGGTATTCCTTTTCCTGCTCAGCACCAGAGCTGGAGGCCTGGGTATCAACTTGACTGCGGCAGACACGGTCATCATCTTTGACAGTGACTGGGTGAGTATTCTCACACCAAATGTGTAAAGTCTGTCAAGAGGCATCTCTAAAAAGATTCTTGCTGATGATGTCCTTGGTGACTAGTGGAGGTTGAATTGGTGTGATCTTTGCTGACTTGTCTTTGTGTCCAGAATCCCCAGGCTGATCTGCAGGCTCAGGACCGCTGTCACCGCATCGGGCAGACTAAACCTGTGGTGGTTTACCGCTTTGTCACTGCTAATACCATCGACCAGAAGATTTTTGAAAGGGCCTCCGCTAAGAGGAAACTGGAGCAGATGGTCATCCATAAGAGTAAGAGGGACCAATAATTAGACTAGTAAAATCCTACTGAATGCATGTAGAGATTTGCTAAATTGCTTCATGTTTGCCCCAATATATGTAGAAATATAGATAGTGATGATTGTATATATGTATGTATGTATGTATGTATGTATGTATGTATGTATGTAATATATATATGAGAATTGTGAATGTATGAAAGTGAGAGATGGACCCACTGTGGCAGCATGCAAAAGCAAATAGTTCTTTTCCCCATTTATTTTGAATGTTTATTTATTTGTATAAGGCCTGTATTTTTCTTTTGTTAAAGTGAGAGCTGTTACATCTTTGGTTATTTTTTCATTCATTTAGCTAATTTGCCAAGTGTTATTTAAATAACACCTTCACATGTAATAAAATAAAATAAAATATTGCTGCGTATCAAATCACTTTTTGTGATTCTAAAAATCATAATTTGCTACTTTCATTTAATTAAGTGAAAATGTTTCAAAGAACCAAATTAAAACAACCTTGATATTTTTATATTTCTCTACCAAGATCCACAACCTCTGTTTGAATATTTATGATTTGTTTCTGCAGATAAATTTAAAGGAGCCCGGACTGAGCTGAGCCAGGGAAAGAGCTGCATCGACCTGGACGAGCTGAGGGATCTGCTGAAGGCTCGCAACACTGAAAGGTGAGTCCTCTGATCACTGCTTCTCAGTTTGAATCTACAACAGCAGTTTCTGAATATTTTTTTATTTTTCACTTCCACTTCCATCTTTGGATCATATCACGTTGTATTTGTATAGCACAATTCTTGCACAAGACAAATGATCAGCCTATGCTAGGGATTGGCAATATGGAGCAAAAAATATATTTATAACTTGGTTTATAACTTTATTTTATAAATCAAGATATATAAAAACATATAATGCAGATATTTTTATTCCAATTGCAAGAATTGAACGCCACCATGTCCGTGCTGTGCTGTTGGATGTACAACCCTCTTTCACAAAAGCAAAACGATGCCTCAGTTTGTAGTGGATGTTCAGGCCGTTGTGTCTTGTCATTTATCCACTCACCCGCCGCACTCTCGCATGTGTCATCAGGACGTATCCATTCACCGATATTGCAGCATAGCGCAGTCGCTCACTCAGATAAACCCCTGGTTCTGGAAACTTGACCTCATGCACAGAGATGTTTCTGTGTTGTCTGTGAGCACAATGTGACTGTAATGTGTCCACAGACAAGTGAAGGCTTCAAGAGGGAAAGTGCTCAGTGACCAGGACCTGGAGGTGCTGCTGGACCGCTCGGACCTGCTCAGTAAGGATTCAATGATTCATCAAACTTTACAATTAAAAAAAATCACTGGCTACAATAATCATCCATGAAAATTAAAGGTTTCAGCCAACTAGGACTGTAACAACTGCTCAATTTACTTCAATAATCTATTAGTTGAAAGCTATTTTGGTAATGAAGAAATTAGCAAATTGATTGAAATTAATCAAAAAAATCTATGGAATCTATCTATTACATTCCTACAGCTAACCAGTCACAACAATACTTCAGTGGAAATCTGTGAATCAGCAGTTGCATCATGCTTCCTTATGTTGCAGGTAAAGATGCAGTGAGAGTGAAGAAGGAGAAGCTGGGTGTTTTCAGGCTGGTGGACGACCAGGAGTCCGACATTGTTCTTTCCTGAACTCTGACGTCTTTTGAAGATGCCCTTTAAACTACTGTTCCTAAAAACTGAGACTGCTGCAATACCGTTTAGAATAATGGATCTCCTTCAAACCACTAAACCAGGGGTTTGCAAACTGGTCCAGAAGGGGCAGCTGTGGCTGCAGTTTGGTCTGGTGACACCCTGCAGCCACTGCTGCCCTTGAACAGGTTTGGAGACTCCTGCACTAAAGCGTTGTTCACACAAGGCATTAAAGGCCTTCAGCAAAGAGCTTTAAAGTTGTCATTGATTTGTATTTGTTATGACAATGTTGTACCACTATGTTGCGGCGTGCTGTTCATAAATTGGATGGACCCTCTATATTTTATCATATACAGGGTTCAGATGGTTCAGTTTGAAACAAAAGAAACTTGCATCTCATCTAATTATCTTGTTTTAGTTTTTTTATGCTACAGTTCATATTCAGTATCGAAATGAGGCCCACTTTTAGTTTTATCATAATCACTATGTACAAAATTCAACACTTAACCATTGTAAATGCATGAAAAGCATATACTTAATGTTGCATTTAAGTTAATGCAACATTATGTTTGACCAACAGAAAGAGGCAGGCAAAACAAATGAACTCCGCTCATATGTTTGCCAGTCATCAGAGTGTAACCAAATCTCAGTAGGAATGCAGACTTTAGCAAAACTTGGACCCCAAATGAAACTGTAAATCTAACAAAATGCAATGCAACAACATATTCACTTTTTCACTTCACAATTGTTGGATGCTTTGTTTGTTTTTCATACAAGTGAATCCAACATCTTTGTTGTCGTAGCATGACAGAATGTGGAAAGGTTCATTGGGGTGTGAATACCTTTCAATGTACTGTATCTTCCACATCGTACTTGAGCATGTAAAATGCTGCTGACCACTGATATTCTCTACTGGACATTAGTTCTTCAATGCCCTATTGGAGGGGTCCTTCTTTTGTCACTAGTAATGGTGGATAAGAGCTGGCCCATGATGGGAAGAAAGTAAACTGTATTTATGTCCTGTGGTGTTTTGTTATGCCTTTTTGAGAATTCTACTGCTGTAATCCTTGCTCTTGACCTGGAGTCTATAGTTAATCTGCTTGTCAAGACGTTTACCTCCATAAGTGTGTATATTCCAGTGAAACGTTCTCTACTATGCTGTTTTATAATAAAAATAAACCACTGTCCATAACGTATGCTTTTATTTCTTACTCACATTGCATCCTTGTAATTTTATTATGTTGTAATGTTTCATATTAATACGAGAGCATGATTCAAACATGTTAGAAAGGACATTGCGTGAGATACAAGTTACTCTGGCTGGATCTCTGTAAAAGGACGTGACTGGGTTGTTGTCAGCCTCGTCTGTGACTATTTGCATTTGCTTTGCCTCCAAATGGAACTCATGGAAATATTGTGACCAGGGCTCAGGATGACAATGTGTTTGTTATAGAGATGAAAGTGAGGCTCCATATGGGTGTGAGGCTCTTTGATCTACAGGGTGTCTTTGTGTAAGTCGGACTGTTATTGAAAGGGTTGGGCATGTATGTGCGGGGTGTGGCTCTGCACTCGGAATCACAGAGCTGCCCTGATTTCCAGTCATTAACATAATCAAGGTAAGTTTCTAAAATTATATGTTTAAACCGGCTCTCTGTATATTCAAAAAAACATGACCCCCACTGACGTCTGCTGTCGTTGTGTCCTTGGGCATAACTTTACCTGAAGCCCTCGCTCAAGGCTCCTGTGGAACTGGGTGCAGGTCTGACTGCCACCCCCCGACCCAGAAATGGATTAAGATTATATTTTTTGTTGATATGGTATAATGAATTAACATGAATAACTCTCATGCACTGAATGACAGCAGATGAGACTTTATTTATTTGGTGGTACGACCAGGCTAGCAAAAAGGCCTTTCAGCTAAACCTTCAGTTCTGGATATTTAATCCACGTAAAACTGTCTCTGCTCAGTCAGGTGAAGCTATAATTGTTTTCAAATTGTGAAATGCTCAAAGAATCGTGTGTGTGTGTGTGTGTGTGCGCAACCCTTTTGTCCCGCCACAGTCATAGCAAGAAAACTATAAAGTAAGGTTCTAAATGACAAGAGTGCTGGTCAAATAAAACATAAAAAAATTCCATCCATTTTCTTCCCCTTAATCCAGTTCTGGGTCGGGGGGGGTGGCAGTCAGAGCTGCACCCTATTCTCAGAGCACCAGCCCCTCACTGATCCTCCTGCAGGATCAGTGAGACCACGGGAGCCTTCACCTTTCAGTGGGGGCTTCAGGCAACGTGGGGTTAAGGTTAAGTGTCTTGCAGCCGACATCAGTGGAAGTCATCCAAATTTAGCCAATTGACCATAGACTGTATTGACCCACCAATCATTGTGGTGGGTCAATTTGGCACAGGGAAAACACATGGGTTACTGCTTATGATGTCATTTGGTTCTGAGGTGCACCCATAGACTGTGCATCTGCTCATATTAAAGGGGAATCACAATCAATCTGGGGTTGTTTTTGGAATCTGGGGTGAATCCAAATAAATCAGCCAAGCTACTAGTTCAAAGTTGGCCAGTTATTCAGCAAATGTTCATTAACTAGGACTCCCAGAGCAGTCATTTTAGCGGCTCACATTAATATCAATAAAATTATAAGAAATTCTAACCAGTTTCATAAAAAGTAAGTCGTTTCTAAGATTTTACCTTTACTCAACATTGGTAAGTTCTAATACTGGTTAATATATGAAATACAGCATAAACAGTTTGTTTAAGGGCGACCAAACCCAGACTACTGCAAATAAACGTGAAGCTTCTCCCTCTGGTGGAAAATCCAGATCAGAACCAGAACCAATCCAACACCAGCCCCGTGGAGAGAAGGGGCTTGAAGTACCATAGAAGCAACCGAAAATGGCTGAATATGAATTATATATTCCAATGAATGGAGCAGTCAAAATGTATCATATATTCAAACATGATTCAGATTCAGATTCATTTATTTGCCATTTGCAGTAAAGATCATAAAAGTAATAACATAGACAGAAACTAATGTTGGCAATAGCTAAGCGCATACTATATACAGTATACTGTAGATTCAGAAAAAGTCACAATGTTATCAAGACCAAAAACATTCATAAGCAGAATCATTACACTTCCAAAATTAACTGCTCTGAGAGTCGAGGTGTAAGTAAATGTGTATTTTGTTCATAGTTTGTTTCTTCAGTGTTTGTATTCTGACATGTTTTATGTATATATGTTGTGGATCATTGTGTGTCCTCAGGCCTTGCTCTCACAGCCCAGTCCTGATGGAGCGTCTGAAGTTGGTGCTGCAGTACTTCCAGTCTAACTCCGAGTCCATCTCCAACGGCATCTGCATCATACTGGCCTTGGTCAGTGTCAAACTCTACACCAGCTTCGACTTCAACTGCCCGTGTCTGCCGCAGTACAACAGGCTGTACTCTCTGGGCGTCATGCTGGTGCCCCCCATCATCCTCTTCTTCCTGGGGATGCTGGTGAACCGCCACACAGGGGTCATGATGGACGAGTGGCTCCGGCCTGAGGGACAGCGCTCCAAAAACCCAGCTGTTGTCAAGTGAGATTCGTCCAGGACAATTATTGCTTCAAACATAGTTACATATAGTATAGATATAGTTTCAAATATTGGCTGTAAAATTGCTCGGTGTTAGAAGCTGTTTTGAACCAACTGAGTTCGTAAGTAAAGTAAATTTAGTAAGTAAAGTAATAAGTACGATTTTGACATGTTTTTTTACCCCTTAATCTAAATGTTATTCAAATGTTTCGCAGTGCTATTGTAGTGATGCCGAGTTGTATGCAAATGAGCTCATTGCGGATCAGGCCATGCTCAAACATAAACATTGTATTCAGAAATAATAGTTTCAAAAAGACATGAAGAATTGTGAAATATAATCAAAATGGTACTGGCTCTGTGTATTTCTGGCTCCCTGACCCAGAAATGGATTAAGGGGAAGAAAATGGATGAATGGATGAAATGAACCCTTTAAAACATATTTCAGAATTGTGTAATAGCATAAAGTCAAGGTTACCAGAAACAAATAAAAACAAAATCCCGTAGAATTACAGAAAAAAACGTTTCTTTCATTTTTAGATTATGAGGATTATATAAGTGCAGCATCAAAACTTATGACTTACACTTTTGCTGTTCAAGGATCAAGGAATTCTAGAAAAACTGCCTCATTTTCTGACATAATCATTCAACTAAGGCTCTCTGACCCTCTGATCACAGGACCATTTGCAGTTTAATGTGTTTATACAGGAACTGAACTGGGAAGGAAAGTATATTATTTAAAATCATGTTTAGCATCTAAAGTAAAAAAATAAATAAATCTACACATGGTGCCGCTTTCCTACTATTATTGTTTGCTTTTTGATTGATTTGTTACATAGCATAAATGTGTACAGTTGAATAAAGGCATCAAAGGGCTTCTGACTGTATGAACTGGGTGATGATGGGGACTAGTTCTAGGAGCCAGTCTGTGAAAACATGCCATGGATCTGTCATAAGAAACATGCCCATTGTCTACCTCTGCACCCACAGGTTCCTGTTCTCAGCCATGCTGCAGAGGGCGATGTTAGCTCCAATGGTTTGGATCTTGGTCACTCTTTTGGACGGGAAGATCTTGATCTGTGCCTTCAGCGTCAGCGTGGACCCCCACCTCTTCTCTGGTCCTTATCCTTTTCACTGATTCATACATTTTTTCACATACTTGTTTCAGTTGGACAGTGACATATGGACGACCATCATATTATATTAAATCAGTCAGGCTATAAATATTCAACGCCTCTGAAATGTGTTTTTGTTTCACTTCACGTTTATTCTGCACACTGCACTGTGTTCCAGGTTTCCCAAACAACACTGGGCTGGACGTCATTAAGATCATGGCAATGGTTCCATGTAAAGACAACATCTTTGGACACAGTTCTTTCAGAAAGGCTGTGACCAGATATGTGCGCTGCTATTCTCAGGTCAGACTGCGTGCATTTAACACTTTTCAGAACCAAAGCAATAAAGACAAAAAATGGTAGCTGTTTTAAATATATACATATTTTGATTCAGGAGATTAGGAGGAGTGTATGATAAAGTTTTTCAAAAGACCAAGAATAATAATTGTAGTTCATTATTTTAAGCAAATTAAAAAACTAAATATTTCAAGAACATTTTGTCTTATGATGATTCTCTAGGCCACTGGTTGTTTTTTGACTATTATCAAAATAAAACAAAAAGTGTGGTTTTAAATAGTTTGTCCCTTAATGACAGTTACTGCTCAACACTATGTAATTATATACAGTAATTGTGTCTGGTTGGCTATTTTACACATAAATATAAATATGCCAAAGAAACTAATCATTAACCAGCACAGCAGTGTATTCATTTGACCATGTGTTTGCAGGCTGTGGGCTGGTCCATCCTCCTCTTCTTCATTGTATTGGGGTCTCTCGCTCGTCTTATCAAACCGTTCTTTGATGATCACGCCAGGTTCCTGCAGACGCGCTACTGGAGCAACTACCTGGATGTGGAGCAGAAGATGTTTGACGAGACCTGTGTGCTTCATGCACGAGACTTTGCAAGGAAGTGTGTGGTGCAGTTTTTTGAGGAAATGAGAGAGGATTCCGTCCCAATGCTGGACAGGCCATACTTCAGTGTGAGCACAAAAGACGACTGGGACTGTGAGGATGAAGACCGGCTTCACGGCGTCACCAGGCAGGAGCAGATGGACAAACTGCTCGACAAGTGGTTCTGCAGCAAACCACAGCTAGATGTGAGGCGCATTGCAAACCGCCCAAGACTCTGTCCAGGTTGCAGCAAGAGGAGTCTCAGCTCTGAGGTGTAGACTTGAGGAGATCCGTCTTTTAACAAGCGTTTTCTCATAACCTTTTCAGTTCAATAACACTGTACATCTTATAAATGGCCACGGTTGCTGCTACTTTCATTGATATTCATCGAAGTCAAAAGTGCACTTTTGTCTCTCAGTAGTCACTCAAGCCCACCACAACAACACTGGTCACATTTCATTCATCTCCTTTTCCATTTCATCTTTGCTGTAGGTGGCCCATTTGTGGATGCGACTATAAAGGGGCAGTCCATTTTTCTCTCGATACAGGCATACCCCCGTGACCCTGTTCCAGTCTGTGCTGCAGACAGGCCGACTGTTGGGCTGCTCCCCCAATAACTCCTTCTGAGCAGAATCCAGGGACACAAAGCCAAAGAAGCTTTTCACGTTCTGCATGGCTATGAGCTGGGCATGGGCCGCTGCTGTGCTGTTGAAGAGACTCCGCTCAGCTGTGCGGTACTGAGACCAGTACTCTTCCTGTTGGTGGCCCAGAGGAGAGCAGCTCCGTCTCACACACTTCAGCAGGAAGACAGCAACTGACATAGTAGCAACCAACAACCAGCCAATAAGCTGAAAAAAAGGCAAACTAGATGACAGGAATACAGCACAGTAACTCAGATACATTTACTTCAATGTTGAAAGCCATTTTTCGGATACTGCCTGAGAAATGTATAATTCCACAAACTTCAACAACAAAAAAAGAAAAGTCTGAACATATATTGAATACCTGAGACTGATACTTGAGGTGCCGCTGTATGTCTCTCCAGAAAGGCTTCAACTCTGCAGAAACACTGTCCTCACAGGGAAGCTGGGCCAGCAATTCAGGGCTCTTCCCCAGGGGAAACCCTGGGACGATGCTGGGATCCACAAACTCACTGAGTGCACAAGTGTAGGCCTGTCCTTGCAGCAGAGACAACACAGCCCATGTGAGAGGGGCCACCACAGCTCTGCCCAGCACACAGGCAAGGACTGAGAAAGCTGCTGCTGTGGATAACTTCTGACATTGTCTGAGCCTGCACTCCGCTAAGAGGTCCCATGTGCTTCTATTCAACATGATGCCCACTAAGAATAGCACCAGAGCGGGCACACCTATGGCCGCCAGCCCATAGTAATAGTTCCTCTGGGGGGAGCAGGGACAGTCAAAAGCAAAAACAGTGTATGCTGTCTGGCCTGCCACAGTGCCGAGAGCAATGAGTCCATTAAATATCACCACATCTTTACTTTTGAAAAATAAAGACACAAATCTAAAGTTCTCTGTAACGAGTGCAGCTGCTGCCATTATGTAAAACCACAATGGTTTGTAAATCCTAAACACACAAAAATAAGCCTGTTAAAAAAAACTAACCCTGCAAATGTTTGTCCCAAACTTGAGAGATGCTGCAACAATCCACAAATGGCACAAACTGTATAACGATGTCTCCGAAAGGGTAGAACATTGAAAGAATCTTTGTGTGTTGGGCACTGAATGACTCAGTCAGGGACTGCCCCTCTGTTTCCTTTCCCTGCCTCTAAAAAAAAAAAAGATATGTAACTGAAAACATGTGCTAGCTTCATTTTTTTCTCAAACCACACACCAGCCCAATACTTCTGTTTGCAGAAACATCTGCAATTAGATGAACAAGCACTTCTTAACATCAAAGTGAAACCCATTTACTGTTTCCCTATAACAACAAACTGTGCAGTTCATTTTTTTCTGTTCATTTTTGTGTGTCGTTTGTACATATACATTTTAAAAACAAAAGCTTGGAGCTTCATATACTAGGAGATTAGGTTATTTCATCATGTAACTATGTGTGATGGGCATACACACACACACACACTGAGGTAGGGTTCTTTCAGGATGTTGTGACATTGTAGCATGTGAAGTAGCCTAATAATTATATAATGGTTATTATTATTGGATATAATGATTCTCCAATCAGTATCCTATTTATCTTTTCATTTCAGTCCACCAGTATTCTCTAATATACACTAATGTAATGTCATTGTTGGGCTACCGTGTGTCATCTCTACTGTACAATGTGGTCCAAAGTATTTTATGTTAATTTGGAAAATCAGAACTTTCCTTTAATATTCCTCGTGTGAATTAGACATGGAGCAGCCATAGACTGTAGTAAGGATATCCTACAGTGAATGGTATCTGCTGTCATCTCAAGTTGGGTGTTATTAATGATATATCTTGACAGAAAGAGGTTCTGGATTAATATTCGACTCTTGTGTGCTCTGACTCTGACCTGAGGGTGTAGTTTTGAACACTCATTTAATGTCCGTACCTCTAACATTTCAAGCTGTGGTCACTGGTGTGGTCAGAGCGGGTCAGAGCGGGTCAGAGATGCTGGTGGAGCTGTGGATCACGTGGGGCGCGCAGTCACGTGGCTGCTGTGCCACGTCTTACTAGAAGACGTCACCTCTCAGTGAGTCGCTGCTGCAGGATCTGCGCGTCTCCTGAACCCCTCTTATTTACACTTATCTTTAGTGAATCAAAAACACAAGCTGTGGGCATCACTTCAAAGGACTCTGAAAGAACACAGACGTATTTCTCCCTTTTGCATATCGGCTGGCTAATGTTTCCTGGTTGGACTTGCAGCCATTTTGGATTTGTACAAAGAAAACAGGCAGCCTGTTGTGGAAGCAGCCAGAGTTAGCTCCTTTGTTCTAAACTGCGTTTGTAGACGGAGTTAAAATACCACACACGAAGACGCTGAACAAACAACCTCTCAGCCATGAATCCAGAATAGTAAGTATTGGACCACAAATTCCAGTTCGCTTGGCCAGTTAACGCGTAACAGCTAGCGTTAGCAAAGTGAGCTAACGTTTGTAAAACACTGAGGGGCAGGTGACAAACAGCCCTGTCAGTGTTTGTGAACACGGTAATCTGTCTTGTCTTAATTAACCATGATCATCCGAGACGTTATGGACACCGTATTTACAGACTGTTGACCGTGATCATTTGCCTCTAATGTTGTATCAAGCTAAGTCACTGGTTGTGTAGCGTTATAGCTTATACTATGATGGCGCCGTGTCCTCTTTATTTTTTTTAATGAATGACAGTCATGATCGTACTTAATAACCAAATATTCAACAGTTTGCATGATAGTTTTAAAGCACCCACAACCAACATGTCATAAAAAAATGATAGTATTAAAAATGTATGTCGGTTTCGCCTGAGTATAAAGCCGTCTCTGTGCTCCCCGTCCCTTGAGTCATGTGTGGGTCACATGGGCACGGCCTATTATAGGAAACATCTTGGACAACCTTTTTATTGCCGTATTTTATTTGTCTTAATGTTGCCTACTTGCGCATTATCATTTACCATTTAAAAATCGGTGTTTGTCAAAAGTCACTTCAGACATTGGCAGCACAGCATCTTCATACATCTCTCGTCTGCATACCAGGATCTCGACCACCAGTGTGCCTGGAGTTTGGCACAGAGAAAGTGATCTAGAGTTTATGATCACGTTCATGTGAAACTTAAATTATAGCCATATTTTATCAATGGCCTTTTTAAAATAAAATCCATAAAAACAAACCATTAATGTTCACATATGAACAGAATGTACACTGGACCACAATGGCCACATAAACGTAAAGAAACTTCTGATTGAATTGCAAATGTCTTTTTTCTTTGCAGTGATTATTTATTTAAACTTCTTCTGATCGGTGACTCAGGTGTAGGAAAGTCTTGCCTTCTTCTGAGGTTTGCGGTAAGTTGACCAATTGTCTTAAAGCATTCCTCAATATGTTAACTACTGCAGTCAACGTATCTGTTTAACTTTGATTATGTTGGATTTTGATATAATCTATTAGAATGTCCTTACGTTACGATTTTTCTGCATCAATTTGGATAAAACCCTTAACTAATTTTAATTGAAGAATAATTATTGTTTATTGGATCATCAAAATGGTCATTAAGCCCTACTTAAAATGCAAGTTCTCAGTTCCTCAAAAAATATAAACTTTTTAAATATTTTGGCTTGAAGGAAATTGTCCACTAGTTACTGATTTGAGTAAGAAACTGTAGTGAAACATGGGCAGTCCCTAATGATTAGATTACTTAAGCATGTTTTGGTCTCTTCAGGATGACACATACACAGAAAGTTACATTAGCACAATTGGTGTGGACTTCAAAATCCGAACTATAGAGCTGGACGGGAAGACTATCAAGCTTCAGATTGTGAGTACCCTCTTATGTATTTATTTCTTCATGTTTTCTACGTTATCTCTGAATACTGAGACTTGTCCTCTGGTCTACAGTGGGACACAGCGGGACAGGAACGGTTTCGGACAATAACCTCCAGCTACTACAGAGGAGCTCATGGAATCATAGTAGTGTACGACGTTACAGACCAGGTATCCTCATCAGTTTTGAACACACACTTTGCTTCACACCTTTGGAAGAATGTTATGGGAAGTAGGAAGTATTGAGATTGAAAAAATAAAAGTTGCATCAGATGCTGAATGACCGCTACACAAGTAACAAAGAGTGTGAAGTCATTTTTCTTCATTTTTGGTTTTACAGGCCACAGAACCTTATTTTGCACCATAGAATCCATAAACATTTACTGTCACTGCAACATTTAGAACTTGTCATTTAGAATCATTTGTCACTTGTTGCAGGAATCTTTTAATAATGTTAAACAGTGGCTACAGGAGATTGATCGCTATGCCAGTGAAAACGTCAACAAGCTTTTGGTGGGAAACAAGTGTGACCTAACGACAAAGAAAGTAGTGGATTACACAACAGCCAAGGTATTTATTCTCAAAGCTGTTTGACTCACAAAAGAACAGTTAACCTTTTATTAAAGATAGATACTTGATGTGGTTTGTCTAACTCTACATTCTGAAAAATGCAGGAGTTTGCAGACTCTTTGGGCATCCCCTTTTTGGAAACCAGTGCTAAAAATGCAACCAATGTGGAGCAGGCCTTCATGACCATGGCAGCTGAAATCAAAAAGAGAATGGGCCCTGGAGCCACAGCCGGGGGAGGGGACAAGCCCAACGTGAAGCTAACGCCAGGTACCACTGTCAAGTCTTCATCTGGGGGTTGCTGCTGAGACCACTGTGTCCTGGAGCCCAAAGGACAGAGGGCAGAACTTTACATGTGTAGTGGCACAAATCAGACCCGTGTCATTCTGTCTTGGCCGGACCACACCCTGTCATCTCAGACTCGCTGTTAGACCCAGTGGGTTCCTGAGACAAGAGCCAGTGTCTGTTTTTCATATTTCCACCGGGGGTCATTACTAAATTCACATTAATTAGCTTTTTTGTTTGTCAATTGTTTTCCTCCTTCTTTTTGGACTTAATGTAAGGCATGGTTGATCTGTCCCCAGTACTATCGGCAGTGTCATTACTGTCCAGAATCCCACATGTAGTGATACAGTATATGTACATAAAAAACATTATGTATATAAATATATATAAATATTTGTAAATTGGATTTGACAGTTCGAGTTCAGTATGTTATTGGGAATGTTTTGACAATTTATCTCTGCATTAAAAAGATGATCTAGTGTATGTTTGTCGCTAAACATTTGAAATGAAAATAAATCTTGTTACACCCGACTGTACTAAACATGAGCAGACTGTTCTTCTGGCTCCGCAGATTACACTGTGATAACTATGTTACTATGTTATAACTTGCATGGATTGCGTGGATTCAGAAAGGCTGACAATAGAACAGTTTTATAGTGTTGCTCACAAGTTGACTTCCGCTCAATAAGATTGACACTTTACGACACATAACCTACTCCTTTAACCAGGGACACATCCGTTAATATCATGCACTTTGCTTATACTGTCTGGCATGTATATTACTTACCAATATACTCATAACCTTATTTGGTTATTGAAAAGGTGTTGACGTGTCATTGTTTTTTTTGAGCAGATGAAACATTTACTTCTACATTTAATATTTATGATTAAACATTGTGTTTCTTTGAAACGTAAACACTGGCAAAGGGTTACTATGGTTTGACTAGTTTATTACTACGAATGTATTCTGCACTAGAATAGGTCTATAGAGTAATTTAGATGTGCCTCTTTAGAAACCATATTTCCCTGTATCAGTATGTGATCTAGTGTGCAAATTCATGATCATATTAATGATTTGAAAATAAGGATATTGTCCAGAAGATTTGTGTGGCGAGCCTATTATAGTTAAACGTGCATTGTAACAAATAATACAGTAGTACTGAGTAGATAGGAGACCAAACGTCTTATACAATTCAACAATCGCAACTTAACTACTTCTAAACTTGCTCCTCGTTGGTTTTGAATGGCTACCTTTTTGTGCGTTTGCAGGTTGCTCTTGAGTCAGTGCCCACCAAGTAAAATCTAGTTAGAAGCACTGCTTCAGTCTTCTTGCTCCTTTTCCACTGAATTGAGTTAAATACTGAGATTCATTTCTCCCTCAGCAGATGTAGAAAATAACTTGCCCAATGGTTGTTAGAATGTAGGGATCTAAACCCAAAGCTATAGCGTTCTTTAATAATCATGATTCCATTATTGTCTATACAAGGTCTTGATCCAGAACTTGCCTAGAATCTCTTAAGACAACAGTTAAAACTGCTCATAGAGTTCATAAGGTCATCTGGCAACACGTTTATTTTTTGTGAAAGGCACTTTTCAAAAAGAATAATACCATTTGAATAACAAGATTGTGCTGGAATACAGCTTCCCATCAAAGTTCTTTTTTGCAACCGATTTCATCCATTTGATCACAATTGTGACTCCGTACAACAGAAGCCTTCTTTACAGTTCCTTATGCCACACGGCTCTGGGCTTCAGGCTCCCTGTCTGGTGCCGTTGGTGCAGGTTGAGTCAGGCTGTCCATTGCAGCGAGGATGGAAGAGAAGAAGTCCTCTGTATGCGTCTCCAGAAGTCTGGACTGGCTTTCAATCAGCAGCAAGGTGTCTCTGAGCACTGGAGAGGACACACCAATGGAAAACACTTGAACTATTTATGTATTTATTCAATTAGACTGGACGATATTTTTCCTGTAGGAAACTTTACAATACATTTAAACTTTTCAGCTTAAGACGATCTTTTTGGGACATGTACGTGTCTTTTTTGCGTTTTGAAATAAATGTCTTTGATTGGGGAGAAAAATCAGACATAATGACCTTATTTTAAATATCACCAAGCTCCAAAACAGCCTTATGTCTATACGTTAGTTTTACACCATGCATTATCGCTAACAGTTTATAAACATTAGAGCATCCAAAGTGGGATCGATCTGGGGACCTCATAGATGGGGGAGGCACTAGGCAACAGGGGAAGAACACTGACCTGGGGAGGTGCTATGGATGCAGCTGAGCAGGAGGCGTCCGGTCTGTAGAACGCTGGAAGTCAGGGGCATGTGGCTGTTCACGTCTCGGTGAAAAGTCTGAAACACACAAGTCCTTGGGTACAAATAGTTTCAATTAAAAATTGCATCAAAGAAGGAAAAGCCATTTCCTCATGGTTGACATGGCGCTGATGATGTCAAACATTAGAAAATGATTAATCCTTTGCCAACCTGGTACTGAGCCAGAGAGGACTTGACACTGTGAATGTCCACAGTGGGTGGAACCAGGTGCTCGATCTTCTGTGAGGCGACGTAAAGCCAGCGGACGAGCTGCTCCAGGTGACTGCAGAACACCTGCCACGCAAAGCTCAGGGTTGAGATCATGCAGGAAGAAGCAGTATTGCAGTGAAATGCTTTGTTTTGGCTTACACTGATGTGCTCCATGAGTGAGCTGTGCTCCTCTGGTCCACTCACAGAGTCCCCCATATCTAAAACTAAATATGGAAGGAAGACAAATGATACAATGAAACACACCTCCATCAGGTCTTATGTTTAGTTTTGTATAAAAGAATGCTAAACCTGCAGTACATAGTTTGTCCTCTTTTTTGAGGTTCCCGTCTGTGGCGTCAAAAGCATCCTGTCCCGTAGAGGAGTAGCGGTGTGCAGGGTGTAGAAGAGCGGCTGCCTCATAAACCTTCACAGAGCAGGTGCCATAGATATTATGAATCACGTTATTAAAAACTACAATACTTAGAAGATGTAGAATTATCACCTGCTGTGACAGCTGCTGGAGCAGTTCTAGCTTCTCTGGGAGGGGTCTGAACTCCTCGTCGTCTTGAAACCCTCTGTCCCAAGGCAGAGTTATGAGTGAGGCAGAGATGGAGGGCACAGCTGTGTCTCTCTGAGGACTCCACTTCAGGTCCTCCACTGATAATACACGGTCTGTTGTGGAGAAATGCGGCATGCTATCTATCAAGTCTGGACTTAAACATAGAGGGTCCTTTGGATGATGTTTGGCTCCAAAGGACAGGTTGAGCTCAGACAGGCCTGTGGAGAGGTGATCCACTTCAATCCCTGAGTCTTGGAAGGTCCATTCCCCAGCCTGAGGTCTCAAAGGGTAGGTGTAGTCCAGCAGAGCCTCGTAGTCTTGGTGAGGGTCTGCTCCAGACGGTGAGGGCGGGGGGTCTTTGGGAATGGCACAGGCCCAGTATTCAGCCTGATATGAGGTACTAGAGGTGCCCTCGAGAGGTTGTGTCCTTCTGAGACCGGAGAGAGGGCTGTACCTGGGGTGCAGCACCGGGGAACACAGTGGGGGTCTGATAGGGGAGCTCAGGGGGTAGGGCAGTGGGACAGGGTCTGAGTAGAGTTTGAGCTCAGGAGTACTGCAGCTGGGGAGGAAAGCAATCGTGCTCAGCTTGCCTGATGGAGAGAGATTTGTCTGGGGGCTGAGCAGGGGCCTCATCGCAGTCAGGTTGTCATCCACAGTGTGTGTATCCTTCTGTGAGATGTACAGTGTTATCTTGGCCGATACGCTTTCAGTACAAATATTTGTTTCTTTACCTGTAATGTTCTGTCTGCCACATGAGTTTTCTTTAGAATGGAAGTATGCTGAGGAGTGAACAATGGACGTCTCACTCTGTACTGATGACCCGTGAGGAGCCTGGTGGAAGCCGAGGCGATGCTCACATTTTTGGGTGAGGTCTGGGCCTCTTTCGTCTGTCTCCTACTGGACTGCAGAGATCTTTCCCTCACGTCCATCAGCCTGAGAAACCGAAGTGTCGGTCCTACAGGCAGGCAATGAAGAAGGAATAATGGAAAGTATTAATTGTAAATGTAATTAAAAGGTGGTTGCATTTAAATTAACCAAGACAAGATTTAGAGACATTTAATGTAAAGTAATGTGTTAATGTAATATAATTAATGTATACTAGCAATAGCAGCTTGTACAGTCTCCCATAAATGCAAATATTTATCTGTGTTGTAAATATTATCCTATACTTGCGCTATTGCACTACTGGTTAGATGCTAAACTGCATTTTGTTGCATTGTTCTGACTTTGTAATGACAATCAAGTTGAATCTAATCTAATCTATGGACATCATCCCACACCCTATGGACCAAAGGCTCCACTGTTTGTTAGTATAACATTTCCTGTGTTTCTGAACTGCTTGATTTTCCAATTTGTTCTTGGTGAATCAACAACTGGCTCATAAACAAATAAAACAAACATTTCACCTGTGGATAAATGGGGCCATGTATTGAATTCCTTTCCTTAAGTAAGTAATTTAAGTAATGCAAATTAAAGAAACAGTTTTTGTACTGGGAGCATATGTATCCAGAATAAAAGGTAAATAAGTGAAAGCTCTAATTATTATGTAATACTATAATCATATTAGAAAACATGGCAATTAAACTTTAAATATAGAGAATGGTGCATGTTGACATCTTTCATACACCGTAAAGGTTCATAGTGCAACCATGGCAACAGCTGGTTCAGGGCATACAGAGCCGCCATTGTGCATCAGCTGAGGGAAAGTGACCGATGATACCGCTACACACTGTCCCTACAACCAATGAGACATTTAAAGTCAGAGAGCTGCTAGGACTTCCATCTTTGGTTGTTCTGACATAACGCAGACTATGGGGAACAATACACATGAAAAGAGAAGTGCTTCGATTCTTGGTCCCGCAGAAAGCTAGCTTAACCTTGTTCCAGTACGAATTAAACTGTTCCTATCTACACTGAACCCAGCTGTGACTCTAAAACGCAAATGTAAATAAATCAAAACAATTGCAATAAGTTTTATCAAGATTTTATCAAGAGTCTCGCTTTGTGGTCGGGGCTAAAGTGAATGAGTCAAATAGAGAATACCTCAGGCCCCCGTGGTTCCTCTCCGCCCGGTACAGTGCACACTGATCTCTCACAGCTTGGATTAGTCAGTGTCAAATTTAAGGTCTTCATACGATAATAGTCACACGCCAAATGTAAACCAGTGAAGAGATCGCTTGTTCCACAAACACGCCCCATCTGCACACTCCCGCCCTCTAGCGGCCGGGTTAAGATTGGGCGTTTTGTGTGCAATGTGATGGATTTCAACCATAGACTGTAAATATTAAACGATCGCAATAGGTTGTGATCAGAATGTTGTGAGTTCAGAGGCCGCAAATATGCTAAATATTGGATAAGAGAGATATCGGCCAACTCACTCAGAAAAAGTGACTGATGTATTTACTTGGCAATGGTGGTTTAGGTCAGTGTTTCCCAACTAGAGGAAATCCAAATCTCTTCAGGGCATATTTTGAGATCTAAAACATTAGTTAGATTCAATAACATTTGTATAGTATACAAAGATGCTTAATAAAGAGATGCCAATACCTTTTAAAGAGGAACTAAAAGTTATTTGTTTAATTGTGTCCATTTCTGGCCAAGAGTAAGACAGACAGGAGAATACAGTAAGAGGTTAAGGGGCATTTTTCACATTTGCATCGGAATAAAACATGTACAGTGTATTAATCGTGTAGTGTTTGAGATTATGTTAACAAAATTATAAATCAATCTCAGTTACTGAATTGAACTACCATTTGAGTCTGCGTAGACACGAGTCTCTGGTTTAGGTGAAGATCATTCTTTTTTTCTTTCACTCAGGGAAGTTTTTCATCAAAAACAAGGTTTAACTGATAACATTCTGAGAAAATATTATTACTGTACCTCAGTTTTTTTTATTAAACTTAACTCAACAAGCCAGTTACCAGTAAAAGGTATCGGTGCATTTCTATATGAAGACAGAATCAGGTATTTGTGTTTTAGGATAATTATATTCATATTTTATTATTTCTTCGTCATTACCATGACATTCATGAAATAAAAAAAAAAAACGTACATTTAAATACATACACACAAGATTCTAAAAGTCGACACAGCGGCCCTTCCGCTCCCAGTCTCCATAGCGGGTGGGTTCCAGGCCGCGTGGGCCACCCTTCTCCTTGGTGGCAGGATTTATATCCTCAGGAAACTCTAAAACAGAAAAAATAAAAAAGATTGTAATAGATTTTTGTGCTAGATATTTATTAGGCCAAAAGTAGTTCTTACTCTCCAAGACCTGGTCCACCTTCTCTGCTTGGTCAAAGCGACCCTGAGGGGTATTTGGTTTCTTCAGAGGTTCACGATCCTTGGCTGCCCCACTCGATGCTCTCCAGCCTCCTGACATCCCAGATACAGAAGGGTCATAACATCAGGATATTGGTTTTTCAAGACATTCACAAAAGGCTTAAAAGGTACACAATGTAGTTTTTACTCCCATCTATAGCGTTGAGATCATATATTGGACAATAAGACAATATTGCATTGTTGACAGAAGTCATTCGAACCGGGGCCGGGGAAATTATCTTTAGTTTGATAAATCTCTCTAAACAAATGTTCCTCCACCGCACGTGCGCAGAGGCTGAAATGTAAAAGTCTGCGTTCTGAAGCGGCACCTGCAAACTGCATAGAGGCTCTGGGGTTTTACAAACGGCGTGTGAAGAGATCTGTGGAGGAATGGGACGTCGGTGGAAGCGTAAAAGCACGATGATCAGAAAATCAGAGAAGCCAGGACATTGCCTTGGACATGGGCATACATACAGAGCCACATCAGAACTGCCGGGTTTTTTTCAGGGGAAGGGGATTACGTCTGTTTTGCATATTTGAGGCTTGTCCCCTGAATACGTTTTGTTGAGGTAAAGGTAGCTGGGAGACAGTAGCTCAGTTGGTATAGAGAATTGGCCTTTGGGCCTGGAGGTCGTGGGTTCAAGCCCACCATGGGACCTACTCCAACTGCTCCCACAAATGTCTTCTGTCATTGTGTCCTTGGGCAAGACACTTAACCCCACGTTGAAAGACCAAGGCTGTGTCACCGCTGACGGAGCAACCATCTTCAAATGAATGAAAGAGGTAAAGGTGTACTTTATAGATCCCCATAGGGCAATTCATCCTCTGCATTTGACTCATCCTGAGCAGCGGTCGTCGTAGTACAGCGCCCGGGAACCCATCTCCAGATGTTGATGCTCGGCTTGGTCAGGACTACCGAACCTAGTGTGCATGTTTTTAGTGGTAGGGGAAACCGGAGTACCCGGAGGAAACCTATGCAAGCACGGGTAGAATATGCAAACTCCACTCAGAAAGATTCGAACCCAGGACCTTCTTGCTGGGAGGCAAGAGTGCTATTCATTCAGCCACCGCGCCACCCCCCCTGTGAAACTTGTAGTTGGACTGCGCTCGGAGTTGGTCAGAACATCCCGAGACCTGTGTTGCAGATTCTGCCTCGTTCGCATTACTGTCGGTGTGAAGGCCGCTACTGTCGGTGTGAAGACTGTTACTGTCGGTGTGAAGGCCGCTACTGTCGGTGTGAAGGCCGCTACTGTCGGTGTGAAGGCCGCTACTGTCGGTGTGAAGACTGTTACTGTCGGTGTGAAGACTGTTACTGTCGGTGTGAAGACTGTTACTGTCGGTGTGAAGACTGTTACTGTCGGTGTGAAGACTGTTACTGTCGGTGTGAAGAAGGTTATGTATTGTTCAGGTGTGAGTCTGTTTTTAACAAACTACAGCAATGTGCCTCCTCTTGTTTTAACTGTGCCTTTTGGTGCATGTGGTTTGCGATGTCGAGTTTGCTGTTATGACGTGGGAACCTAGATTTTTTGCTTCTTTTTTTTCGAAAAAATTCTTGCGTCCCTTATCAACCAATGTATATTTGCTCTCATGGACATTTATAATTCAAATCATTGAATCTTGAAATCATTGAAAGTCTATGACAACAATTCAAAAATAGGGTGTAGGTAAATAATCTAAAAAAGGTCACATTTGTAATTAGTTAACATGTTTTTTTCATTTGGAGCAACTGTAAAAATTATACAGAGTACCTTAACAGGGCCAATTTAGTCAGAAATGTCAGTGTCCCAACTCCGCCCCTGAATGCATGTTTTTATTCTGTTGTGTTTACATACTTGGAGATGCTAATGTGGCGGTCAATACATTATAGAATATACAACATTGTCACATCTTTACATACCTGCATTCATCAGCAGAAACATAACATATCACACATGTGCTATGTGCTTCTCACCCATAACCTTCACGTTTTCATGGCACAGAAAAGGACCCTAGGGTGGATCTTCTGTGACACTACACATACATTACAACACTGACCTTTGCAGAGCGCGCTCACGGTTAACCGGGGGAAGACGCCGTGACATCGTGCCGAGACGCAGACACTCCACATGACAAGAGGCTCTCGGACACGCTCAAAACGTTACGGTGTCTTAACTGTGAAGAAATAAAGGTCTGGATCTGGATGTGTTTTGTAACTTTCAGGCGCGTATATTTGACGTCATAATCAAGGGACCAACACTTTCTGGTGGCTGGGCTGCATCCGAATCATCCATAATCCGAATACATGAAAATAACATCCTCCACGCTCCTCTGCGTTCGGATTTCATTTTCATATGGGGCAACTGGACTTTACCTTTACGATTACACTTTATAGTTACAATTCAATTTGGAGCTACTCTTACAAAATGTGTTTATTTTAAGGACAAGGAAGGATATGAGAGGAGCTTTTTTATGAATTTGGATGTCGCCAACGTTTACTTATGAGGTCAACAATGTACAGTTTTTTCTTTGTTTTTACGGTAATACTTAATGAGCTGTTTTCCATCCATCCATCCATTTTCTTCCCCTTAATCCATTTCTGGGTCGGGGGGGTGGCAGTCAGAGCTGCACCCAGTACACTTAGCACCAGCCCCTCACTGATCCTCCTGCAGGTGGTGAGTCCACAGGAGCTGAGATCTTTCAGTGGGAGCTTCAGGCAAAGTGGGGTTAAGTGTCTTGCCCAAGGACACAACGACAGCAATCATCAGTGGGAGTCGTGAAGTAGGTCTTATGGTGGGCTTGAACCCACGACCTTCATGCCCAAAGGCCAATGCTCTACCAACTGAGCTACTGTCGCCCTTAATGAGCTGTTTTTCATCATGAATATTAATATTAGCATTTCATGCTGTCGCAAAATTCTCAAAACCCAAATGAAAATATTCCACATTGACAAATTCTAAACACACATTTGGTTTGAAAACATTTTTATTTAAATAAGAGAAATGATTACTGAACCAGTAGACCAAATGGCCTAATTACATTTGAAGAGGGAAGAAAATGTATCTTTTGTGGTGAAGATGTTTTGTTTTTGCTCCATTCTGTCCTGTACATGCTGGTGCGCAATGAATGACTGTTTTGCGCCTCATGTGTGTAATTTAACGTCCATCGCAGAATATAAACGGTTTCTAGCCTTTTTACCTCAAACAAAATACCCTGTTTTCTGAATGGACAAAATGTTCCATGAAACTGGAGGCTGGAGTCCATGAACACTTCTGCTGTCTCATCGAAGTATCACTGTGACAATTCAATAACGAATGTGATATTACAATGAGTCAATAAGTTTCACCACCCCCCAAAAAAACATTTTAATAATATGAAATGTAAGAATATTTTGTAGAAATTTCACCTCTTTTTACAAACGAAATCATTCCAAGTTTATACTGTGACATTATTAAGAAGAGAACAAACAAAAAGTGCAATTTAGTTCACTGTATGAAACCATGTAAACCTCATAGGCCTGCCACAATAATACACTTCTTAATTGGTTAAGTGCACTTTCAAAAAGATGAATTCAATCTGCTGTGATTTATAATCATGCTGTGTATTTGTTGCAACTGATGTCTTACTGATAATGTACATTTAATAATATTGTACTTTGGGTGGCAATGACGAATGTGCGTGAGAGAATTTGAATTGCTACTAATTCTGAGTATTGTTATTATTATTCTTTTGGGCTACCAGGGACAGTCCTCATGGTGTGTGTGTGTGTGTGAGCGCGCACGCGTGTGCCTGTTGTGTGTTATTGTTAATGCACTAAAAACTAAAAACGCAGAAAAGTATTACTCTGAAAAGGAAATATTAATTATTTATTTTAAGTATAGGGTATACTCCCCAACACCAAATGTGATATTGTGACAGGCCTATATTTTTATGTTCATTCTTTAAAGGTATAAAATCCAAACAAAAGGCATATAATTTACAACGAACACATATTTAAAAAATATAGATATCATATAGTGCTTGTGAAGAGTTGTGCGCACCACGCGCATCGAGCTTGTACCTGGAACCGGAGACCCGCTCTCAGCTTCTCGGCCCTCGCTCGTGGGAGTCCGTGTGCGTACATGTAATGTATACATGTACATGTAGTTAAATCATGTAGAGTATACATGTATAGGCCGTGTGTACGTGTATAGTGTGATGGCTCGTGAGCTGTGGCCCGGCTCGTGCGCAGCCGCGTCAGTCGCACGCAGACACGCTGCTGAGCTTGGCGGTGTGCTCGCTCCAGGGCTGCAGGTTGTGCAGTGCAAACAGAGAGGTGTTCTGCAGACACAGAGGGTCCGGGCTCACACGTTCACACACAGACTTCTGGAAGGCCTCGTGCTGCAGCTGCATCAGGAGCCTGTTGGCCTGCTGCCGCTCCGCCTCGCGCTCCTCCGCAGTCTGACGTCTGCATCATATACACAAGTTTTTGGACACATATACACGCAGACATGTCTTATAGGAACTAGCAAGAATGTATCACCTCCACTTGGTGCGTCGGTTCTGGAACCACGTCTTGACTTGAGCGTCCGTCATCTTGAGGGCCTTAGCGAGCGTGGCCCTCTCCGCCGAGGCCAGGTACTTCTGTCGGTGGAAGCGCTTCTCCAGCTCACAGATCTGCAGCCGGGAGAAAGACGTGCGCGGCTTCTTCTTTTTGGGAGGCGTCCTGTTCTGGTACGGGTGACCTACACGGCGCGTCACAGACACGGGTGAGAGCGACACTGGACTCAGCAGCATCACGTACCACGCGCACACGCACACAGCAGAAGAAAGGAGAGGTCAGAACGTGAACAGACAGAGCAGAAAAGAAAGACGAAACTTGAAAGGAAAGTGTGTTTCTGTTGTGGTCGATGCTCTTCTAAGCCAGTTGTTCTTGCTGGTTGTAGCACTTATGTATTTATTTTATTTTATTTTTTACAACATTTTATTATAAAAAAAATAGCACCCTTAAATTGGGCTGATTGGAAAAAGCCAAGAGCACGAAGGACGAATACAGCACGAAGGACGAAGCACGAAGGACGAATACAGATCCAAATATTTTGAATATTATTTGATAACGTGTGATATGAATGATTTTCCTTCTTTAAAATAGAATTGGCTAATATTTAAAAACACAATAATTGTATTGTCTGCACCATGGGCCTCATATGATTAAACTAAAGGCCAGGGATATATGTGTCCTTTTCCACATCTGCTTTTACAAAACGAGCAGATCTGTTGCTCAAACTCGGTCTGCGAGGTTCATGGGGTTGCAACCATTACTGTATTACAAGTATAACCAATAACAGTTTGGTTCAGCTCGTTGTTTCTTGCAATAATTTTAGTAAATGTTGTCACAGAGATATTGTGATAATGTGAAATAAATGTAATGGCAGCAGTCCATTTTCTCATCAATGTGTAACAAAAAAGACGACAGATTGTTTTGGAATATGAATCTTGCTGTTCAAAAAGTAGGGTTATAGGGTTAGGATTAATTTAAATTTGTTTTCAAAATATTGAAATACTACTTTTTCATTAAACATTCAGCCTAATTAAAATCAACACTAACCAATAGGTTTAATAATATTTGGGGTTTGGTGGCATATTTGTTTTAATCATAATAAGCCGGTTAGGCACTAATTACTAAATAATAATTACTAAATAATAATAATAAATAGGCCTAATAAGTTGTCCAAAGTCCTAGAACTAAACACTGTATTAATCAAGCTATTCTCAGGTCAGCCTCCCCATCAAATGTTTCAGAGTCTGGAAGATGCGACTGCGGTTGGAAACATCTGCTTCCAGAAACACGCAGTGACTCGCTTCAGACGAGAGCGTAAAAGACTCTTTACTCATTCAACTGTTTATCTGAAATATTCAGTCCTTTTTGTGACATCCCTGAGCAAACAGCTTTGAGGAAAGAATACATTATTTCACTCTTTGACTTTATTTTCTTTCTCTCTCTCTTTTTATCATGAAAGGAATGTATAGTGTGATAATAATGCAGGCCAAAGTAAAACAAGAACATATCAGACATCTTCTTTTACCGGTGAAGCGGTCCTTGGTGTAGCGCCGATTACTCTCCATCCAGGGGAACGTGATCGTGTTGAGGCCGTGGCCCGGGCCGTGATGGAGGGGAGGCCCGCCGCTCACGGGTCGGTGAGCAGGGACCCTGATGATGTTGCTCGGTGTCATGTTTATCCCCATGTTCACGTAGGCTCCGCACGCTCCTCCACCTCCGCTGCTCCCGTTATACACCGCATCAGCGCACGTGAAGCCACCGCCGTATGCCGCGTGTCCGTAGTCCTCGTGCGTCCTCGCTCCCAGCATGCAGTTCTGCTCCGCGTGGCTGAGGATCTGCTCGATGCCGAAGGTGATGGGCTCCGTGTGGCCCAGGTTCCCGATGTGCTCCATGGCGCCTGCGCGAACCCGCTGCAGGTGGCGCACACACGGCTCCGCGCTTCTGCTCTGGCGTCTGTCCGCGCGCGCACGGGCTTTTGTAGCGTGAGGACAGCTCCGCGGAGTGAGGCGGGACAGCAGCACCGGGACAGCAGCACCCACACATCAATCTGGAGCAATTGCGACGGGCTCTGCGTGCACGGACGTCAAACAGGAGGGGGCTCTGTCGCTCTCGCACCAAATGCCCGCTCAAATTAAATCGGAATCGGATGGAATTCACTTACTTCTCGAGACGTATAGAGCTACAGGTTACAACACACTCATGCCAATCTTTTGGTTCCCTTCCTTTCCTCATTATTAGAATATAAATGTGTAGTTCATTGCATCTCCATTTGTCAAAAAGTATTTATCCAGATATAATCCTCAACATGTCTTTTTATAGTTTAATGAATTTACTCAAAAGGATGAACGTTTATTTGTATGGCACTAAAATAGATCTGGCTTTTCCAAAAATCGAAATAGCCATTGTGAGCATTTCAAATATTTATAGAAGTTATCTGTTTTCGCAAATGTCTCGATTGTTTCTGTTACAAATGTATCTGTAAAAACTTCGAATATTCAGTCCTATACAAAAAAAGTGTCTTTCCAAGATTATGGTTGCATGATTTTTATTCTTTAATTCATCAACCACTGATTTAGGAAAAAAAAAAAACTCGCCATAGGACTAGTTTTTGTAAAAGAAAGGTTGAGACCACATTACCACAGCTTCTATGCGCGCTGCTATCTTATAGTGGCTCATTGATTTGTGTCGACACAAAGCCCTACGGGACTTAATTACGAATTGGTTTGGTCAACTATTAATATTGTATACGTGGTAAGCGGCTATTATTGGCTAAACGAGCCACATAAAACTTTCATGCTGGGGACTGCGCTGGGCACGGCGAGCTCGACTACAATCTTCTGCGCCTATTAAACTCAGATAAAGAACATTAAACATTCAAAAAGATGATATTTGTGTGGCGACATTCATTAGAGGTGGGGTTTGTAATGGAGATTAATTGAGGCGCTGATGAGACTGCGGACTACCTGGCCCCATCCACGCACAACACTCATGAAGGCCAGCAAGAAATTACCAGTATTTGGGAAGGTTAAACATTAAACATATACAGAACAGCTAATCAGTCAAGTGTGGCCCTGGGCTGCTCTATGATTAGTGTGGCCAGCTGGGACAATTGACGTGGGTGCTTAGGGTTTTTTCTTTGTGAATTTCAGTTGAGCGGAGATTGAGACATGATAGGAACATCTAAATCTACGCACAGGCTGGTATTTGAGTGTCATGACTTTAAATATGTAAATATTGGTAATAATAACAAGACTTGACGAAACTAAAAACCATGTTTATGATACTGAATGCATCACAGACCCCGGAACCTGCTCTTCAGTCCTAGCCGTCAAGACTGCTCTACTACCATTCCACCAAATAATATGCGGAGTATGAGACTTACACTTAGCTTGTTATCCGGACGTTACTAAGTGGCAGTGTTGATTTACGAATGCTAGCCGTTTTTTTTCTGAAACTTGGCACTTCTGATGAGAGGTACGTTTTGATTGCACTCTGCCAGGCTTTTCTGTCGAGGGAGTTTGCGTCGTTCTGCACCGTGTCTGCGTCAGGTTACCATCCAGGGTGCCTGGATTTCGCCATGGGGACTTTGAATGCGCTGCAGTGTGTTCGTCGTGGCATCTCGCTCCAGTCATGCACCACCGGCCCCCCCCCGACCCGGGAGTCCCCCCCCCCCCCACCCCCCACTTCCAAGTTCCCGGAGGAAACCTATGCAAGCACCGGGTAGATTGCAAACTCCACTCAGAAACGTGGAACCCAGGACCTTCTTGCTGGGAGGCAAGAGTGCTATTTTCATTCAGCCACCGCGCCACCCCCCCTGTGAAACTTTGTAGTTCGGACCTCGCCGTCTCGGTCCCCGTTGGCTGAACCTTCCCGAGACTGTGTTGTGATTCTGCCTCGTTCGCTTTACTGTTTTGGTAGTGAGGCCGCTACTGTCGGTGTGAAGGCCGCTACTGTCTGTTCGGTGTGAAGACTGCCGCTACTGTCGGTGTGAATGACTGTTACTGTCGGTTAAGACTGTTATGTCGGTGTGAAGACTTACTGGTCGGGGAGAAGTACTGTCTGTCGGTGGTGTGAAGACTGTTGTGACTGTCGGTGTGAAGACTGTTACTGTCTGTGTGAAGACTGTTAAAGACTGTTACTGTCGGGTGTGAAGACTGTTACTGTCGGTGTGAAGAAGGTTATGTATTGTTCAGGTGTGAGTCTGTTTTGAACAAACTACAGCAATGTGCCTCCTCTTGTTTTAACTGTGCCTTTTGGTGCATGTGGTTTGCGATGTCGAGTTTGCTGTTATGACGTGGGAACCTAGATTTTTTGCTTCTTTTTTTTCGAAAAAATTCTTGCGTCCCTTATCAACCAATGTATATTTGCTCTCATGGACATTTATAATTCAATCATTGAATCTTGAAATCATTGAAAGTCTATGACAACAATTCAAAATAGGGTGTAGGTAAATAATCTAAAAAAAGGTCACATTTGTAATTAGTTAACATGTTTTTTTCATTTGGAGCAACTGTAAAAATTATACAGAGTACCTTAACAGGGCCAATTTAGTCAGAAATGTCAGTGTCCCAACTCCGCCCCTGAATGCATGTTTTTATTCTGTTGTGTTTACATACTTGGAGATGCTAATGTGGCGGGTCAATACATTATAGAATATAACAACATTGTCACATCTTTACATACCTGCATTCATCAGCAGAAACATAACATATCACACATGTGCTATGTGCTTCTCACCCATAACCTTCACGTTTTCATGGCACAGAAAAGGACCCTAGGGTGGATCTTCTGTGACACTACACATACATTACAACACTGACCTTTGCAGAGCGCGCTCACGGTTAACCGGGGGAAGACGCCGTGACATCGTGCCGAGACGCAGACACTCCACATGACAAGAGGCTCTCGGACACGCTCAAAACGTTACGGTGTCTTAACTGTGAAGAAATAAAGGTCTGGATCTGGATGTGTTTTGTAACTTTCAGGCGCGTATATTTGACGTCATAATCAAGGGACCAACACTTTCTGGTGGCTGGGCTGCATCCGAATCATCCATAATCCGAATACATGAAAATAACATCCTCCACGCTCCTCTGCGTCGGATTTCATTTTCATATGGGGCAACTGGACTTTACCTTTTACGATTACACTTTATAGTTACAATTTCAATTTGGAGCTACTCTTACAAAATGTGTTTATTTTAAGGACAAGGAAGGATATGAGAGGAGCTTTTTTATGAATTTGGATGTCGCCAACGTTTACTTATGAGGTCAACAATGTTACAGTTTTTTCTTTGTTTTTACGGTAATACTTAATGAGCTTTTTCCATCCATCCATCCATTTTCTTCCCCTAATCCATTTCTGGGTCGGGGGGTGGCAGTCAGAGCTGCACCCAGTACACTTAGCACCAGCCCCTCACTGATCCTCCTGCAGGTGGTGAGTCCACAGGAGCTGAGATCTTTCAGTGGGAGCTTCAGGCAAAGTGGGTTAAGTGTCTTGCCCAGGACACAACGACAGCAATCATCAGTGGGAGTCGTGAAGTAGGTCTTATGGTGGGCTTGAACCACGACCTTCATGCCCAAAGGCCAATGCCTACCAACTGAGCTACTGTCGCCCTTAATGAGCTGTTTTTCATCATGAATATTAATATTAGCATTTCATGCTGTCGCAAAATTCTCAAAACCCAAATGAAAATATTCCACATTGACAAATTCTAAAACACACATTTGGTTTGAAAACATTTTATTTAAATAAGAGAAATGATTACTGAACAGTAGACCAAATGGCCTAATTACATTTGAAGAGGAAGAAAATGTATCTTTTGTGGTGAAGATGTTTTGTTTTTGCTCCATTCTGTCCTGTACATGCTGGTGCGCAATGAATGACTGTTTTGCGCCTCATGTGTGTAATTTAACGTCCATCGCAGAATATAAACGGTTTCTAGCCTTTTTACCTCAAACAAAATACCCTGTTTTCTGAATGGACAAAATGTTCCATGAAACTGGAGGCTGGAGTCCATGAACACTTCTGCTGTCTCATCGAAGTATCACTGTGACAATTCAATAACGAATGTGATATTACAATGAGTCAATAAGTTTCACCACCCCCCAAAAAAACATTTAAATAATGATGAAATGTAAGAATATTTTGTAGAAATTCACCTCTTTTTACAAACGAAATCATTCCAAGTTTATACTGTGACATTATTAAGAAGAGAACAAACAAAAAGTGCAATTTAGTTCACTGTATGAAACCATGTAAACCTCATAGGCCTGCCACAATAATACACTTCTTAATTGGTTAAGTGCACTTTCAAAAGATGAATTCAATCTGCTGTGATTTATAATCATGCTGTGTATTTGTTGCAACTGATGTCTTACTGATAATGTACATTTATAATATTGTACTTTGGGTGGCAATGACGAATGTGCGTGAGAGAATTTGAATTGCTACTAATTCTGAGTATTGTTATTATTATTCTTTTGGGCTACCAGGGACAGTCCTCATGGTGTGTGTGTGTGTGTGTGAGCGCGCACGCGTGTGCCTGTTGTTGTTTATTGTTAATGCACTAAAAACTAAAAACGCAGAAAAGTATTACTCTGAAAGGAAATATTTAATTATTTATTTTAAGTATAGGTATACTCCCCAACACCAAATGTGATATTGTGACAGGCCTATATTTTTATGTTCATTCTTTAAATGGTATAAAATCCAAACAAAGGCATATAATTTACAACGAACACATATTTAAAAAATATAGATATCATATAGTGCTTGTGAAGAGTTGTGCGCACCACGCGCATCGAGCTTGTACCTGGAACCGGAGACCCGCTCTCAGCTTCTCGGCCCTCGCTCGTGGGAGTCCGTGTGCGTACATGTAATGTATACATGTACATGTAGTTAAATCATGTAGAGTATACATGTATAGGCCGTGTGTACGTGTAATAGTGTGATGGCTCGTGAGCTGTGGCCCGGCTCGTGCGCAGCCGCGTCAGTCGCACGCAGACACGCTGCTGAGCTTGGCGGTGTGCTCGCTCCAGGGCTGCAGGTTGTGCAGTGCAAACAGAGAGGTGTTCTGCAGACACAGAGGGTCCGGGCTCACACGTTCACACACAGACTTCTGGAAGGCCTCGTGCTGCAGCTGCATCAGGAGCCTGTTGGCCTGCTGCCGCTCCGCCTCGCGCTCCTCCGCAGTCTGACGTCTGCATCATATACCGGGAGAAATATACACGCAGACGTCTTTAATAGGAACTAGCGCGGTGCGTCGGTTCTGGAACCACGTTTGGGAGCGTCCGTCATCTTGAGGCCTACGGCGTGTGACCTACACGGTGCGCGCGCTCACAGACTGCAGCGGGAGAGACGCGCGACACTTCTTTTTGGAGGCTCAGCACGGGTGACATACACGTACCACGCGCGACACTGGACTCAGCAGCATCACGTACCAGCAGCAAAGAAAGGAGAGGTCAGAACGTGAACAGACAGAGCAGAAAAGAAAGACGAAACTTGAAAGGAAAGTGTGTTTCTGTTGTGGTCGATGCTCTTCTAAGCCAGTTGTTCTTGCTGGTTGTAGCACTTATGTATTTATTTTATTTTATTTTTTACAACATTTTATTATAAAAAAAATAGCACCCTTAAATTGGGCTGATTGGAAAAAGCCAAGAGCACGAAGGACGAATACAGCACGAAGGACGAAGCACGAAGGACGAATACAGATCCAAATATTTTGAATATTATTTGATAACGTGTGATATGAATGATTTTCCTTCTTTAAAATAGAATTGGCTAATATTTAAAAACACAATAATTGTATTGTCTGCACCATGGGCCTCATATGATTAAACTAAAGGCCAGGGATATATGTGTCCTTTTCCACATCTGCTTTTACAAAACGAGCAGATCTGTTGCTCAAACTCGGTCTGCGAGGTTCATGGGGTTGCAACCATTACTGTATTACAAGTATAACCAATAACAGTTTGGTTCAGCTCGTTGTTTCTTGCAATAATTTTAGTAAATGTTGTCACAGAGATATTGTGATAATGTGAAATAAATGTAATGGCAGCAGTCCATTTTCTCATCAATGTGTAACAAAAAAGACGACAGATTGTTTTGGAATATGAATCTTGCTGTTCAAAAAGTAGGGTTATAGGGTTTGGATTAATTTAAATTTGTTTTCAAAATATTGAAATACTACTTTTTCATTAAACATTCAGCCTAATTAAAATCAACACTAACCAATAGGTTTAATAATATTTGGGGTTTGGTGGCATATTTGTTTTAATCATAATAAGCCGGTTAGGCACTAATTACTAAATAATAATTACTAAATAATAATAATAAATAGGCCTAATAAGTTGTCCAAAGTCCTAGAACTAAACACTGTATTAATCAAGCTATTCTCAGGTCAGCCTCCCCATCAAATGTTTCAGAGTCTGGAAGATGCGACTGCGGTTGGAAACATCTGCTTCCAGAAACACGCAGTGACTCGCTTCAGACGAGAGCGTAAAAGACTCTTTACTCATTCAATTGTTTATCTGAAATATTCAGTCCTTTTTGTGACATCCCTGAGCAAACAGCTTTGAGGAAAGAATACATTATTTCACTCTTTGACTTTATTTTCTTTCTCTCTCTCTTTTTATCATGAAAGGAATGTATAGTGTGATAATAATGCAGGCCAAAGTAAAACAAGAACATATCAGACATCTTCTTTTACCGGTGAAGCGGTCCTTGGTGTAGCGCCGATTACTCTCCATCCAGGGGAACGTGATCGTGTTGAGGCCGTGGCCCGGGCCGTGATGGAGGGGAGGCCCGCCGCTCACGGGTCGGTGAGCAGGGACCCTGATGATGTTGCTCGGTGTCATGTTTATCCCCATGTTCACGTAGGCTCCGCACGCTCCTCCACCTCCGCTGCTCCCGTTATACACCGCATCAGCGCACGTGAAGCCACCGCCGTATGCCGCGTGTCCGTAGTCCTCGTGCGTCCTCGCTCCCAGCATGCAGTTCTGCTCCGCGTGGCTGAGGATCTGCTCGATGCCGAAGGTGATGGGCTCCGTGTGGCCCAGGTTCCCGATGTGCTCCATGGCGCCTGCGCGAACCCGCTGCAGGTGGCGCACACACGGCTCCGCGCTTCTGCTCTGGCGTCTGTCCGCGCGCGCACGGGCTTTTGTAGCGTGAGGACAGCTCCGCGGAGTGAGGCGGGACAGCAGCACCGGGACAGCAGCACCCACACATCAATCTGGAGCAATTGCGACGGGCTCTGCGTGCACGGACGTCAAACAGGAGGGGGCTCTGTCGCTCTCGCACCAAATGCCCGCTCAAATTAAATCGGAATCGGATGGAATTCACTTACTTCTCGAGACGTATAGAGCTACAGGTTACAACACACTCATGCCAATCTTTTGGTTCCCTTCCTTTCCTCATTATTAGAATATAAATGTGTAGTTCATTGCATCTCCATTTGTCAAAAAGTATTTATCCAGATATAATCCTCAACATGTCTTTTTATAGTTTAATGAATTTACTCAAAAGGATGAACGTTTATTTGTATGGCACTAAAATAGATCTGGCTTTTCCAAAAATCGAAATAGCCATTGTGAGCATTTCAAATATTTATAGAAGTTATCTGTTTTCGCAAATGTCTCGATTGTTTCTGTTACAAATGTATCTGTAAAAACTTCGAATATTCAGTCCTATACAAAAAAAGTGTCTTTCCAAGATTATGGTTGCATGATTTTTATTCTTTAATTCATCAACCACTGATTTAGGAAAAAAAAAAACTCGCCATAGGACTAGTTTTTGTAAAAGAAAGGTTGAGACCACATTACCACAGCTTCTATGCGCGCTGCTATCTTATAGTGGCTCATTGATTTGTGTCGACACAAAGCCCTCGGGACTTAATTACGAATTGGTTTGGTCAACTATTAATATTGTATACGTGGTAAGCGGCTATTATTGGCTAAACGAGCCACATAAAACTTTCATGCTGGGGACTGCGCTGGGCACGGCGAGCTCGACTACAATCTTCTGCGCCTATTAAACTCAGATAAAGAACATTAAACATTCAAAAAGATGATATTTGTGTGGCGACATTCATTAGAGGTGGGGTTTGTAATGGAGATTAATTGAGGCGCTGATGAGACTGCGGACTACCTGGCCCCATCCACGCACAACACTCATGAAGGCCAGTAAGAAATTACCAGTATTTGGGAAGGTTAAACATTAAACATATACAGAACAGCTAATCAGTCAAGTGTTATTGTTGTTCCTAATGGGCAAGGACACTTTAATGTATAATGCAAATATATAATACAATATAAAATAATCACAGTGCATTTGGAATAGTTTAAATGTTTCTGCATTGGTCTAATATAGAAAGTAATCAAGTCCAGAGCAAATTCTTCAGTATAAGTATCATTCTGAGATTATCCAGCTGCAAGAGACCGCAGTCCACATTTGTCTGGTCCCAGCTCTGAGGCTCCTGTGTTTGGGGGCCCTGTGTGGACTCTTCTGTTTATCGTCCACCTCTTGTATCAGTGCACTTATCATATGAACGACAACCACTTCCAGAAAGCACCAGTCAGAGATGATGGATTAAAGCCAGTCATACATGTTGAAAGTCCCTTCATTGTTGTTCATGCTTTCACTGCAGGGGGTTGTGTCATTAGCGATAGGTTAGTGTTCATTGTCTAATGAGTATTTTCCCATAAACATTTTTGTAATGTCCAGTGTCATTACAGTGTCATTTTCTATAGTGTACTTGCAGTTATGTGAACAACAAGCAGATCATTGACAGAACATTAAAGCTCCTAGTTCAACCGTGACCCTCAGAAAAATAAAAAGTGGTGTGACTGTGACTCCCTGTCCTATTTCCTTGAGTCACTTTCCCATAAAAGGTCTGCTTTAGTAGGATGTCTCATTTTAACTGCGTGGGACAGCACTTGGGGGTGGAACAAGGTGAAAGCAGGACCAAGAGGAGGACAAAGCTGCAGAGTTGTTGCATAGGATATAGGGCTGGTGACAGTTATAATCAACGCTTAATTTAGGCTTCACAAAATGTGCATGAAAATATATACTGTATGTACATGAGAGTACATAATTCTTAAAGAGATTTATGTCAACATAGTCTGTCAGCACCATTGGTACTTGGCCACAGATGCCACAGCTCTAGACACAACAGCAGAGTGGGGCGATCCGAGAGTGCTTCTAGACCAAACACAATCTATCACACAACATGTCTACACTCCTCGCCTGCAGGGATACCATACAGCAGAAGTCTTTATTACTGCGGTGCTTTCTTAGAGGCAACATTTTAGATTGTTTCTATATATTTGCTATTTTTACACTCAAAATTACACTAAATGTCTTCACAAGCATGTTTAGTTTCAGGTATATCTTCCCTGTAAGGCATCACAACATGGTGCAGCTGGACCATGTTGTGATGCCAATACTCAAGTCTCCTTGAGTATTGGCCCTCGGCTCCAGACCCTGTGCCCCTCTTTTCGCTGGTCCTGGTGTACTGTTGTCCAGAAAGGTAAAAAAGTATAGATGAGATAAGACCTCATTGTCAGATTGCAGATACAAGTCTGAGATGTGTCCTGTAAAGAAACACTAAAGGACGTCAATGATTTAAAATAATAAATCCACTATAGAGTCAGGAGACTATCTTCATGTCCCCATCATAAACATGTGAAGATAATGCAATTGCTTTGGGTTTTAGTTCTCACCAACATTTTGAGAATGTGTTCAAATGACTTTTGTGTTAAATGTTAACTACAACAAAGATCATAATGTCATTGTGAAACCCATTGTTTATAGTTATCATGTTGTGAAGGTTAGACTAGTCCTTTACATTTGAGTCAGTTGCTGTGGGCATAAATCTGGATGTTGGTGACAGTTCTAAGAGGGAAACACTGAAGAGCTTCCGATGTTTCCAGGAAACAACGCTCATCCTCCATGATGGAACCAGACCTTTGACCTCAGGCAGGGTCTGCTCCAAATACTCCTTATAAAAGACACACTGACCTCATATACAGAACGTAGTTAAACTCGCCTGTATAATTGCATCATAGGTGGTTAACTGGGATAAGTATGGATTTTAGAGGACATCACCGTATTTTAAGTTAAAACAATAATTGGAAAAGTTTCCATGGAGTTTAGTCAGCATTTCCAACAATAGCATTTGTTTTATATAAAGTGACATAAAAAATACCTCCCATCTTGTGACCTTATGATAACTATCAATTTTATGTTTAAATTAATTACAGAGATAAAAAAAAGTAAACAAATCTGATGTGTGACTTTTCTAAAGAATTATTTTGTATTTATCGTTTATTTGGTTGGGACAGTAAATGTTAATGAACACATCACTCTGGATTGTAGCCATGGGCTAATTTCCATCTGTTGTCCCACACAAACTCACACTCATTCACCCTGAACTATTGCACATGTTTTTAGTGGTAGGGGAAACCAGAGTACCCAGAGGAAATCTATGTAGACACAGGGAGAACATGCAAACTCCACTCAGAAAGGCCCTGTTCCAACCAGGATTCGAACCCAGAAGCTTCTTGCTGAGAGGCGCGAGTGCAATCCACTCATACCGTGCCGCCCACAACTGAGAACTGAACTGAGCTCTCAGAATAAATTATTATAAAGTATAGTAAAATAATGTTTCATTGACATTTTTTGTGTCTTGAATATAACTGATATTATAGTTTTGAGCAGTGGTTCTCAAAGGGGCAAAGCACTAAACCTTTTCCTCAATATTTGGTACAAAATATGCCAATTATTAGAGTCACAATAAATGACTCAAATAAACAACCCTCTGACTAAAAGTTGGAGAGCCCTTGGTTAGAGACACAGGGATGTGCATGAGAGAGAGTGCAGCACATCGGTGTGTGGCAGTGGGTGGCTGAGCACAGGGCCAGCTTTGAGAGGGTAATCCATCTCCATCACTTAAATGATTATCCCCATTAATCTGCTGTAAACTAATAAAGTAAACACGATGTGGGCCCCAGCCCAGGGCCCCTCCTCTGCCCCGCACTGCATGGAGCCTCATTAAGTCTTTAGTACATTAATACGTCTTCATGTTGCCCCAGTCACCCTCTCACCTGGGGCTCAGACCCCCAGGGGCCTAAAGGGTTCCATTCTCTTCCTCCCACTCTGTAAGGGGGAAGGGGATAGCAGTGTGTGTGTGTGTGTGTGTGTGTGTGTGTGTTGTGTGGTGTGTGGTGTGTGTGTGTGTGTGTGTGTGTGTGTGGGGGTGTGCTGTTGTGTGGATTTTCAGTTTGGACACATACACATACGGCATGAACTCGAGAACAGAGTCAAGACAAAACTGTCACTTTTCTCGTGGAGAAGGCTCAGGGAGGGAGGGATCAGAGGATGTCCCGATTGGTGCTCACGGCACTACACATGTCGCTGTTTGTCACTTTCCTGAAGCAGAGAAAGGAGAGGATTTAATTTGGCGCGGGGCCTCAGATGGCCCCTCTCACCACGCTCATTTGCTTGATCAGGTTAGAGAACTGTTGCTGCTGGTAATCAATCATCCGGCTTGTCACCGCACGGGGCTGGGCCCACACTGTGTGCCTGTAATTGGCACTAGATTGATGCGGACGTGTTCCGGCATGTCAGACAAAAGTTTGCTCAATTAAAGGTTGGTATCAGCTCAGCCCTCAGCTGTGGACTGCTCACCAGTGTGTGTTTGTGTCCTCAGCACCACAGCAGACAGCGACAGAAGGGGGCAGACTCCTGCCTGTGGTTGTGGTAAGTGCAAAGATCTGCTCTTCTTTAAACACTGACACAGTTTATGTGCTGAGTGATGTCCTGTTGTCTGCACTTAAGACCAACTCAAACAGATCACATTTCATCTTCTGGGGTGTGTGTGTTACACACACGCAGACACACACACACACACACACACACACACACACACAAAACACACAGACACACAAACACAACACACACAAACATTATTCACACAAAAAATTAATGAACATTAACAAGATATGCACATTCTGCTGACTACTGTGTTGAATCTCCTGAGCTGAAAAAGGTAAATGTGGTCTGTGGTCAACTTCCATCA